GGAGGAGGAGGAGGTGGTGGTGGTGGTGTTGGTGGAGGAGATGCCATGACCAAAACGCGACATGGACATGAACATAGGTAGGCTAAACTCGGCATGAATTCCATCCACAAATTTCCTCCACACCTCGCCCAACATCTCCTGTAGTGCTATGGCTGGGTTTTCAATCTCCCAGTCCTGGAATTGCGTCTCGAAACTGATGTTGCCGTTTGTATAGTCGGGTCCGAGCCAGGGGTAGATGTAGGTGTAGGCATTATACTTGCCGGCGCCGGCGGACTTGTCTGGAGACGTCGTGGCATTACCATGGCCATCGTCGTGTGTGTCCTCGGACCGTAGTGATGATGATGATTCGGTCGTGGTTGGTTCTGCTGCTGGTGTTGGGGTTGGTTGGGCAGCGGCGAATAATGCGGATGAAAATCCCATGATGATTCCGCAGTGGAATAGAATGGACCACCTAGGTTCAGTATAGTGATAGTGATGTTCTTTGTTCTTTTGTGGCTTGGCTAACTACACCTGCTCAATGCGTGTGTGAGCTTGTCGGCTGTTTGAACTTCACTTAATCGATGTTGGAGGTTTGGTTTGGTCCGTTGTACTTTCGAATTGAGGTGGTGGTGGTGAATTAGACTTTGATCGCTGTGGTGTGGTGTTGTGTTGGGTAGTGTGGTATATGATAGAGTAGGGGTAAAGTATTCCCAGTCGATGTGGTCGGTAAGGCTTAGCAGATAAGTGAATAGACTGTAGGGAGTCGGTTGTTGACGGCTGGTTGATTGACCGCTTGATTCACGGTCAGAAAGGATGGCCTGTTTTCTGTTGGTAATCCAGGGGCAGTAGATGGATGGCGGATAAAATATGGTGTCAAGAAAGTACTGAAGTAACGCTGACGTTTATCTTCATCCAGAATATTGTAGCGGCCTGAAGGGAAACCCCGTGTCCACTGTAACTGGTAGAAGAGTAACTAACAGTTGTATAGTCGCTCCAGAATACCACGACTTCGGGACAGGACAGGTAAGTTCTGGCCCACTCACCTTGCCAGTGTTGGAACTCCCGGACGACAAGGTACAGTAGGGTAAGGGACAAGGTTCAGTGATGCTCGATATGACATGCAAGGGCCTCTTTTTCCGACTTGACTTTGGGTGTCCAAAAAGCACATGTACATTGTTGTTGTGAGATTCACTTTCACATGTCAAGACGAACCCACCCACCCCTATCTTCGGAAACATAACATCGCCCACTTACTGATTGACTGCTCCATTGCTTGGAAAATCGCTCATGGCAATCCGAATGCAGCACAGCGCTGCGCGGCAGAACAGGACACAAGCTGAACCTGCACTGAAATGACCGTGTTTCGGAGCACTCGGATATGGCAGATTGGGTTCACCTCTCACTCAACATAAATGGCTGGATGTTCAATATCCGCGACGCTGAGGCAGAGATTCGATCTACTGTGATTCGAACAGCCTGGTCCAAACCTGTTCGGAATGCTCTCCGGTGTGGTGGCCTGACTCGGATCTCAAGATGGAATTTCTGGTTCTATAGTCGGTGTCTCCAAGGACGTGACGAGGCGATGCAGGTACCACAACTAGTCCACTATTATGGGTGAAAATCGAACGATAATAGTTGTAGATCCACCGATTTTTGCGAAGTGGAGTTGCCGAGGTTCTTCAGCAGACACGTGCAAGGCTCGGATTACGCAGAGTTTGAGCACTTTGCGCAGTTTGCACAGTGAGGTTGGTCACATGACACTGTAGTCACATGATGCTCCGTACATTGCATCAACTTCAAGTCTTTCGTTGGTTGTACCATTTCAAGTGTACATCTGCACGGGCACAGAAGCTCTATTTTGCTACATAACCCATGGCCCTGAGACCACTGTATCTGACCTGATGCTTCCGAAGCATTGGCGGAAAGGTTCAATGCTTCATTGCTTGAGTTGACTGTGTCGAGGTGAAGCCAGACGCGATCCTATGCTGCGTGGTGCTAGAGCTATACGATGTCTCACAGCACACGGTACACGCGGTAAATGTACCGTCACACCATCGCCCGTTCTACAAAACATAGCGAAACTCCAAGTTCTCTCTATCCGTCAAATCGAGCTGATTGTTTGACACAACGGTCTGCCTCTTGGTACCGTCAACCTCGACATCTTCAACAATCCCACGGTGTGCGACTTTGGACGCGGCCTCGAGCGCATCGCGGCGTTTGTTCTCGCGGACGAGATACCATTGGAGAACGAGGATATCGGTGGCCGGAATGATGCAAGCGACCTAGACAGTAGGATGGTCAGTTGAGGCTGCAAAATACATGGCAAATATCGCGCCATGCACTTACCACGAGGATGATAGCCCATGTCGCATAGTATCTTGGAGCCCAACTAGGTCTGAACAACTGCGGCGAAAGGATGTTCCCGAGACCATATCCGACATGATATAGAGCAATCACGGTCGTCTTCTTGGTATGGCCGGCCGAGTTGTTGGCCGCCCAGATCATGACCACGGCATATGGGATGCCCACCGTCGACCGCAGCCATATACCGGTGACCAGTCCCCATTTGTTCGACCATGGCAGGGCCAGGAGGAGGATGTTGGACACCACTGCGGGGACGTAAGCGGCCACGGAGATCCATGCGCGACAGTCTTTCGTCCTATTGAGGAAGAATGCTGCAAACCCAAGCGAACCCAGCGCCACGAGGCCCGTCACGCAGCCCAGTAATGTAGTCTGCAACGTTGAGAATCCAAATGACTTGATGATGAGCGAGTACTGGTTGGTGAGTCCATTGGCCATTTCCTGACTCCATGCGTGCAAGAAAAAGAGCCATGTCTTGGGATCTTTGACGGCCTCGATGAACCTGTCATCGCCAACGGTAAGCAAACAGCGATGCAAACTGAGAACCCAGCAGCGAAGTAACAGTCAGACCCGATAACTTACTGGTATTTCTTGAAGCGTTTGTGTTCGATCCCAGAGTGATTCTCCTTGATTCGAAGGATGGCCTTGGCACGGTCCTCCGGCGTCAGGAACCGCGCATGGAGAGGACTATCTGGGAAGAACAGCCAGACAGCAACGCCGAAGACGACGGTTATGGCGCCGGTGATGACTTTCAGCAGGCGTTAGCTTCTGTCGCCAAAAAGACCCAATCGGCGGGTTGTCAATTGTTCTTCAATGTGGGGTGAATATGGATCACAACATACCCATGAACCATTTCCACGGTGCAAAGTGGCCGGTCTTGATCCAAAGGACACCGTAAGACAATAAGCCGGAGGTGATAGGGCTCGAGTTTCCGGCAGCCCACATGACCGGCATGAGCCATGCCTGTTCTTGGTAGGTGAAGAACATGGAAAGGGTCAACAGGAACGCAGGCACGATACATGCTTCAGCGGTGCCCAAAAAGAACCGGACCACGAAAAGCCCTGCAAAGTTCTGGCAGGGAATATGAAGTAAGACGATTCCTCCCCTGAAAACCGCATCACAAAAGTCAGCGCATATCCCAGAAAAGGCACAATCCCCATTTCACAGAGATGAAACCATCTATCTCATTCCAGTTGTCAACTTACCACAAGATGAGATTTGCTGCCAACCACTTCCCCACAGGAAACCGTTGCAGAGCCCAGTTCTGGGGCCATTCGGCAAGGAGATAGCCAAAGTAAAAAATGGACGAAAGCCAATTATACTGGTTGGCGTTGAGATGGTTGTCCTTCAGAATGCCCAGAATGGCCGAACTTCCCAGCTGTATAATGTGGTTTGTGCGTCAGCTTGTCGTGCTACACCAAAGGATAGCTTTTGTTGCTGCTGACGCACCGTCTGTTTGTCCACATACATCAGATGATACCCGACGCAGAGAAAGGGGATGATCCTCCAGATGAGTTTCTTCTTGATCCGTAAGGCTTCTTCCGGCGTCGGATCGTCCACCTGGACTTTGGAGAACAGCTTGAAGCTTTCGTCGGCATACCGAGGCGGTACTTTGGGGACGCTGACGACGTCTGCCTCGCCATCTGTGGCCGACGCAACATCGTTGGTCACATTGGGTTTTTTGTCGTCGGAAGCCATGTTGAGAGCAAAGATCGGCCGATGCTGTCTCCTCTTTGTCACCAGTCCGTCTGGAAGAAGTCACCGCTCCGGCGAAAACCGAAAACCGAAACTTCAAGCTCTCAACGGCACGGCGAGTATCCCTTGCAGATAAATGCAAAGAGGCCTCCGGGTTTATATGCGGATGCTCAATGAAGATACCATCGGTCGTTCCGGCCACACGGTAAGACTATCCAGGGTATGAGGAGCAGGTGATCACTGTTGTCGGCTCCCATCTCGCGATTTGCCGCCACCACGCCTCGATTTTTGCGTGCTTGCAGATCCGAATGTTCTCATCCCCTGGCGACGACAAGCGCGGGAAGTTGTCCCTACCATGCTCCCGGCTTTTGAATTCACCACACAGTTCACGCCAAAACGGCCGGGAGATCGACGAGCCATTGGCCGTTGGAGTACTGTTCCACACCAGCTATCTTATCTGCAGACGACCGGCACTTTGCCGTTCAGCACCGACAACAGCTTCAGGTCCATACAACTTGTACTGTGAAGAAGGGCCTCGACGTGGAAGACAGGACGGATGGCGTGCCCCCTTCTAGCCCAAAACGGCAATTATGGTCGGTCCGCGGGTCCGCGAGGATCGCGCCATAGGGTCCTGTTTGGGTCTCCTTGACCAGTCCTACAAGCGGTGCTTTTCGGGACGAGCATTTCTTGGGCAACGCTTCTGGGGCTTATCTGGACCTCACTTGCAGACAGTCCCGCCATTCGTCCTCTCGTGCACTGCAGTGACTGGAGCCATGTAGTACAGGTAGGGTCACCTTTGAATAACCCGCGGAAGTGACACTGACACATTATTGCCTTACGTTGGCCATCTGCATCTGTCGTGCTTGCACCCTTGATATTGCGTGATACCAAGCCAAGATTGAACATTATCCTGACTCTACTAGTAACCCATTACGGTTTAACGAACTTGGAAACAGAACGACCCAACACGATGTCGAAATAACAATAACCGAAGCCTCAGAGTGCACGCATATGTCCGTGTAGCCAGCCTTGGGTCATGGCATATATGTAGTAAGCAAATCCTCGAGTACAGTACCGCACCACTCTATTCAAACATCATCCCGAAGTCTGACCCAGAAAAGTGTGTTTTTGTTTGCACGGGTTGGATAGTCAGGTAGGAAAGTAAGTGCCGGACTGAACTTGCCGGACAAGACACCACAAGCCCAAGCCTTTGGCCATTAAAAAAAAAGGAAAAAGAGGACACCAAAAAATCGATCTACAATGGGCGACGAAACCAAGATCCGAGTCATCATCGCAGGAGCCGGAATCGCCGGTCTAGCCACGGCAATCTCTCTGTCCAGACTCAACCGAGAATTCGAAGGCTTACTTCACCTCGACATCCAACTATACGAACGGGCAACAGAACTGAAAGAAATCGGAGCCAGCATCGCCTTGAGCCCGAACGGATTACGGACATTAGAACGTCTGGGCGTGACCAATGCCCTGAGCGACGACATTGGATTCCGCGGTCCAGCCGGACTCCCCATGATCTACCGACACTGGAAGACCAACGAGATCGTCAGCGTGGACCGGTTCAGTGAGAACGTCACTTCCAAACACCACCAGACGACCCGTTTCCACCGGGCTCACTTGCACGAAGCTTTGTTGCAGCATATGCCGAGGAACAATATCCATCTAGGCAAGGCTGTGGAATCGGTGCAAGTCAGAGAGAACGATGGTAGTGGCAGTACCACCACCAGAGCAGAACCAGTCACAGTCTTCTTCCAGGACGGAACAAGCATCCAGGGTGACATTCTCATCGGCGCCGACGGCCTGCGCTCAAAAGTTCGCGCGACATTCCGTCCAGACCATAAATTACATTGGACGGGACGGACGTTCTTTCGCTCGACGTTTGATGCGTCTTTGGTCGCCAACGAGAAGATTCCTGATTTGCCGCCCGATTCGACGCATTGGTGGGGTCCGAAACATACGTTTTTTGCTTCGAGGTTGGGAAAGAATATGTTTACGACGGTTGGGAATTTTGATCCAAGTCAACTTTCTAATGGTGCCGCGTCTGGCTCAGCGTCAGACTCAGAGCCGAAGGTCACCTGGGACCAAGAAGGCAACATATCCACCTTCCGCGACCTCTACAAAGACTGGAACTCAGTCGTCAAGGCCCTGGCTAACGCGACACCGTACGTTCGCCTATACCCCAATTTCGCGGGCGAGCCATTAGATACCTGGGTGTTCGGGGACTCGCGCGTGACATTGGTAGGCGACGCGGCTCATACGCATGGCGGAGCGCATGCTGCTGGCGGCTCGCTTGCTCTTGATGATGCTTGGGCTTTATATTTGGCTTTCCGACACGTTGTTCTCGACCATCCCCATCGTCAAACGAGGAGGTTGACGGTCAAGGATATAGACATCCATCGTGCATTGTCTTTGTATGAGAAAACCAGACGGCCGCATACGGAGCGACTCGTCAAAAGTGTCCTTGCTGGCAGCAAAGCGGCTGTAACACCAGACTCCGACGAAGCCCTGAGACTCAAGATGACAAACAGGCCGAGTACGACGTGGTTGACGGAGCATGATGTGAATGCGGAATTCGCAAAGGTCGTCCAGACGGCCGCTCAAGAGGGACAAAAGCATTTGGCCCCGGGCCAACTTGAAGTCACGGCAAACAGCGGTCCACAACAGTCGACGCAACAGGTGCAATTCCAAGAGCAGAGCCGACTTTGAGCTGGAAGTCGTGTTATTGATCCGAGCCCAAATCCATTTTATATGCTCCTACGCGTTCTGGTTGCTCTTTGATCCGATCTGGGACGACTGGAAGGCAACACGCAGCGGTTAAGCCGCGTGCAAAAGAAAGAAGGACAGAAAAGAAAGTTAGAAATTTCGGCCACAAGTCAGACCCGACAGGCGAATATAGACATAGACATAGACGTTCTCTACAAAAGGACAATTCCAAAAGGAGGACCTTGCTCTTAATCAGGTCACACATGTTTCATATTCGAGACTTAAGATGTCGCAAAGTATGCAAAGGGTATCATCAATCGGTCTTTTTCTCGTACACGCTTACGCTTCCGCCTCCCAATAAAAGCTGGCAATTCTTGCGCCGGCCCCTCACCAACCATTTTCGTACACCGGCCAAATAGATGCCATCCCAGACGCTGGTTGACCTAGAATCTGTCATTGTCAGTGTCATTGTCATTGCTCAGGCTGCGGCGTCGACCCAGTCCATCCAAACATCCAATCGTTAGCATCGCCCACCAGCCCAGTCGAAGGCCACATTGAGTCCGACATGGGCGTGAGTCCCGTCGGTCCAGGAGTTAAACCTGTGCCCGCACTCCCAAAGTCCACGGATGGCTGCTGTTGCTGCTGTTGACCTGAATTGGTTGGTGGGCTTGCTCGTTGGAAGACTGCTGGGTTCATGTTGTTGTGCCAAGAATCACCACCACCCCCGGCGAGCCCGAAAGTATGTTGTTGCTGCTGGGGCTGCTGGGGCTTCGGAAGCTGTGAATCGTTGGCGGAGTGAGTCTGACCACCAAAGATTTGGTTTGACGGAGAGGTATACGAGGTGCCAGAGGAGGTCTGGTGGGATAGACTGGGTGGTGTAGGCTGGTTAGAATGTTGTCTGCTGCTCGAGCCGCCTTCCTGGTGCGAGGTATCAGGAGAAGTGCCGGAGCTCAGTGAGTGAAGAGGAAGATCGAAACTGCTGCCGTCGAACCCTTCAGCAATCGACGACGCCGGGCCTGTCCGGCCACTACTACTAGAGCCTCCGGAAGCATATAAGCGTGGGAACGGGTTGTTCAAGGCATTTGCGATGCTGTTCATTTCCTGTGGCCATGGGGGATTGACACCCTTGGGATTAAGTCTTTGCTGGCTTTCACGTATCTCGAAAAGCGGGGAGCATTTCAAGGCATCTGTATTAGCGGGAACTTCGGCCTAAACATCAAAGTCAGTGGGACCGTATCATATAAGCAGTCATCATTGATACTCACCGGTGGCCGATGGCCAAACTTCCAGCGCAAGACATTGCTGGAAACGTTCAGACCGCTACCTTCCAAGTCGACGTCGAGCTGGACCAGAAAAGACTCGGTGAGCGGATTTTTGGCCGTCAAGACGTGCATCGCACTCAACAAAAATTGTAATGAGGACTTGACAGCCGCGTCATCCTTTCGCGCTTTGAGATATTGCACGAAGACTCGGGCTGCAACGTAGAGACAAAAGGCAAGAAATGGGTTCATCTGCCTCTGGATTTAGCATGACATCTTCAATGCAAACAGCGCCGCGAGCGACCTACCACAGACATATCCAGATGGCTGATCATTTTCATGATGCTGGTAATTTGATCCGCGGCTACGATACAACGTCGTTTGGATTCGGCACTGATTTGAGCGGGCAACCGGTTTTTGTCGGCTTTGAATATGGCGGCCTGGTGTAGACATATGGTTGCAGTATGAATGTTCATGTTGAGGAATATCGTGTTTGGATCGTTAATCCCGGCTGGAAGGCGGAGATGTGGAGGCAACGATAATGATGTGTTCAAGAGGATGTTGTCCAGAGACCGATGCCGCTTCCAGAAGGGTCCGTTGAGATCGTGATCGTTGTCTTGTTTCTCCGGTCGGTGAAGGTGAGTGAGATTGCGGCCATATAGGGTCGACATGAGGATGATACCTCCAAAGGACGAGATTGACGAAGCCCCGTCGCCGTTCAGGAGGTCACCCAACGAGAGTGTGGGCTCCGGTTGACCCTTGTTGAAAGCCTCCTCACTGGCCGGAAGATTGGTAAGAATCTGCAACAGTATTGGTTAGTCGTCTCTCCATCACAGCCGGTTCACGATAGCACGTACATCATTCTCATCGATGACCATGGGCCACCCAGTCCCAACAGAGGCATACCGATCCTGACAGAAAGCCATCCAAAAGGTTCGTCGCCTTTCCTCCTGGTCAGTCCAATCGCGTGGAGGAGGTAAGGTCTGTTTGACGTCGAGTCCAGCACCATCTTGTCGATGCAATCCCATCATTTGCGCCAACCTCGCGGCTCTCCCAACGCTCATCCAAGCCCTCGGAAAATACATATGTTTGAACTCAAAACAAGCCAGCAGCGTCCAGGCTTGGCAATGACTAACGCTGATCATGCTTTCTCCAAGGCCTCTCATTTCATCCAGTTCGGCATATTTCCGAGCTCTCTCGTAGAAGTGCGGTGTGGAGGCAGAGTACTTGGGCGTGATTGCGCAGGCGTTTGCCCAGATGGCATACCTCAGACAAGCCGGTGGCCGCAGGTGAGGTGCCAGATCCATCGAAGCGAGAAACCTAGCCTTCTGGATCATGGGTAGTGACGGATGGACTTTTTCAAAGTATATCTCATTCCTGAGACTGTCAGCAAGCACAACTAGTCAAGTCTCGGAACAACTCACAGTTCGTCTATGACCTCCCGCGGGGGCAATGCTTCCTCCAGACCTAGGCCTATCATTTCCCAAGAAAAGTCATTCCCAGCATCCATTGTAAAGTCGTCGAGCCCACCCATGGCAGGATCGGGGAATGGACCATCCTGCATGAGGTCCGACATAGACGCGTCTCCAAAAGAGGGTATCTCCATTGAGGGCATCGATGGACCGGGCGCATATGTTTCTGATCCCTTCGACATTTGTGAAGCGGCAGAGGATGTGGCCGCAGTTGACTCCCTCGACTCGAGCAGGTTCTCAACCTGCTTGAGACGCGCTTCGAGTAACTTGACATAACCTCTCTTCGGGCCACTCTTCTTTCGTTCTTCCGAATATTCACACCGATGATTGAGCCTCGAGCATGTCCCGCAGCTCGGTTTGTTGCCGTCGCATTTCAATTTCCTCTTTCTGCACAAAATACATGCGATCCTCTTTGGGCGCGGCACGGCCTCGTTCGACCCTCCACCATTATGCGCTTCTTCCATATCGCCAACCTCCTGAGAGCGTGCAAAGTCGGCAGGCGACGCCATACGTTTCTGGGTTGCTTAAATCGACAGGCTCGATTGGTTGCACGTCGGCAGTACGGAGGACAGGCCGAGAGTTTGAGGATAGCGGAAACCCATATGTCTCATCAACGACAATTTCTTTCCGCTTTAAAGCGGTGCCTGGGCAACCCAGCAATGCAGTACTGGGGCTAGTTGGATGGTTGACGGTAGCCTTGTGAACTGCTCATGTAACAACGTCCCAGACTCCGAAGACGAGGCCAATGCCTTGGGTACTGGTACCAGGCCGTAGGGTTTAGGCAACCAGCCGTCGCAGCGGATACGACGATCGGGACGTGTCATACACTGCAGTGGCCCGTCGATTACCTGATCTTAGTAATCACGCAGGGTCCCCAAAAAGACGACTGTGCCCAATATTGGAACACCCGCCAGGGTGCCTCAACATGATCACACAGTAAGGGATGCCCAATCATCATTGCTACTGCATGATCGTCCTGTCTCGGTTTCAGTCAAGGTCAAGCTAGAGACGAAGTACTAATGTACAGGATATTGTTGAGTCTTCAGAAGAATGCAATTGTGGTCATTCACGACTGGCATTATTGTCGGGGTCTACCCCTCCAGGACGACGAGTGTACAAATATCTAATGGGAAGGGACATCACCACCATCGCCTTCCTCATTGAAGAAGACCTTAATGGGTAGCCATGAATCGCCGCAAACCTTGTACCTGTCCTTGATATTGCTCAACTTGTCCATCTCCTCCGGAGTCAATTCCCAGCCATCGAGCTGGAAGTTGGACTCGATCCGCTCCTTGTTGACACTCTTGGGAATCACGGAACAGCCTCTCTGGAGGTTCCACAGAAGAAGCACTTGCTGCGGAGTCTTGCCGTGAGCCTCAGCAATGGAGGCCAGGGTCTTATCATGGGCCAACGGTGAGTTGGTTGAACCCAAGCAGGAGTATGCCGTGCAGTGGATTCCCTTCTCTTTGCAGTAGGCGATCGTCTTGGGCGACGGCATGTTGGGATGCAGTTCGATTTGGTTGACCGCAGGAACGACTTTGCATGACGGGTCTTTGAGCAATTTCTCCAGATTGGAGATGACAAAATTGGACACGCCGATGTTTCGGACCTTGCCTGTCTCGAGCAGCTTCTGCATCTCGCGCCTAAAAGCCAAGTCAGCAGAGTAAGTGTGCTGCGGATGTGACAATACCTACCAGGTGTCGATAAAGTTCCAGTCGTCATAATGCTTGCTCAGATCTTCGGGCACCGTGGAACTCGGCCAGTGCATCAAGTACAGGTCAACATAATCGGTGTCCAGATTCTTCAACGACGTCTCCAGTCCTTCCCGAACTCGCTTGTGCCATGGGTTGTCGAGTTTCGTGGTGAGCCAGATCTCGCTGCGAGGAACGCCAGAGTCCTTGATCCCTTGGCCGACTTCGGCTTCATTGCCGTACGCCAGAGCACTGTCCTTGAATCAGCTTGCGAACAATCCAGCCAATTTCTTGTGGTACCTACGTGTCAATGTGGCGGTAGCCTACTTTGAGAGCATGTTTGACTGCTTCTCGGACTTCGTTGGGCTTCGACTGCCAGGTACCGAGGCCAACCCCGGGCATCTTAGCCCCAGTGTTGAGCGTGAACACCGTCCTGAACGGCAAATAAAGTTAGTAGGCGTCTTTGAGGTTGTACATCGCCAAATGTACTTACTTGGTGCCCTTGCCGGACTGTGAAGTCGTCATTGTGCTTATAATTCGTGAACTGGAGGGTGGATAAGATGCAGCAGAACTTGACTTGAACGCAGAAGTTGTGCGAGAGCAGGAAGGCAGTTTTATTCTTCGAACAAGCGCAGAAAACGGTTGAAAAAGAGACATGCGATCAGAGGGAATAAATCTTTCTTGAGGACACTTGTAGAATACTAGTAGATGATTCAAGTTATATCCCGGTGGCTCGTCAATGGCAAGTGTTCTTTTTTTGGTGGGGTTCATTCCCCAGTGCAACAAACAAAACTACGCAATTGATTTCTCTGGACGAGGGGCACCCGGGTTTGTTCAGCACCCGAGGGAGCCTATGATAAGGTACCCATAGGCGGTGATTGGCCTGGAGCGTCGTCTGGAGCCCCTAGAAGCCATTTGCTATCGGGGCTTATTTAGCCTGAATCACATCTCTGGTAGGCCTTCCTAAGCCGACCATAAGCAAGGGTCGTGGGGGGTTTTTTGGTGGAACTTTTCTATGACGTTCGGCCAACTGCGCGGGTCGAGATACGTTAGGTAGTCAAAATTTGCGTTATTGCTGCTGGACATAGCTGGCTGCCAGAACCAGCATGATGGAACAGTTTGCAGGCTGACTATCATTGCCATGGCCAGCCACAGGGTCTGAGAAGGTAGTACGAGCATTTGAACTGAACCCGACCCCTTGGAAAGGCCATCCATCGTCCGGCGGAACTTATCCCAAACAGTGAAAGCCTCCTACCGCCGTTCTGAGTTGTGTAAGATGTTAGTAAGCGAGCACCGACGCGCTTCAAGTCCGAGTCCTCGGTGGAGTTTATCGACAGTGGCTTCTTTGATTGCAATTGTGACTTGAGACGCTATCCATGTCTCGGGCCATGCTTCTTATGCCGAATGCCTGATAGAATCGACTGCTGATTTTCCGCATGCTTCAAGGGTACACTGTAACCGACCATTGAGCTCGGCAGTGGATGTCATCCAGAGTCACTTTCATCTGGACCAGTACCTAGGTAGGGCTTAGCAAGCCATACGATCATGTCACGATTCGTGTCGGCAGGCACAGATGCCGATTCCAAGGTACCCGATGAGGCCTGGCTAAAGGCTCAGCAAGAAGTGGAAGCGCAGAGAAAGCCAAAGCCATCCGAGCCAGGCCAACAGGAAGGAGGCAAAAGCTTATACGAGGTACTACAGCAGAATAAGGGTAGGAAGGCCATTCTGAAGATGTCCTTGTCTCTTGAATTGCTGACACCGCAGGCTTATCTCAACGTTAGCTGCCAAGCAGGAAGCCTTTGAAGAGTCCATCCGTCTGAAGAACCAGTTCCGCCCTTTAGATGAAGACGAGATCGAGTTCCTTGACTCGGTGCTCGAGGCCGACAGGGCCAAGGAGAATGCTGTCAAGCAGGAGACCGCGGAACAGCTCGAAGCTTTTAGGAAGCAACGCGCCTTGGCTGAACAAGCACTACTTGACCAGCAAGCAAGGGAAGCGGCGGATAACGTCGATACTACAGTGTCCAAGAACGTGTGGACGACACAGAAGAAAAAGCGGCGACGCGACAAGGATGGCGAATCTGGTTCTGCGGAGAATCCTAAGGCTAGAAAACTTTCCTCTTCTACTAATGAAAGGAAGCCGGTGTCACCGGTGTCAGCAGAAAAGCCACCAACTGCAACGTCTACCGATACTCCAGAGCCCAGCCCAGAACGGAAGAAGTCGCAGACCGAAGCTCAGACGATTCAGCCCAAGCCAGCCGCGGTTGGACTAGACTTGGGTGATTATAGCTCTGATGACGACTGACGACTGACGAGAGCTCCTGAGAATTGTTGCCTATTGAGACTTTGCACAGTGCTGGATTCTTTAAAGGCTGATGGCTGATACAGCCAATCCTAACGCAGCAACCTCCTACTGTGGTTGCAAAGACAATTACATCCAGTGGAGCATGGATCTAGCATGGAACAACTCTTGCCGGAGCGCGATGGGCTTTATGACATGAGCGTCGGTCCATTTGTTCTCCCACTACATCCCTACGTCTACCTACGACTGTACGGTTGATGAAAGCTCTTCCAGCACACGTGTGTCGAGCGACGCAGGCTTACTGGCTTTGACCACACGCGAAAGTACGGCAGATCCACGGAGCCAGCATCACATAGGAATGTAATGCTGGAGAAAAGGGCATGATTGTCGTCCGCCATTCATGACTTCGATCTGGCCACACCCGACGGATGACAGCATGCAAGACCATCCACCCACATTATAGCTTTCGCACCAACACCACCGTATCCAAACAATGACCTATTTGAAACTCCTCTGCCGCTGCTATCATGATTCACAATTGAGATTAAGGCACTACTAGTATGCAAAAGTATTCGTGGTAGTAAAAGCATACTTCAGAGCGGTGTTCTACTGTACGATTTAGTATGGATTTCGATGTTAGTTGCTGACATAAGCATGGGCGGCTGGGGTTCAGTGTTCACTGCAGTGTGTGGCACCACACATTTTCCATCAAGAAAAACAGAATCACACATGGACCAACAGACCAAAAAGAACCTTAAGTCCAATTCATGAAAATCGAGAAAAAGCCAAAAAGAAATGTTACAATCAGATCTCCGCATCGGGGAATTGAACCCCGAGCTGCCGGGTTTATGGTTTTCTATTGAAAACCGGCGATGTTACCATTACACCAATGCGGATTCAGATGCTGATCGGAATCAGCTGCTGATTGTTGGAGGGAATTTAATCTGTTCAATATCTAAGAGTCAAAAAATGGCTTGGCTGTGTTCGACCTATCAAATTGTGTGGTTGGTGGGTTAGTCAGTGGGTCGCCGTCCATTACGTTGAGTCATCATCCACTCCAAATCTACTGCGGTGTGACACTTCAACAAGTGTGCTTCCGATTCACAGCACAATCTTGCCACTGTGTTTGGTGTGACTATTATTCAGTTCATCAATGTTTCGAGGCAGTCGGGAGAGACTCCGCGAATACTTGCGTGTTATCACGCTCATTAATTTCGTTGGTGTCTAGGCTCGGAAGTGCTGTGTTCGGCCCGCTCTAATGAAGATGAACGGAACATGACACTACTAGACAGAGACCTGCACAACTTGGACATGGATGAGAGCCTCCATTGGAATAGATACAAATGAGACCGATGCTCACAAGAACCTTGTCTCTGTAAGCTGGGAAGACAGATGACCAAGGCCATGGTGGTGGGAAGCTTTTAAAGATAAGTACCCTGACAACTTGAAAAGAATATAAATTGTATTTATCATAAATACATTCGGATCGAAGATACATGTGCTTTGCTTCCAGTCACCAGCCTCATTACAAAAGGACCTCAGACATGTCGAGATGTACTATCGAGCATTCGGATAGCATGTCATGTCTTGGCCGACTACCGTCCTTCCATACCTACCTAGGTACCCTGAATCGTGGCCATCGAAAAGCAGAATACAACACTGGTCGCCTTGATGATCACCATCGTGGACATGCATTTGGCCGCGAGCACGGACCGGGTTGTCTGCAGGCTACTCCAACCCACAGCGGACGGGACGTTTAGGGATGGCCCTCCCGAGTGCACCCACAAGAGCTTGAGCCCGTGCATTGCCCCCCAGACACATGGGGCCTAACGACTCTGTAACCGCCTATAACATGCCTTTAGAGGTAGGCGGGCCTCGGCGCGGGAGCATCAACACCATCACTAAACTGCCCGCGTTGTTTTGCTGTGGCCCCTATGACACCAGGCAAACACGCCCTGGGCCCTCGCCTCGCTTGGGATTCGCTCGGGTTGGCCCTTCAGACTTCAGCACCCGAGAGCTTGCTATAAACCCTCCTCCTATTCGTTAACAGCCAGCACCTGATGGCCCATTGATGTAGCGGTGAAGAAGATGCTGCCGCATCCAGTTGTGTCTTGCATGCCCACTCTGTTTGGGGCAGCGCGTTATTCGTCCACTGCTGTCTGAAGGCCAACATGGTCATGTCCAGTATCGTTGCATATGGAATCATGGATGGAGATCATTTGGGAGGCGGATAAAATTCTGCATCTTTTGCTGCCCGTCTCGGCGACGTGAAACATAATAAATCGTACTACGCGCAACGAAGCTGGCCAATTTTCTCCTTTTTCTGGGGCGCCCGGTTGTGTATCGATAGAGGTTCGCGATAGGAGATCGGGAAGACCTGGGACTGGCTTGTGCTTTGCGGCTTGACCAGGTTTGTTTTTGGGGATCTGCGGCGCTTTCTGCAAGGGGGGAGACGAACGAGGGATGCGAACTGGGACGCCATCCACTCAATTGGCGGCGGTTGTCACACTCTAGAAGCGCAAACATCCAATCGCCCGACGCAGCACCAACAGCACCGGCAGCAGCGCAGCCTGTCTTTTGCTTGTGACCTCCTGACGCTGCATTCAAGTTCATCCCATCACCAGGTATTCAAGCCTGATCCTCCCCGTCGACCTCCCCTCGCTCCAAAAGCGGCTCTGTAGACGCAGCCTCACCTCTTCTGTTCCTCAGTCACGCGCATCTACGGTATTATTCGCGTCATTGCCGTCGCATCAAATGCTCTCCCCGTCCTATCTGTACGACTACTCCGCTCAATTACAGCATGGCGACTTTCGCAGCTGCGTCGCCCGTCGCCGAGGCCAGAAAGACCGCGTCGCATCAACAAAGGACCCCGAAAAGGTGGAAGTTTGGATTGGATAAAATTGAGTTCGAGTTCTCGCATCCTTACAAGGCATGGGAGGCCGGCATGTCTCCAACTGCCGATTGGCCCTACATGGACATGCACACCGCCATGTTCGAGTGCAACGCGCCAAAACAACCGGTATGCAGGACAGTTCTTCTCTTCTCCAATGCAAAATGGCCATAGCTCTATGGCCTGTTCCTTCCAATTGTCTGCAGTTCTCTGATGTTGCTCTTTTACTTTGCTTTTTATCCGCACACGCCTGATGCCAGCCACAGGTCGAGTCTCCGAATTACGATGTTCATCTGAGAGCAATTGCGCTGGTCGCAGCTCTACTCCAAGACTTGTGTGACCGTCCTCCACCTTATGGATGTGAACCGCCGCCCTACTGTGCCGACCATCTACTCCCGCTTTACGCGCTGTCTGACCCTCTCGCGCAAGCCCACCTTCCAGACTATCCAGATTCGCTGAGTGGCCCTCCTCCCACTCGGAACCCGACGTCACGAGATTCGAAGATGGATTTTAGCATAGACTTTGGCGATACTACCGGCTTCCAAACGAGGGGGAAGAAGGCCAAGAAAGCGGCACAAAAAGCGGCTCAGCAAGCTAAATGGTTTGAGTCGGACAACGAAGGTGAGGGCAACGCCGCTGGGGAGGGTGGAGATGGTGGTGAGGGTGGCGGCGACAACGGTGGGAGTGCTGGAGGTGCAGGTGGGGGCGACGACAACAATGGCGGGGGAGGTGATGACGATGACTGGGACTATGGCGGAAGCAAGAAGAGCAAGAAGAAGAACAAGAAAAAGCAAGAGGAGGAGGAGCGGAAGAAGCAGCAAGAGGAGGAAGAAAAGAAGAAAAAGGAGGAGGAGGAAGCCGCCAATGCTGCTGACCCTCTTAGTTGGGCCGACGAGACCAATAACGCTGCTGCAGATGATGACTGGACCACAAGCTTCGGGACGAAGAAAGATAAAAAGAAGAAGAATAAAAAGGTACGTTGAGAAGGATTGCTGAACTGCCGGGCACGCTGACTCTACAGGGTGCCAACGGTGCTGTCGAGGACCCACCAGCAACCTCCGCCTTCCAAGATATCAGTCTTGATGACACGGCCCCTAAGCTGGAATTCAGCTTCGGGGGCTCCGACAGCAAGAAGGATTCCACCGGTTTCGGGGCGTGGGGCAAGACGTGGGATTTTGGAACTCTCGACACTGACACGACTAAGGCGGAGGACCCGTCGACCAAGAAGGACAGTGAGGAGAAAGACGATGCCGATGACTTTGCCGACAACAATCCCTGGTCCTTTGGCAAGAAGTCGAAGCAGAAAAGCAACGCTTTTGATCTTGGGGATTTGGCGGGCGAAAATGCATTCAGTCTTGATGGCGATGCCGGCGATACCAAGCCGACCGACGACGCGTGGGGATTCTCAACCGTGACCAAGAAAGACAAGAAGAAAAAGGGTATGGAAGTGAAGAAGGAAGAAGAGTCTCCGCCGGCCGTAGAGGAAGCAAAGGAAGAAGACACCTGGGGTGGGTGGGCCACTACTACCTCCAAGAAATCCAAGAAGAAGAAAGGCGCTGTTGAGGAGGATCCAATCCCACCTCCTCCACCCGCCGCTCCAGCCGCGCCAGAGCCAGCTGCCGCAGAGGACGAATGGGCGTTTTCTACGAGCAAGAAGGACAAGAAGAAAGGGAAGAAAGGTGCCGTTGAGGAACCCGCCACCGAGACCAAAGAACCCGCCGCTGATGCAGCTGATGCTGACACCACGTTTGATTGGGGGGTTGGAACGGGCAAGAAGGACAAGAAGAAGAAGAACGGCTTTAGCGATCTACTGGACGACTTTCTTGAGGAGCCCGATGCTGCCACTAAGCCCGAAACTTTAGCCACCAATGGCGACGACTGGATGTCTGGAGCCTGGAGCACCAAGAAGAAAGACAAGAAAGGAAAGAAAGGCGGGGTCGAGGATATGTCAGCTTTCGACGATGAGGAGCCAAAGGCCGACGCTAAAACTCATGATGAACCCACGGCCGACGACGCCTGGGGAACGTTTAGTACTGCCAAGAGCAAGAAGGACAAAAAGGGGAAAAAGGGTGTCGAAGCCGATGAGGAGCCACCGCCGCCTCCGGCGGCACCCGAGCCTTCCGCCGAAGCTGATGATATCTGGAGCAATTTTGGCAAAAAGGACAAGAAGGGGAAGAAGGGCAAGATCGCAAGCCCTGAACCGTCGATCCCAGAGCCTGTACATGAAGCCGAACCTGAAGCATTACCTGAGCCTGAGCCCGAGCCTCCCAAAGATGAGCCGAAATACGCTGATATTAGTGGTTGGGCCAACCTATCTTCAAAGGAGCGCAAGAAGAAAGAGAAAGAGGCCAGGAAGAAAGGTTTGCTCATTCCGTCTGAAGAGCCTCCTCCTCCACCCCCAGCACCAGAACCTGAGCAAGAGGAAGATACATGGGGAGGCTGGGGCACGGCTGGCAAGAGCAAAAAGGACAAGAAGAAGGGCGGCGACGAACCTGCCGAAGAGCAGGTGAAAGCAGCCGATCCAGAACCTGATGCAAAGGCGGACGACGATGATTGGGGATTTGGCCTGTCTGCAAAGGAAAAGAAGAAGAAAGAGAAGGAGGCGAAAAAGAAAGGTCTTCTCGATGTTGTCGAGGAGACTCCGCCATCTGCTGAGCCGATACCTGATTCACAGGCGAAAGAAGATGAAAACACCTGGGGAACCTTCGGTATGTCGGCCAAGGAGAGAAGGAAGAAGGAGAAGGAAGCTAAGAAAAAGGGACTTTTGAATGTAACGGAAGAACCTTCACCTCCTCCTCCTCCGCCTGAAGCTGAGCCTGAGACTAAAGAGGACGATAACTTCGCTTGGGGTACTGTCTCTTCCAAGGATCAAAAGAAAAAGGGAAAGAAAGGGTTTGCCGAGCTCGATGAAGAACCATCTGCACCAGTTCCGGAGGAAGAAGCGAAATCAGCGCCTAAGGAGGAGGACACTTCGCCCGCTTTCGGCCTTTCCGCGAAGGAGAAGAAAAAGATGGAGAAGGAGGCCAAGAAGAAGGCCGCCAGCGCGGCACTATCACCTGAACCCGAACCGGAGCCTGATACTGCCGGACAAGAGTCCAAATTGGCTGAAGAGGACAGCAACGATATATGGGGCACTTGGAACACTACAAGCAAAGACAAGAAAAAGTCATCCAAGACTAGTGAGGCGGTTGGCAATGACAGCATCTGGGATGCCTGGGGCACCAAAGACAAAAAGAGTGGGAAGCAGTCCAAAGCCAAAGATGAACCACCGCCCCCTGCTCCGAGTCCACCAGCTCAAGGTTTGACACCCGAACCTGAAGGTACGCAGCTGCTTGAGAATGAGGCTGAGGATGACACCTGGGCGGCCTTGACCAAGACAAAGAGCAAGGCATCCTCGAAACAGAGTGCAGTTTCCAAGTCTAGCACCTCCAAAGACAAGACCAAGAAGGCCGATAGCATTGACGACGTTGGCGAGGGTGCAGCCGCCGAAAAGGCCGCGAAAAGTACCAAGGGCAGCATATGGGGATTCGGGATGTCGACAACCACGACCAAACTGACCAAGAAGGAGAAGGAAGCCAAAGCCAAGAAGGAGGCCGAGGAACAAGCCAAGAAAGAGGAGGAGGAAAGGCCAGCTCGCGAGGCTGCGGAGGCCGCAGAGGCCGAAGCAGAGGCAGAGGCAGAGGCAGCACGAGTAGTTGCGGAAGAAGCAGCGAAGAAATCAAAGACCAAGAGCGGCAAGCAGTCAAAGACCGAATCGAAAGTCGGTAAATCCAAGAACGCCGCTGATCTGCTTGATGTACTTGACGAGCCAACTCCGGGCAAAGTCGACAAAAGTTCCAAGTGGAAGGAAGAAAAAGAAGCCAACAAGACTGACGACTATTTTGGCTTCTGGGGTAGCGGGTCAACGTCCAAAAAGACAGCTGGCAAAAAGGAGATAGACTCTAAAAAGGAAATTACCAAACAGGGGGCGACCAATGAGAACGATCCACTAGCCAGCCATACGAAGGACCTCGACCTTGGGTTCGACTTCGACGAGCAACCAGCTTCAACAAAATCTCCAAAGGCAATGACCACTACCACTGGGAAGAACAAGTTGGGTGGCTCTGTCGCTGATCGCATCAAAGCGTTGGAAGGCGGCGCGAAAGACGACAGCGGAAAGAAATCCAAGACCGCCTTGCTGACTAAGAATTCGCCTCCAGCTGAAGGAGCGCCATCGCCCAAAGAGGAAAAAAAGTCAAAAGACAAAGCCTCAGCCGGCAAGACGAAGACGACCTCGACGGCCGAACCAAAGTCCAGCAAAAAGAAAGCCGACGGCCCAGTTGTGACCGAAAAGAAGAAATCTAAGGACTCGGTCCCAGGAGGCTTCCCTGGTGCATTGAGTGACGAAGAAGTTGACGATCTTCCGGACAGCCCTCCTGCACCGCCTTCGCCTGAGAAGCGCAAGTCGGAAACCAAAACCAAGGTGTCTGAAAAGAAAGGGAGCAAATCCAAGAGTAGCACCCCCAAGGAGTCAGCTGTGAAGAGTCCAAGTCCAGCCGACGAGACGCCTGAAGCTCCGCTACCGACACCTCCACCGGAGGAGAAGAAACCGGTCAAGAAAGAACGTCCCCGTGTCGAACGCTCCGCCACTTCTTCCTGGGGTTTCTGGGGTGCAGCACCTCCACCAAAGAAATCCAAAGACAAAGCGAAGGAGAGTGAAATGTCGCCGCCAGCCAAGAAAGAGAAGTCGCCGCCTGGCGTGACTCGGTCCCTGTCCACGCGCACACCGAAGGAAAAGGAGCGAGAGGACAAGAAAGAGAGCGAGAATTCCGGCTCTGATGAGAAACCGAGGAGAGCTTCGGAAAAGCCAAAGCCCACGCGAGGTACCTCGTTCTCCAACTTCATGTTCGGTGGTCCGCCACCGTCGGCGATGCAGCGTTCAAAGACGACTCGAAGGTCTAGCAGTGCCGCCAGCTCCAGGCCATCATCATCAAGACGTCGATCCGAGGACGGCCTGGTATCACCTCCTCCCGAGGGTGAACCACAAGTTAATGAGAAGGTGGCCAAACTTATGGGAATGAAGACCAGCAAGGTTGCCCGACGCCAATCGGTCAAGGGCAAATCTTCAGGTAAGCGTACCAACCATAGCAGCTATAGCAAGATCACTGACGCAAGGTGGCTAGCAGTTCCTGACCCGTATCCAATCGATGACGATGATATGGTGATGATTCATACCCACGATAATCCACCGGCTGTCAATGGAGCTTCTGCTCCTGAGAAGTCCAAGTCCAAGTCTTCCAAAAAGAACGAGGTACGTGTTAGGTCAAACTTCAACTCTTTGTCGTGTCTTGGAACATCCGAAGCTGACCTAGTGCTATTATATGCAGTCGAAACCAAGCAAGAAAGACATCTCTTACGACGACGACGTTGTCATGGTCGATGGCCCTGCACATGGCGATCCGCTCGTCACCAGTGGACCCGATGATCTTGCTTTTGTGGACCATCCACCCCCTCTGAAAAGAAGCAATACTTCATCGAGGAAGTCCACTGGGTTCTTTGGCAGTATCTTTGGCGGTGGTTCGAAGCGTGTCGAGCCTGACAACGAAAGAAGACGGAGTGTGGTAATGACTGATGTCGAGGACCAAAGTATGCCAATCCGCACCAAGGACCGATCGAAGAGGAAGTCCCGTGTCGTGGATGGAGAAGGATTCACCACCGATGCTCCTGCCGATACCGATGCCGACATTGAAGCTCGTCGTGCTGAACGGAGGGCTAAACGAGAAGCGCGTGATCGGATGGAAGAAGCCGATCGAATCGAGCGTGAACAAAGACGCAAGGAGAGGCGAGAACGGGAAAAGGCCGACCTCGAAGCCCGTCAACGCAAAGCTCGCGAACGCGCCAGACAGGAACAGGAAGAAGAAGAAAGACGGCGCGAAGAAAAGCGAGCTCGGCGGGCAGCTAGAGAGGCCCGTATGAAGCAGGAAGAGCTCGAATTGAATGCCGAAGCCGAGAGACGACGAGAAGAGCGACGGCGGCTACGAGCTCAACTTGAAGCCGAACAAGGCGATGCGCAAGAAGCCCTAAGAGAAGAAAGGCGGAAGTCATACTATGCCGAGGAAGAAGAGCGTCGACGACGGAAAGAAGAGCGCAAGTCCAAAGACAAGGACCGAGGCAGGTCGAGCCGCAAAAAGTCTAGTGCGCTTATGGAAGAATACCATGAAAGCCGGAGCGGTAGTGGCAAAGGAACGGCACCACCTGCCGACAAGACGAGTTCATGGGTTAACTCGCAAGCGGATGAACCTCCAGAAGTGCCGCCCGTTGAGGGGACAATCTTGGATCCTAGTGGTGAGAAGCCCCGTCCTGCAGACGAGACACGACGCAAGGGGTCGCGTCGCGCAGAAGGCAAAAGCGCCAGCGGTGGTAGCGACGAGAGAGAGCGAGAGAAAGAGAGAGATCGAAAAGAGAGAAGACGACGAAAAGAGCGTGATCCGGCCGATGATCGTGACCGAGGCTATGGTGGTTATGGCTACGACGAGGTGCCGGTCAAGACTTGGGATGGACGACCCACGCTCGGCCGCAATGACAGTAAGCGTCGGAGCTTTCTAGGGGGACTGTTCTGAGCAGCGACCGATGGTCGACATACAGAGTGGGCCAAGGAGTTTGCCGGACAGACAGCCTACGTCTGACCCTGCGTTGCCGACGTCAGCGGTGACCTCTGGGACACCATCGACAACAAGCGCAGCGCGCACCTTGTCAGTTTGCAGGTTTTATCGACTCCCATCTCAGTGAGAAGCTGTTGTTTCTTTTTTGAGCGTGAGAAGGAGCGAGTTTTGCTTTCATGTGCATGGTTCGAGCGAGCGATTTTGTTGGTTCTTATTTTCTTTTAGCATACTTTCATAGATACCCCCTTCTGTTCTCCGTTTCATATATACCTTTGGCAGTATTGCTCTCAATTCATGTTCATTTTTCGTGGTCTCGTGGGAATTTCGAACATCTTCGAGGAATTAAGGCCGGAGTAATTTCTATGTCTACCTAGGTAACTTGGTGGGTAGGCCGTGGCTGGGCTATTGCGGAGAAGGAAACCTTGTATACCCGAGAGGTCCATCAGTAGTACAGCGTTGTCCAATGTCATATTGCATGAGATACCGTCGACGGAAGTTGTGAATACGACTTCCCAGTCAGACTGATTGGCTGATTCGACTCGCCTTCCTGCCAAGACAAGGCTGAGCCGGAGCCTCACTCAGCGCGGTTCAACCACCGTCTTTTCGCGCTCTTCAGCCTCACGCGGCGGCGGTTCAACGACTATCAATTACAACTATCTTACTGCCTATCCACGACCTCAACATGCCACGATGGGTCTGACTAGGAGGTTACAACTACAGCGCCCCTGTACTACCATGTCATAGTCTTTTTTGGGAGGTTGGTTTATCTACTGTGGTCGGGTCCGTTCAGCGAGACGCAGCATCGAAACGAACGCTTCTTGAACTCTTTTCTTTTTTCTACTACTACGGCGAGTTGTCGCTCCATTGATTAAGGAACGTGGCACAACGCTACTCGACACCCTTTTTAACTTTTGCTCATTTTCGCTCCGGTTCGTCTCCGACAGATGAGCGGAGATTGAGCCGTGATAGGCCACCATGCAAGCAGTATTATTTCCATCGGAAACGTTGCAGTCCGCACCATCGCCCAAAATCCACTTCTCAACCGGCTCTCTGCCATCTTATGTGTCCGCGGATCCGGCTCAGGCGCCCACGAAGAAAGCGCCGTGGAAACAAGTTCGAGATGTTGGTTTTGTGCGGTCGGTGACGGTCGTTGTGCCGGGGGAGATGTATCGTGCTATTTTCCCCCGAGATGAGTCTGGAGAGATAGGGGTTTCGAAGTTGAGGTTGAGGTATGCCAAGGTGATTATGAAGTTGGAGGATGTGTTGAGCGGGGATTTCTTCACGGAATATGTTAAACGAGGAAATATCCTCATGCTGTCTGAGGGCCAGCCGGGCGTGGACAATGTCTTTTCATTGAAAGACGGCGTTTTACGATTAGAGCTTGGCAAGGAAGTCTACGAACGGACGGGACTTCAGGGGACTACTGTGCGCTCCGGCGGGCGAAAACATATCAAGTCGAGATTTCTGGTCGAGTACAACCTCCGTCTTCCGTCAATGCTCCATGGCAAAAAGGGGTTCGAGAGACTCGTCTGGGCGGCTAGGAATGTTTTGAACCATAGTGTTCAATGGCTCTTTGTGGATCTTAGGGATGATCATTCGGGAAGAGATCTTACAGGTCCAATAACGGCATATCATCCAACGGTCGTTGAGGCAACGCCTCGAGTACGCGAATTGGCTCATGTCGTCGGGGTTCCTAAGACTCTTTCGGATCCTGCTGCTTTGACAACGACAACCAATACCACCAACACAACGCCTGCCGTTGCTTCCACCAAAGTCCCCGAGGATGTTCAGGAATCCATTCTCGACCTCTTCGAATACATCGACATGCTCGCTCTTGGCTCCCCGCGCCTCGATGTGTCTGATCACGTCGATCCATTCATAAGTCGATATCGGGTTTCTGATCAGGATCAGGATCAGGATACTCATACTCACGCGGCTGCTGCTGCGGGAAGCTCTTCTTCAACTACTACCTCTAAAACTATCCAAGTCATGACTTTGACGTGGACAGGTTTGATTCCCACAGAGTGGATCTTGGAGCTGTTGTGTGAGGTTATCAAACGATCTCGGAAAAGCAGAAGGGAAAGCAAAGACAGACCCAGACCCTCGGAAACACCGACGGAACAGCAAGACACTGTCAGTGCTAGTACATCCTGGCTTGCCCTTAGTGTCACGGCGCATAAGACGCAGACTGTTGGGGGAAGGGTTGATGGATACACAGTTATTTTGCAACCAGACACAGGTGATAACAATCATGATTATGACGATGATATGAGCAACGGCGATGGCGACATTGTTGGCGACAACGACAATGAAATGGACTACCACACCTCTCCGCAATCCGTTCAGAACCAAAGCCAGAGCCAAGATCAAAGCCAGGAAGGAAAGAGACCCAGACCCTCCGAAAAGGCAGAGACGGATAACGGGAACAGTAAACGACTTCGACGGAATGAGGACGGAAACGGGAACGGTACCACTACCACTCCTACTTCCTCACTTCATCTGCACCGCCACGGGTTCTACCGCTACATTTGCGCCGAGTACGTCGATAGTCTTGTCTGAAACTGAAAAGTTGAACACCTCAAATTCATTTCCAAGTCCAAGATTCCGATCTCCCGTGTCTAAACTTATTCCCAGTCGTGCACAAGAACAAAGAGCGAAGCGGAATTCAAATTGGCAAATCCTGTTGCCCAATGTCAAGTTCGAACTCTGTTCTCGTGACATAATGTATACAGAGACAGAATCATAATCACCAAATCCGACGGGAGTTCAATGAGTAGTTGCTAAGAATAATAATAGGACACTTCTTCGTTTTCGTTTTTCGCTGACAATTGTTTCCTTTACACCCGTATCTTCATATACTCGTCACGACAGCTGGTGCAGTACTCATCATACCAGCTCTTCAAATCCTGCGTCATGGCCATGTCCGATCTCGAATCCACATCCGTATCCAGACCCTCCTTGTTGTGTCCAGCACTGTCCGAGACGAGTCCCTCGACAACACGACATCGTCGACTCTCATCCGCAAGCCACTGCTCCCAAGCCGCCTGCAACAGCTCTTTCTCAACGACATTGACGACGCGCAACCCAACGAGGAGATCGTGCCTGTACATCCCCAACCGCTGTCGCGCCTGTTGAACCTGCGCTGGACCTTTTACCCCGTTGGCAGACTGCAACAAAGGATCAAATTTTTGCGGATCATGCTCATTCGAAAAGACTCTGTAGCATGGATTATACTCTGATCCTCCTCCACCACCTCCTCCAAGCGTCGTCGACGTCGAATTCGCAGCTTGCAAGACAACCTGATCCAAATCACCGACATAGACGGCACGACCCATAACAGCATCTGGCGAGACACCTAGCCTCTTCATAAAATGCGCCGCTTGGCGCTCATGCCACCACTCCAAAGTGTCGCGGTACGTGTGCCAGGAGTTGTACAGCATACTCAAAAACAGGATCCCCAAAATGATCTTGTTGGCCGAGACCGTTCGGGCCGCCATTCTGAAAAGACCCAGAATGCTCTCAAGGACCGTTCCGGCGGCACTTTCAGCCATGGACGCGGCATTTTGAGCCAGTAAGCTTGCCATCGTCCTGGTCACAGGTTGCCGCCGGCGGACTTCAATGTCGACGACTGTCGACGGGTCGATCAGGAGCTGTGTGGTTTCGGTCGAGTGGCCGACTTGACCAAAGATCTGGACCGCCTTCCGCGTGCGACTGTGTGCTCCGAGCTTGCGGACTTGGTCGGCCACCAGATCCACTAGGTCCTGCGCGTCTAATTCCAAATCATACAAGGCCTGTCGCTCGATCACCTTGCCGAGCATCAGAGCCGGACGCAGCCACTCGACTTTAACAAACACGGCCAGCTTGCATTTGGCCTTGGCCACATGCGTGATGACAATCTTGCTCACGAGTCGTTGTCGGTCCCGGAACGGTAGGTGCCATGGAGTCCGCTTGTCGGTGACAACATAACATAAATGGTCGTTGTTCACATCCACAATCTGGTAGTCTCGAACCTGGACGTATGATTCTTGTCCCAACATGTTGGTGACGGGTATGTCAAAGGCGAATTCTCTTCGCAACCGGCCTTCCCCTAGACTGAGCCAGGGGCCTTGACTGAGGTTTTTGGCCCGTCGTTCATGCTGCAGCAATTGCCAAAGTGCACTCTTGTCGCCAAACATGACGTGAAACAATGCTTTGGCACTGATGTCAAACTCTCGCTCGACGGCAAGCCGGAGGTTTCCTGGAGGCACGTATCTGACCGGTTGTGCGGGCAATTTGAACTTGGACTCGTTTCGATCAAGCGGCGTCTGATGCAAGGACCGATCGACCCGAAAAGCGCCTTTCAGCTCGGCCCCGATGGTTGATGCTCGGCCACGATACCTAGGACCGCCCGTGTCGATCGGCGTGTTCGGTGACACGTCTTCCCAGCTTTCTAGGCTTGGACTGCGTTCGACAGACTCGGTCTCCATCTTCAGCAAAGTCTTGATGATCTCTTCCAGACCAGCCGGATGGTCAGAAATGCTGTTCCGGATCAAGTAATTCAACCGCCGCTGCAGGACCCGTAGCGGTTCCAGGAAGGTCTTGATGGTGATTCTGCGGGCGCTTCCATCGCTGGCTAGGTCCTTCAAGTGCAAGAAGATAAAGTCGCAATCTCTTCCGGGTGCCGCGGTGGCCTCGTCGATTGATGCTAGAGGAACACTTGCAGTAAGGACAAGCCCAAGATGATTGCTGTAGAAAAATATATCCCTGGACGTCACATACACTCGTCCCGGAAACTCCTGCTGGTCGTTTGGATTCCAAGTCGCTCTAAATACCATGACTAGTCGTTCATCATGTCGCACCGTTGGGAAGAGAAGTCTAAATTGTGCATCTTGGGATTTGAGCTGAAGAGGATAGTAGTTGGGAAACTCTGGCACCAGCAATTCACTTCTGAACTGCTTGAAAGTATCTCGGTCGATGCTGATGGTGTTTCTGTGACTCCTCTTGCTGGGTGACGGCGTTCGGCTTCGAGTGCCAGGCTGTGCGATGCCGAGGTCGAGGTGCGGGATAGCGTCCTGAGCCGGGATGGTCCCTGCGGGAGGTGAAATGGGATGTTTCGGCGGCGAAGACGACGGCTTTGGCAGAGGACTCGATGCTAAGCCTAGCCTCGCCTCAGCTGTGATTTTGGACTCAACACGTTCCAATCGGTTGACCACAGCAGTATTTGCAGTTCCCCATAGGTTGGCCAGGAGACTGGTGGGTATGCCTGTTTTATCAGGGGCAGGACTCAGGCCTCGCTCTCCGGTGACGACAATGGCTGACTTGCTCCAGTTGGTCGGGGATGGCACTGAAGCCAATGTGGAAGGCGCAAGAGTGCTGGGAGGCATGTCACGAAGTGCCAGTGTAAACGTCGGTCGTGGCTTTGCGCCATCCGTTTCCGTGCTTTGTGGTATCGCTATGCTTGGCCCGACAGGCATGGAGCCATGGCTGGCTGCGATCAGACTGGCAATGCCGCCCGCCGGCAGGTTGGGCGTCGAAGGGCTGGGAGAGACCTGCGGCGAGGCCGCACTTTTTCTATGTAAATCCAACTTTGATATGATGCGGGATGCAGTTTCACGATGTCCACTCTCCTCGACAGCGGTGGACCTCCGAGATAGATCCATGCTGCCTTCTCGAAGGTGCTCGGCGCCCGGAATGGGAAGGGTGTTTGATTTCTCCAGAGGACCAACTTCGTCGCTTCCAGCGCCTGGTTCTGTCGCACCCAAAACCAAAGTCCCGAATTCAGGTACCGGCGGCGCAGATATGGCAAACGCCGCACTGCTTTGAATACTTGCTGTTCCCGATACATTAGTGAGATCTGCGTCATCCAGGGCTTTTGACTTGGCCGCCTCAAATGCGGCAATCCAGTCGACGAGTTCAGCTTGGGTCTCAGCCTGAAGAAGGATAGTGTTCTTGTTTGTCTTGAGTTCGAAGCAGAAACGACGTTCTTCATTTGGTGCAGGGCGCACATTACAGAGCAAGACTCCAATCCTCTCACTCTCTTCCACGCCACCTCTTGGTCCTTGCACTAACCAGCCAAAGACTCCGTGGCGGATAAACGCCCATTTCTTTACCCAGACCGTCCTTGTTGGCTTTCCGCTGTACGTCCGTAGAAACAGCCAACCTTGTTTCGCTCCACTCTGCGACACTGCCTTTTTGGGCGATTGGAGTAAGGTTGATCCACTTGGTTTGTGAGCATGGCCCGGTAATTGAGGAACAGTCGACACGCCATAGTCCTCGAGTTCTCTGGATGGGCGGGTATTCAGCTCGGCGGTCTCTTCCAGCTGTTTCTTGGCCGCCAGTAGTTCTTTTCGAAACAATCTTTCACTCGCTTCCATCTCGTTCATCCAGCCTTTGATGCGCTGCATTTCCTCCGAGTTGCGTTGAAAGGTCGCCGAGCTGTTATCTCTGGACACGCGCATCTCACGCCACTGGTCCAGAAAGACCTTGACCAGCAATCGATCCAGAGCGAACCGAAACTGGGGAGTTAGGCTGAAGAAGTCCATCATCGCCTTGATATAGGTCTTTCGCGCCTCGTGCAATTGGAAGGCATCTTCCCTGAGAGATGATGCCTCTTTGGACTTTCCCAATCCTGCGTATTTCGACTGCAGATGATCAAATGTCTTCTGCGAAGCTTCCACCGCTCGACGGGCGTCCTTGAAAGCTTTGAGATCATTTTGTAAAAAGCTCTTGATCGGCTCAACCACCATCCCCGGTAATCTCTTGACCACTACTATCATGCTCATCCAGTAATCTTTGGCGCCGTCTCCGTATTTCTTCATCGCAGGTACAACATAGTCGTGGTCCACCATAGACTCGGAGAGCGTGGTTGGTAGGACCGAGTGAGTGATGAAGCTATCCAGGACATGTTCGAGTGTCAACGATTCGGTCACCAATCGATTCGTAGCCTTCATGTAGTCGTCCAGCCATTTCTCGAGCAACTCGACTTGTTCGCCATAATGGACCACCGAGGCTCGTGCAGAGGGCGAATCGAGGGCCGCTTCTTTCAGAGCAACAGGGACGAGATTAATCAGTCGGCCGACTTCATCAGCCGGCTGCAAGACTTGTGACATGGTGGCGCATGCGGAGCCGTTGGGAGTGAGGAGGGCACATGCGGATCAGATGCGGAACGGCACTACATGCCCGAAGGGTGGTGGAACAGGTGTCACATCGCCTTGTACGAGTAGCTCTCTGGACAATAGTAGTAGTAGCAGGTGGTGATGAAGGCGTGGATTTGATTTCCAGGAGGAAATGCAACGGTCATACACTGCAGTGCCGTTAGTGTCGTGTGTTTAGATGGATGTTTCGGGTTGGCGTTGAATCGACGTCAACTTCGACTTGAATCATGGAATCAAACACTAAAATAAGGCTAACGTGTTAGCGTACATCACATACCGCAGTAGGAGTACTAATACAGTGCCTACAGTTGCACTAGTAGTATAGTACAATAATAATAGTGCAGTGGAGATGGAACTTTTGTCAGTGCCAGTGCCAGTTCATCCGCCGCCAAAATTTATTTCTCGTCACTTTTTCCTTCGACGTGCGGAGACAACTACTGTCTGTACATAAACAGACCCAAAATCTTCAATTGAGAGTGACAGTGACACACTGTCGATACTCCCTTGTTTTCTGTCTAGACCATGGCTCGTGATCTGTTGAGCAGCGATGGCTCCGACAGCGAAGACGCCAGCGCCGAAGTGCAGGCCGGCGAACTCAAAGTCAACGAGGAGTTTGCCCGACGATTCGAATACAACAAGAAAAGAGAAGAAATGCAGAGACGTACGTTGCACAACCACACCACTGTTTTTGTATTTTGAATCCTAATTCTCTCTAGTGGAGGACAAACTAGGCAAGACGACGACCGGAAAACGCAAACGAGACGACGAAGACGACGATACCTCGGACGACGACTCGGAATCGTCAAGCGAGACAGAAGACGAGGGCGAACTAGTGACCGAGACGATCGACAAACAAATCATGGAGACGATCAATGCGATTCGGTCAAAAGATCCTCGCGTCTACGACAGCTCAGCCAAGTTCTATACAGAGGAAGACGACGAGACTCAAACGCAACAGCCCAAGCCAAAGAAAGAAAAGCCCATGCATCTTCAAGATTACCATCGACAAAACCTGCTCAATGGCATTACTACAACGGAAGAAGAAGACCAGGACGCGCCAATGACATACACTCAAGAACAGGAACATTTGAAAAAGTCGATTGTCAGCGAAATCCATGCCGCCGCCGCCGCGGAGTCAGAGGAAGAAGCAGAGAAGGGCGACGATGATTTTCTCGTCGCAAAGCCAAAAGAGAAGCAGTCCCAAACAGAGGCCAAGCAGCAGCAAGTGGTCACTCTTGACGTGGAAAACGCCGACAAAGACCCTGAAACGTTCCTGTCGAATTTTATGGTTTCCCGCGCTTGGGCGGCGCCCACCGACCCCAACTTGCATCCCTTCGAGTCTGACGATGACGAAGAAGAGAGACGAGCAGACGAATTCGAAGAGGCATATAATCTCCGCTTCGAGGATCCCGAAAAATCCAACGAGAAACTCCGTTCACACGCGCGTGACTTGGCAGAGAAATATTCCGTCCGAAGAAAGGAAGTCAATCCACGCCAAAAGAAGCGAGAGGCCGAAAAGGCGCGCAAGGAAGCCGAGAAACAACAACGAAAGGAAGAAAAAGCCCGTCTCCGCAAGTTGAAGATCGAGGAACTGGAAGAAAAAGTCAAAAAAATCAAGCAGGCTGCGGGCCTCAAAACCAAAGACATCCGTCCCGAGGATTGGGCTCATTTGGTCGAGGAGGACTGGGACGATGCCAAATGGGAAGAGGAGATGCAGAAACGGTTCGGCGACGAATATTACGCCGAACAAGAGGCCGAAAGCGACGAGGACAACGATGAAACAAACTCCGACAAAAAGAAGAACAAGAAGAAGAAGAAAATTCGCAAACCAAAATTCGACGACGACATCGACATCAAGGACATTGTCCCCGACTTTGAGGAGGAAGAATTACAAAAGCCGGCAATCAGTCTGTCAGACGCGGATGAAGGCGAAGCCGAAGATGAAGCTGAAGCTGAAGATTCGACAGCCGCCCAAAAGAAAAAGCAAATGAAGAAATCAGAACTCAAAAAACTCAAAGAAGAAGAAAAGCGCGACGCCAAAAAAGAACGCCGGATCATCGAACAACTCGTCGACCATCAATTGCAGTTCGAACTCGAGAGCTCGTTATTGCCATCGCAGAAGAAGCAGAAGCAAGCCGCGGGCGGCTTCCGATACCGCGAGACATCACCGAAGAGCTTTGGTCTGACGGCCCGTGATATCCTGTTGGCCGACGACAAGCAGTTGAATGAGTTTGCGGGACTCAAAAAGCTCGCTTCGTTCCGCGATCCGGAGAAGAAGCGTAAAGATGCCAAACATTTGGGCAAGAAGGCCAGGTTGAGGAAATGGCGGCTCGAGACTTTTGGTAGTGAGGAGGGCGTGCAGGCGAGCGAGTTGGTTCCTGCGGAGCCAAAACCGCAGCAAGCTGAAGCTGGACCTAATGCTGAAGCTGACGATGAGACCACGACGGTCGATATTCGTACATCAGGCAAGAAGAAGCGGAGAAGAAAGAATAAGAATAAGACGGCAGCGCAGGAAACTGAGGCATGATGCACGTGTATAAGATCCGGTACGGGTACAGTACTGTACTTGGTGCCTTCTTAGGTATTTCACTTGAGGATGCTTTCACTACCTACCAGTAGGTACGTAAACTAGAGGGGACACGAACTGTCACGCCAGGGTTGGGACTCGTCCGGTGGTACTGGTACGGCCGAAAATGACTTTACTTTTTCCTCCAGAGTATTCTAGACCTTAAAGTTGATCATCTTGGTACTGTATATACAGCTGAGGTATACGAGGAGGGCGGCGCCCGCGCCAGTAACCATTGCAATCGTCTCCTCTTTTAGGCGACTCGTTCTCGAGACGCGCGTTACTGCTCCCTCTCTCTCTCCCTCCCTCCCTCCCTCCCTCCCTCCCTCTCTCTCTCTCTCTTTTCTGTCCTGACCAGTTTCGTTGTGGCTCTGGCTCTCTATGAGACTACACCAACACTCTTGACGCCGAGTTCCAGATTCCGTGCGTTTGCAACCAATTCCGAATAGCGGTAGGTCTTCTGGTAAGATGTCGGCATGGACCACCAAGATATTTGTAGTACTGCCAACGAGGATGTGTGGATCCTAGGGGCACGCGTAACCCATTGAAGGGTCGGGATGAGCTGCATGGATAGGGTAAGTTTATGCCGTTAGCAGCTGAGGTTGCCTTCAGTGTGTGTGCTTTGCCAGGGGGTCCTGGCATGGCAGTGGCAGCCGCAAACTCATCGAGTACGGTCTAGCCTGCCTCAGATTCTGAACCGCGGCGCCACGGAATGTGGCCAATTCCGTTGTCTTGTTTGAGGTAACATAGCGGCTGATCTAACACGGTCCACCCATAGTCTTCGGCCAGTGGAAAGACTACCACTGTATAGTGACTGACTGTTGAGGGATGATCCTGGCAGGATAAGCATAAGCTGGACACAGCCAGCCTCGTGCGGAGTCCACTCCGTCTTTCTAGACGGAAGAGAACTCGAAGACGAACTGCAATGTGCTGCTCGCTCGCTTTTGTCTTTCCTTTCAGGGCAGTTGGGCGGAATAAAATGTCGTGGCATCGCTCACAAGATTCGAGACATCCGGCAGCTGGCTCTGCTCCAGAGACTCCATGAGTTCCATCTGCTGCTGTTGACTCAGAGACTGCATCTGATACGTCGACGGGTACGATTGCTGCATATATCGCGAATACTCCTCGCCAAATGGCGCCAAGTAGGGAAGTTCCTCATAATTCATATCTGGTGAATGCGTGGTGATGCCGGGGATGATGCCAGGCATAGCTGGCGCAGCAGTACTACTCCAGAGACCGCCCGATGCATCTGCGGCCATACTGTAAGGGTCGAATCCAGGGAGACTGTAATGGAGAGATTGCATGTGTTCCGATGTTCCACGTGGGATCGGAGAGGTGCCAGTGCTGGTGGCCGTCGCGTACGATGGACTAAGCTGATGTGATTGGCTGGATGTGGGAGGTCCAGACTGGTATGACTGAGGGTGGTGGTGGTAATCGACGTAGCCAGTTGCCGCGTTCTTGAATGTATGGCGGTGACCAGCAGTGGTGTGTGCACTGTGGACCGATTGCGGTGACTGGGCGCCATAGAGTGAGGTATTGGTAGTGCTCGCAGGGCTATTGTCGAATTGTGACGTTGTTGCGGACGAACTCACATCCTGAGTATTGGTCGATGATGAGACGTAGTCAGACTGTGGGGATTGGGATACGGCGAGTTTGTCCACCTCGTAAGCCTTGAGACATCCAGACACAAGGTTTTCGTACAGTTGCTGCGCGGATCGGACTCCAGGCCATCGGTCGGCACATAGATCGATCGCCTTCAACGCGTCTTGAATGTGCAACTGGACTTCCTCGATCGGGTGCTGCTGACGAATTCCTGGGTACGATAGACTCCAGAGGACGGTGTTCAGGGCCATGAAAATGGCCTGGGTGAAAATCCAGGTAATATCGATTAGACGTGCTTCGACCTGGCGTTTTTGTAATTGAATGTTGAAGACCGCTGCAGCGTAGCATCGCTGGGCCGCTTCGAAGGACGGAATGGGAATCTGCGGCGAGGGCCGGTACATGAATACTATCATGGTGTTTTTGCGGCCGATGAACCTAGCAGAAACGTAAGTAACTGGTAAACCACACCTATTAATCTATTGCAAGGGATTGGACATACCAACTCTCGCTCAGCCCTGAGCCTTCGTCATTCTTGGGGCAATCCCGGACCCAGTCGTCGATCTTTTTCAGCATCATACTAAACCAAGGGTCCTTGTCCGAAGTTGGAGTTTCGCGCTTTCGGAGGTACAACGTCCGCCTAATCTCGGCCTGTAGGAGCCGCATCTTGAAGAAATGAATTGATATGCATTTCTTCATGATCGGATGATGTCCTGGAAGCAGTCCATCCGGAGTAATAAATCGATCATCGCAAAGCTCGAAGAAATTGACGTTGATGTTGTCCACCGTGACGCCGAATGCACTTGGCCTTCCGAGGCTGTGAGCCAGGCCGTATTCCATCGATGTGATGATCCAAAACAACCGTCGTCGCATGTCGACTTCGAGATGATTCGGGCGAGGCCCTGAAGGCGGCTTAAGAATTGTCTCTTCTTCACACAGTCCTAGTTCCTGACATAGCTTTGCGGCGATTCCCACAACCCAATATGCTGCCGTCCTTGTCGGCGTGAGAAGTGAATACTGAGCAATGAGGGCGAAACATTGCAACGTCGACAAATCCATCTTTTGCACTGCTCCGGTCAGAAACGGCAAGGCAGCCAGATAGTAGCTGTCAGCAAGACCGGCGTATTGCGTGTCAAGTTTCTGCATACTGATGGCGATTACCATGCGCACTTGAAAGTTGAGCGTCACATCCGTGGAGCCCTCGTAGACTGCCTGCAGTTCAGAACGAAAAGAGGGCTCGTGCAGCAAAGGGAGCATGTATTGAGCCTTGACCATGTAAATCTCGACCAAGCGATCCATGAGTTCACGGTTTGGTAGGTCCGGCGCGGCAACGGAGCTGATCAGAGGGTATACCTTGGAGGTCGGCTTACCACTCTCGGCATCGAATTTCTGCTTGATCTCTTGCGCGGCATGATGTGGCACGACGTCTTGGATTGTTCTCTTGGCCGAGTTCTGCTTTGCGAACTCCATGACAAAGCGCGTGATGGCAATCCCGCTGGACGGCCCCAGAAAGCGACAGTCGTCGTTCTCACTGAATTTGACCAGGCCGGCAGCCCGCGCCATGGCCTCGTGGTCAGGTTCGTCGTCCTGCTCATTGTCCAACACCTTTAGTTCTTCGTTGAGTCTGCGGACGGTATCTTGCAAGGAAGTGATATACGCCCGGGGTATTGTTCTGTTCTTGACCGAATCGTAGTACTCGCAATGGGCATTGCTTCTCTCGCAGGGTCCGCACCGAGGCAAGGCAGGGTCACATCTAGTTTTACGCTGTTGTTCCTGTCAGCGATGGCCTGGACACAGTCAAGGAATGTGAACAAGCCTACCTGCCTGCACCGCACGCAGGCAGTCACGGTGTGATGAACTTTGTCCCTCGATCTCGCCGTCTCTGGCGAGTCAGCCATGACCGCATTTTGCCCCTCTGCCATCAATACCTAACGAGAGGCAGGCAGTGTATTCGTGCGCTCAGTCCTAGATGTGCCGTGAAATCCTAACGTTCTTTCTTCATGATTTGCGCCGGGTTCACCAAAGCCGAGGAGAAATGCGAGCATAACCGTTGTGCATCTGGGCTGCCTGAAGGCTGGGGGCCATTGGATCGTGAACTTGAACGGCACACAGATGAACAGCCCGGCAGGATCAGGATTGCGTGCAGCCGTAATAACAGCAAGCCTGTCACCGGCGACTAGGACTGTACAATGGCTAACAGCCAACGCGATCAGATAAACTGGAAGAATGCCCCGTACGACCTTCAATCAAGGACAATAAATTATGGATCATTTGACACCCGCAGAGGCAAACTTGATGTGCAGGTCTAGAAGCGGAGGACCACGAGAGTTTGGCCCACAGACACTGCCAGTGTCACGGACGAACCCACGCTTGGATGAGCAGGTCCGGTGGGCGGCTACGACCACAACCTTTAGAGTTGTACAACTTGAACACCAGCACTAATACCTGGTAATGCAACTCACATCCAACCGAGGTCTACCAAAGGGAATTGCTAATACTACTCGACGACGTGAAGCGTGTTCATGAAGCTCGAAAGGCGTGGCCTGACTCGCTTTTTGAATTCATGCTCAGATCTAGATTGTACACGAAGCTTGAACGCCTGTAGATGCCGGATATTACGGGCATGGCACCTGGGCACTTTTAGGGCTGAACAGTTAACCCACTCGTATGGAAGATGCCTATCGGATCAAAGCTGGTGCACCTCCGATAGGCACTGCTTCCCCTTGAAGTCGTCACTCAACGCCTATGGAGCCCCATACTGCCCCCTAAAAACCTTGAATGGCAGACCGGCAACGTTTTGACGTGAAAGCCGCCCAGGTGAAAGCCGCCCAGGTGAAAGCCGCCCAGGTGAAAGCCGCCCATGATTGGCATTGGTACAGCCCGTGGCAGCAGCATGCGCACTACCAGCCTGCCAGTGAGGGACCCTACAAGTCCCTACGAGTCCAAGCGATGTGTCTGAGGGTGTGGATTCCCCTGCCGCCGCATCGTTGGGCCCGAGGGACCCTTTGCGATGCTACTGCCACGACCGCCGCCGTGGGAAGTGCCGTGATGGCTTGTATAACCTTCTTCACTTCCAGGTTTCTTTGCGATACTACCTAGTGGGTAAGAAATCCTTTTATGACCGTTGGGCAAAACGCTGCAATGGCCAATTGCGCCTGAGATCGTCCTCTTGCCGCTGATCGTCTGTTCCAACGACTGGTCAACTGCCTACTAGTATCCATCACTCTTCTGACCCCGCGTGGGCGAAGATCAGAACTGCCTTGATCCTACTCGGCTGGTTCGAGGTATTCGACCAAGGCGATCAGATCACAGACCACAGACCATAGGCATGCGCTGATTTCATTCTGCGTCCGTTACAATTCTTTCAATGCCGAAGACTGAATCCGTCGAGGCGCTGTTGAACCCGTCTCTGCGGGTATCCAGGCCCGTTGCGGCGTGCGCAAGATGTCGCGCGGCAAAGATCAAGTGCGATGGCAAGTTGCCTGCCTGTTCGGCCTGTGAACGCTCAGGGAAATCCGACAGCTGCACCAGCGCGAATGACGAGTTTGCCCGTGGCAAGGAAAGAAGTTATGTTGCTGCTCTGGAGGCCGCTGCGCAGAGACTCCAGGAAAAGATCGCAAATGCCAAATCTCAGTCCAGCCATTACAATGCCAGCACCAACACAAATACCAACCTGGGACAACCGCCTTCTCGCAGACGTAAAATCAGCGGCACCCGGCGAAAGGAGGCTTCAGATGTTGATGAGCTGGTCAGCGACTTTGGCTTCTTGACTGTCAATGCCACCTCCCGTGATTTTCATGGCTTCACAGCCACCATGTCCTTTGCGAAACTGCTCCTGTCCGCGGCAGCGAGAAAGGAACTGCCTCCTCTCGAAACCCAAGGTCTTCCACCGCGATATGCCATCACGCCGATGATCGACCACTACCTCGACAACATCTATGTGTTATTCCCTTTGTTTTCCGAAACAGATGTCATGAGTAGTTTATCACGAATCTACCACGAACCGTTGGCTGGTCCCTCGTCAGTCAGCCCGTTGGACGTATGGAATGTACGGCTGATTTTGGCCATTGCATATGCTTCAAGGTCACAACACCGAGGCGATGAGAACGATAACGCGGCTCTTCAACATGCCGCTGCAGCCAGGGGCCTCGCCCACTACGTCCTCCATCCAGGTTCAACTGCCGGCCTGCAAGCGCTTCTGCTGCTGGTGCAGTATGCCTTGGTTGATCCAGCCCATTTTGACTGCTGGTACCTGATGGGCATGGCGTCTCGGCTCATGGTCGACCTGGGACTACATTGCGAACCGGCGGCGGAGACGAAGATCAGCAAGGACACGCTGGATCTTCGACGGAGAATATTCCATTGTACCTACGCTTTGGACCGGCTGGTGAGTATGTCACTGGATCGAGCATTCTCCTTCACCGATGATTCGGCATGGGGTGTGCCTCTTCCCGAGTCCGCCGCTGATCCGTCACCGTCATCACCGTCATCAGCGAGACTCTTTTTGCGCTCCACGCGGCCAGCGCTGTACCTGTTTGACATCCGTCGCGTCGAATCAGCCTTCTACCAAGCGACGAGATGGTCATCCCGCTCCCAGTGGCCCTTGGCGACAGCAGCAACCTATGCTAGTTCAGTGTCGAACGACATCCACGCCTGGTACTCGACCATTCCGACGACTCTTTCCCAGCGTCATCTGATGCTCTTCAATCTTGAACGCTTGTACTGCCAGATCTTGGTGGTCTCGCCGAACCCAAGGGTGCCTGCCAGCTGTATGACAGACCTCAATAAGGAGCTGGTATTTGAGTACTCAGCCCAATATGCAGACCTCCTGCAGCCCATTACTCAAGACGTGAGCTGGCATGCGTATCTGACCTACGCAGACATTTGTCGGGCGAAATATGTCGGGCAAAAATTTGTAGAAGTGATGTGGTCAGATTTCGATCGATTGGTGAAGACGTCCCATGCTGTTCGAGCAAATGCGGCGAGCTCGGGCAGCGTCCTGCTGGATAACATCCAGCGCGCTACACTCTGTCTGCGCAGAATCATCGAGATCCTCGATTTTGCTCGTCAGCGCTGGGAGATGCCGGAGATGAAGGAGAAATTTGAACAAGAATCGGCGGTGCTCTTTTCTCGGCTCAGAAGCAGGCAAATGGACGTGGCCGCAGTCCCGCACACGAAACCCGCCAACGCACCAGCACCAGCACCAGCACAGCCGAGCATGGCTTATCGCAGTCCGGGCGAGAACATCTACAATCAGTACTCATTCAATGGAAATCCAGATATGCAGCTGCCCAGTCCGCCTCAGAACCAAGAGCAGCGTGGGCATCCTCAGCATCCAAAACAGCAGTTGCTTACGCCGCCAGAAGAGCATCATATGCGACCGAACTACGCCCTCCCCCAAGGGTCTCTCCCCCGCCGCAGTTATGAATTCTTCGGCGAGCATCGAGAACGCTAACCTGATCACCAATAATAATGATTATGGAACAATGGAAGGATCCGCCGTGCAAGTCGAGCGAGCCGGCCTCGCCTGGTCACTTGCGCATTCTACTGTTTGACCTTTCAGAGAGGAGGATGTGGTGTCAACCTGTCAGGGCCCGAACAAAGAGGCGGCGGACGCGGTTGTGGGCGGACTGCACGTGTTGGCCATCGAAGTGCTTATTGGCCTTGAAACGGCCATCATAGACACAGTTTGCATCCCGTCCGGGATAAAATTGTCAACGGACACGACCTTGTCCTCACAAAGGGGGGCTGATCGTGGAGTTACGCAGACTGCAAGCTTCTGGTCTGTGGCATTGTGATGTATAAGAGTCGATCTCGGCGCAATGCCATGCGAGTCCCATTCAATTTGCCGTTCAAGTTGTTGCAAAACAATCAAATAAACTGCAGTGTGCGCAGAATCCCCACCTCTCGTGCCTGTCACGTGCAACCACGAAACACTGACACCCCGGCCGCGACCCTGCGACGCCGACTCCTGCGACCTGCGCGCTGATCTGATCGACTATCGCCGCAGCAAGTTTCTCTGGGATCAGATGTTGCAGGCCAAATCTTCTCTCTCCTCGAGAACTACCTACCAAATACCTAGCTACAAACCCACGATATTCTGAACTGCACGGCGGTCGACGTCTGTGGCTGCGTTCACTCCGGAAACTTTCCCCGGCCGCGTTGCTGCAAATGACATCATCCGAGGACCTTTCAACCCGCGACAACTCGCAGCATCTTCAAGTTCCATACTTCTGCAAATGTACAGTTGATGTATAGAGTTGCATACGCGACTTAGAGTTCCATCCTTGTCAGCTGCTGGTGTGTGGTAGATGTCGGGCTTTTCACTCCGCTAGCAATGGTCCGCTTCACTGGCGGCCTGCTACTGTTCACGGCTTGGGCAGCAGCAGCGCCTGCGGAAACTCCTTCACAGCATGATCAAACACAGAAGGTCTTAGCAAAGCCGTCCAAGCCGCAGCCTTCTCTACGGCCGCTGCAGGGGAAGTTCCTTCATATAACAGGTATGTCTGCTGGGTCTTCCTGATCGTGGCGCAGCTTTTTGCTAACGGGGATTGTAGACATTCATCCCGACCCATTTTACCTAGAGCATTCCGACCCTGGCGAGGTGTGTCATCGAGGCAAAGGCGATGCGGGATACTATGGCGCAGAAGTAACAAGTTGCGACACACCATTTACACTGGTAAACGCGACGTTTCGGTGGATCAAAGAGCACTTGAAGGATCAAGTCGATTTCGTGATTTGGACGGGGGATTCGGCGCGACATGACAACGACGATAATATCCCTCGAAACGACAAGTCCGTCATCCAACTGAATCAGTTTATTGTGGACAAGTTCGTGGAGGTGTTTGGCAAGACCGATAACGTCGATGACCCAGACCCGACCAATGATTTTGTTGTCCCAATTATCCCTACCTTTGGAAACAACGACATACTCCCACACAACATTTTTCTGCCTGGTCCGAACAAATGGACGCGATCATACAGCGAGATATGGGAAAAGTTCGTCCCTCAGGCGCAGCGGCACTCATTCGCAAGAGGAGGATGGTTCTTCACAGAAGTCATACCCAACAAGCTGGCCGTCTTTAGTCTCAACACCTTGTACTTTTTCGACTCCAATTCGGCTGTCGACGGCTGTGACTCGAAAAGCGACCCAGGTTACGAGCATATGGAATGGCTGCGGGTCCAGTTGCAATTTTTGAGGCAACGGGGCATGAAAGCTATATTGATAGGCCATGTTCCCCCGGCAAGAACCGAGAGCAAACAGAGCTGGGACGAAAGTTGCTATCAGAAGTATACCTTGTGGCTGCGGCAGTATCGGGACGTGATTATCTCATCCATGTTTGGACATATGAATGTGGATCATTTCATGTTTCAAGACGCCAAGGACTTGATTTACAAATTCAAAATTGAGGGCGTCGATGATGAATTCGAACGCACGAACGCAGATTTATCCGACTCAAACAATGACACGTTCACCATCTCTGCAAAAAGTCAATATTTGAAGGAATTGCGGAATAAGTGGTCCAATCTACCTACACCCCCTCCCGGGCATTCATATCTTACGCCTGAGGGAGTCGACTCTTCCGAGCTCGTTGAGATCGAAAAGAAGAAGAAGAAGGAGGGCAAGAAGAAGAAAGGTGGCAAAAAGAAACAAACCGAGCAATTCCTCAAGGATATTGGAGGACCATGGGGAGAGAGATTCAGCGTCAGTTTGGACTCACCCAGCGTCGTGCCCAACTTCTTTCCCACACTACGAATTTTCGAATACAACATCACGGGAATGGAACACGATCATCCGGCTTTTAGTCCGACAGGGATTCCGGGAGAAGCGTCCGAAGTAGAACTCGAGCCATACCCTGATGGTGAAGACGCTCTTATTGATGTGGCCGACCGCGATGACGACCGTGACTTCGATCTTGATCACTTCGAAGACGATTCAGACGACTTGCACGACCTCAAGAAGAAAAGGAAAAAGGGCAAGAAAAAGAAGAAGAAGAATCGCAAGAAGAAGCCCAAGTTTCCTGTTCCTAAACCTCCTTCCGCCACATCGCCGCCAGGCCCAGGCTACTCCCCTCAGCCGCTGTCTCTGATATCTTACACGCAATACTATGCCAATCTAACCGAGATTCACCAACGAATGCATCAGGACAAGACACTGAAAAGAGACCCCTACAAGTATTTCCACTACGAATTTCTCTACAACACCAAAAATGATAGTTATTACCACATGCCAGATCTGACTGTGCGGTCATATCTGGATCTTGCGGAGAGGATAGGAAGGGACACGCTTCCTCGCGCTGACCAGCCGCAGTCTGAGTCCGATATTGCGGAGCAATCGGATATAAAAGCTTCTCGGAATGGAAATGGTAAGAAGGAAAAGAAGCAGAAGAAGATAAAAAATCACCTCTGGAAGGTTTTTGTTAAGCGGGCTTTTGTCTACACTAAGCCGGACGAGGAGATTGATCAAGATTTTGGAGATTGATCAGGAAAGAGAAAGACTTTGGATGAAAGGGAGTAAGAGTTGGCATACTGCCCTGAAATGTGCTGTACGATTAAGCATATACTGGCTGCAGTGTATGTGCGGCTGCAGTGCGGTCCAGAATCTGGACTGCTTGGGCGAACTGAACTTTTGGCGAGCGATGCATATCAAGCCGAAGGTTGTGTACTTGTTTTTTGGTACTTGTATAGATACAAAAGTGTCGTCTTACACCTCAGTTGATCTTATCAGTTCCTTTAACAAGCCAGCCTGTGGGCACGTTTTTAAAGCCCCGTACTGTACAATCCCAGTAGTGAGGAGCAGGGGTGATGCGCGGACTACTACTAACATCGATCATTCGTTGCGTGTCGTCGATTCAAGAGTGTTTTAGTTGTTTCATGCTGCTAGGTGATAGTTCAAACCAAAAGCGGCGTCCTCTCATCCACTGCTGCCTGTACACTTGTCCTACTCGTACTCGTAGCCGTAGTACTTCTAGTACTTGGACATCTCGCTCGTTGATGTTGTTGTCCGAGTCCTCCTCGTTCTCGTTCAACGTCCATTTGAGAGTGAGGCCGAGGTCGAGGATCAGGATCGCACGGCACTATTACAGGCTGTACCACCAATATACGGCGGTTGGTAGAACGTGATTCAACTTTCCTTCTAACCCACCTCCCCAATTTCACAGCCATGCAAATCCCCAGCACACAACCCAACGTGACCAGCACGGCAACCACGACAGAAATAAAAGTCATACTTGAACATCGACAACTGAATGGCCGAGCACGCATTTCCCATCGTTCCCGCCATCCCAATGGACAGATGGTGGATGATTTAATTGGTGATAAAATTCCGAATGGGTATGGGTAGATTGTGTTGGGGACGCAAGTCTGGGAAGTCTCGCACCAGCTGCATGGATAGGGGTTGGTGGGGGATAGGCAGGATGGGCAGGATGGGCGCATCCAGCAGTGGAGGAAGAGGTCGAGGTCGTCGGAGTTTGAGGTATCGTCGAAGATGATGCTGGGGAATTCATGGTGAGTGTTGCTGGTGGTGTTTGATTCTGTGGTGAGGTTGAGTAAGTTGGCGATATTGGGTGGGAGAGTATAGTTGGATAGATTCAACTTGGCTAAGTTGAGGTCCGAGTTCGTATGGGTACTGTTATGATTCTGGTGTATTGTGGTCATAGTCGTGGTTATGGTATCGTATAATGTGGTGCGCGGATACGATTTGTTTCATCTATACACCGAGGATCGTGGCTCGCGTTGAATCGGCAGCAAGTTGGCGGGACCGAGTGCTGCGGTGGACTGGAACTGTCTGATGATTCGGACTTCGTGTATTGATTGTGGGCTTCAAGTTAGCTAGCACCTTGTACGAAGGCCTGTTCGGTGACAGCATCACATTGTACAGACACGGACAGACACTTCAAGTTACGGATGGCTTGAAGTTCAACATGAAGAGAGCGGATGGGAAGCTGACTAAGAATTGCGGGATATGGGCTACGTTCTCCGATTGGCTCAACTCAAGGCTGTGTTTTTGCCAGACACTGCAGTTCTCGTCACGTGGAGTCACGTGTGAGGCTTGCGCTATGAATCTTATTTTGACGGTCTGGAAGTTCGATCTCTTCTGCCTTCGATCTCAGTATGTCCCCGACCGAGATGTTCTCCTCGAGGCTACCCATGCTTACATTGTGGGTGCCCGGGGAGTTACAAGAAACAATGCCGGCTACCGTATGGATGAATGTAACGTTCACCTCACCAAAGGCTGGTTGAGACTTAGTTGAAGGGCCAGAGGACCCGGCATCATTTCACGTGATGGCACCTGAAGGACCAAAGAAGAACTAATGGCATCCACGGCGACTTGTGCTAGATTGATGAGGCTCACAAGAGAGCCGACATATGCTTGACCAGCAGGAAAAATGCAAGGAACTTGCGGGGAGGCTAGGTCCCCTGAGGCCTGCCGTCCCCTCGGAGGCAGTTCGCCATTATGTCTGGCTTGAGCGTTCTCATATGAACACACCTGGGCATTCTGTAAGTCAAGCGGTTCTGCAGTCCTGTCATTGTTGGATGTCGTTGTTGAGCATGGTTGATTGGCCGGGAGCAACTCACAATGAAAATTGCCATTGCCTATGCTTTGTTAAGACCACGCTCGATCGATGTCTTTGTCAAGCAGCGAAGACGATGGCATTGTCCCCGGACAAGGCAGCTGAACATGGCTCAAAGGCGTGGCTGCTCCTGAAAGAGAATCTTTGCACAATGAAAAGTGGAAGCTGTTTGATGCGGCATCTGCGGGATATACCCTCAGGCGCTCTTCCAGCCTTTCTCACTTTCCGCTCCTCGCCTCTCCATATATACATATGAGATGATAAAATAATAGTGTCGTGGTTGATTGATCGGGCCGGATGAATTCCTCTTTGCACCGTGGTAAGGTGCCCTGATTGTTGTGGTACGCGGAGACAGGATGGTCAAGTATTGATTCACTTGCACGAGACTCGAAACAATAGGCGTTGCGTTCCAAATGCGAACACAGGGCAGTCGCGCAGTCGAACCCATTGTCTTCACTGCCTCGTCATGAACACAGGGCGCAATCGCCAAGCGACCACATTCACTTCACTGCCGTCCCGATTCGGTCAATAACCATTCACTCGTTGCTGCGACTGCGATCACACAAAATCCTTCTTCTTCTCTTCTGACTTTCAGTCTTTCGATCTTCTCTTCTCATCACCATAACTCTTCTTCAACACCTCGATCATCACTTGGATCATCCAGCTTCATCATCAAGCACGAGTAATCGTTCCTTGATCCTTGAAGCTAATCATAGTCATCCTCCTCATCACTCTTCTTATCAAGCACGAGTAATCGTGTCTTGTTCTTCAATCCTCATCCTCGACCTTCTTCATCACTCTTCTCGTCACCTTTCTCCTCTCTCACCTTCTAGGTCAAAGCTCAACGACAGCAATCATGGCCGGATTCACAGAATTTATCTCTGTCCTCTCTCTCCTGGTGATGTACGTCCAGCAGAAGGCGTTCGACTCAATCCTCGCCATCCCCTCCCAGATGGCCTCTTTCTTCCATAACACCGCCAACATTTTCACCCTCAGCGGCACTGTTCGTCCTCGTTTGGCAGTGACCGAGTATGTCACTGAAACAATCAAAAGCACAATGACTGTCATAGCAGCAGCTCCCTGGAGCACTGTGACCAGCGCAGCCACAGTCGTTGTGAATACTACCAAGGCCTTGCCAACCTACACCGTAACGGTGTCAGGTTTTACAGAAAAAGGTCTCGATGTCATCACGTACCAGAGTCCACGCAACCCATGGCAGCTATGGCAAGTCCTCCTGCTTGTGTTCGTGATGTTCTTGGTTCCAGTCATTTTCGTGGTGAGCTACGTCTTGAACGAGCTTTCCCTCCATGCGGGAGAAGAGGTCTGGCGGTTCCTTGGGTATTACCAAGGCCGGTTTCAACGCGGGTTTATCCCATACCTCATCAGCACCCTGCACCGTGATCTGCATGTCTTCCTGTGGCATTGCTCCAAGAAAGTTAAATCGGCTTTGAAATTGATCCAGTCTGGAGTCTTAGCTGTCTGGTACTTTTTCGACACCTTGCATCGTGCTGTGCATGTCTCTGTCGACACCCTACATCGTGCTGTTCACGTCTTCTTCAACACCCTGCATCATGCTCTGGATGTATTCCTGTGGCATTGCTCCAAGAAAGTCGAGTTGACTTTGGAATTGCTCCGATCGGCGGCCTCGGCTGCCTGGGACAAAGTCCTGGAGATGCTCTGCGCCTTACGAGGTCAGTTTATCAAGGCCGTGCCAATCATCTCGATGATGATGGTGACAATTCTCCTCTGGCTTTGCGACAAGTTCATCCGGTTGACATACCAAGCGTGCTTGGTTGCTTTCCGCATCTGCGAGATCGTCTGGCTCTGGATCAAGGAGGCCCTCTTGGCTCCTATCAAAGAAAAAGCATTCGAACCATTGAATGCCAGTATCCGCCAACGAGTCAACAGGTTCAAAGAGATGGTCGGGGCGATGCCCCTGATCCAGAAACTCGTAGGCCATGCCGACATTGCGCCAGCCGCCCCCAACGAGGGTCCCGTCACGACGCCTCAGCGGCCAAACCGATTCCAGGTGCCGTACTCTCCTGACTCGCCCCAAGACAACACGATCCAGATCGATCGTGCCGAGTATGAGGCACTCCTGCTGGCTTCTAAGCGGGTGGCACAGTTGGAAAACGAGGTCCGCAGTGAACAACAGAAGGTCGTCGAAGCTAGAGAAGATACGATCAAGATCATCCAGGACGAATCGGACTACTGCACGATGAAAATGGCGGAGGCCGATCGAGCCAGAAAGGAGCGCGAGAAGGCCGAGCAGATGTTGGAAACTCGTGAGGCCGAGCACGCAAAGGCTCTTGAAATCGCCCACGGGGAGACCGAGAAGGCCAAGGACGAATGTCGTACCAGAGGCCAAATCATGCAGGAACGTCTCGAGGAGATCGGAAAGATCTCGCTCGACAAGCAAGCTGTCCAGGAGGAGCTGGACGCTGTGAAGGCGGAGCTGGGCATGGTCAAGACGGAGCGGGATGCGGCCAGGGCTGAGGCCTTGGTCCTGACCCAAGAGTTGGCTGCCTTGCAGGGCGAGCTGGACCGGGTTAACTCGGTCCCAGTGGCACAAGCTCAAGCACCTGCCGGCCAACCGGCGCCGGGGCCACAGACCGAACAACAGTGGGGCCAACAAGAGCCTCCTCTGGAGGCGCGTGTCAGTGTCCCGATGGGACAGCAGGCAACCCCACTGTTCCCGGCTGTGGTGCCTGAGGCACCGTCCCGCCCAGAAGACCACCAGCATCCGGATGGTGGTATGCTGGTTGATTCCGTCGGGCAGCAGGCGACGCCTGTCCAGTCACCTGTCCAGATGGCAGTGTGGCAGCCGGCTCCCGTCCCGATCCAGCAACAGGCTCCCGTCCTGACCGAGGGTCCGATGGACTTCGAGCAGGACGAGGAGGTGCCTCCGGCAGTGGCCGAGGCCGAGACTGGGCCCTCCCCAGTACCCTGGCAGGGCGTCGTGGTTCCAGGACAGTGCCTTCCAGGACTGTCGGTGCCTTACGAGGGACGTCAGGTTGGCAGTGGTCCAAGCGAGAGCGATGCTCCGCTCCCTGTCACCCTGACCGCATACGGTACTCCATGGCATGATGACAACGTTGTCAACGGGGTAGGAGATCTGCTGATCTCATACCCTGAGCCTGAACAAGACATGCCCATGGATCAACTGGCGTCAATTCCCCTCTCGGCCGAGCCCGCCGCCGCGATCCCAGCCGATCCTGCTCTGGATGACGACTCGACCATGGAAGAGGCTGCACAAGAAGACGGGCCGGTCGCGACCGTCGTCAACGACGTGGCCAGCCAAGAGGCTGCACAAGACGCGCCTCAAGAAGAAGTCGTGCCTGCTCCGCCTGCCCAACCCGAGTGCGCGGTCGTCGTTGGCGTTGCCAACGACCCGGAAATGCAAGAGGCTGCCGCTGCCCAAGACGTGCCTCAGGAAGAAGCCGGACAAGGCGAGGGATCCGAGTCGGATACGATCTCGGACATCGTCGACTTCAACGCCGTCTTCCAAGATCCTGGCCAAGAGACGCCTGCTCCTGCTCAAGAACAAGAAGGCCAAGGCGCTGGACAGCCGGCTTCGCCTCGCCGACCGGAGTCGGCCACCTCGGACCTCACCGACCTTGGCAACCCGGCCACGCTGAGTCCAGTCTTCGGCAATCAAAGCCCAAGATTTGGAGCTCTGCCAGAAGGAGCCACGGGGAGCCCAACAGGGCCGACCCCGGGTTCCGGCGAGATGAGTCCGTTGACTCCTCCTCCGGCCAGCCCGATGGGCGAGCAGCCAGAAGGCGCGAGCGATGGCGAAGAGAGTGAAGGTTCAGAGTACGAACTCCCCGGAACTCCTCCTCCTCCTTCCCAGTACGAACTCGGCCGGGAGAACAGCCCGGTTCGAACGTGGGCTGCAATCAATCGCCCAGCAGCGACGCCGACGACCAGCCAGGTTTCCAATGGCGGTCCAGGTTCGGCCGTCTTCGTCCCTCCTGTCAATGAACAGGGCGTTGTCGTTTCTCCGGAGTTTGTTCCAACGATGGCGCCACCGACGACAAGCCAACCCCCGGCCCTGACCAGTACTCCGGTCAGCCAGAGCATTTTTCAAGCAATGATGAATGCAGTCATCAGTACGCCGGGATCCGAGTCGGATACAGCCAGTGAGGCAGACTAGAGAACTCCGAAGAGCCAGCTGATGCTCGGCCAGGCGATGCCGGCGAAGAAGCACAGCAGGGCGAAGGAGAGAGACTCTTATGGACGACGGCGACGACGACGACAGAGCGGTTTCGAGTCGCGGCACAGGCCACCCATTGGCAGACAACAGTCAAGGGAAGAGCCAAATCATCATAAGGGCAGACAGGAGCCCAATGGTGAAGAGACAATGAAGAGGATCGAAACGGTCAACTGAATCAAACGCAGGTCCATAAGGGGATGGAGGGAGACGTCAACGTCGCAATCAGAGCACCTCCTCCTCGAGTCCAGACAACAGGACAGACCCAGAACCGGGACCGACACCGAAGACATGGCTGAATGACTGGAGCGGGACTCCAATCTAGAGGAGGGGAAGGAAAAGTTCCAGACAACAGGACAAATCCAAACCATGACTCCAAGCATGGTTGAATGACCAGAGCAGGACTCCAATCTAGAGAAGGGAAAGGGAAAGTATCAGACAACGGGACAACCCCAAATCCAAACCATGACTCCATGACGTGGTTAATGACCGGAGCAGAACTCCAACTAGACGAGCCAAGGGAAAAGGAAAAGTCCAGACCAGACAAATCCAAACTCAAACCCAGACCCAAGAAAGACACGGTTGAATGACCGGAGCAGGACTCCAACTAGAGGAAAAGGAGCAAGAGAAGGTCCAGACAACAGGACAACCCCAAATCCAAACCGTGACTCCAAGACGTGGTTAAATGACCGAAGCAGGACTCCAGCCAGACGAGGAAAAGGAAAAGAAAAGTCCAGACAACAGCACAATCCCAAACCCAGAACCAGACCTTGAGACATGGTTGAATGGCCAGAGCAGGACTCCAACTACCAGAGAAGGAAAAAGAAAAGCCCAGATGGCATGACAAATCCAACCCAAACCCAGATACGAGACACGGTAACAGGACAAACTCAGAACCAGGCCCAATAAAGACACGGTTCAATTACCGGAGCAGGACGCCCATCTAGAGAAGGAAAAAGAAAACGAAAAGTCCAGACCAGACCAGACAACAGGACAGAGACAAAGCCAAACTCAGACTCAACCCAAACTCAAGAAAGATATGGTTGAATGAATGATGAGACCCGACCGACCCGAGCTGGACTCCGGGATCCATGATGTTGACAAACAGAAAGCTATCATCCCGAAACTTAAAGGGGATGAATGAATGAATGAACGGATTGCATGGCAGGCCAATGCCGGATGAAAATGGGAGTTTGCAGTATGAATTTGAGCACACAGGTCCAAGTTTTTGCTTTGAAACGGGTTCGTTCGGACAGCATAGCAGGGCTGGAGTCAAGTCAACTTGCTTTCAATAATGGTATTGAAGTGCTTCATGCGGGTTTTTTTCTCAGTTACGGACATGGCACTGGGATAAGACGGATAGACAAGTCGAAAAGTCGACTAATTGAATTGATTTCCTGAAAAACAAAAAAGAAACAAGTATCTTTCCTTTCCTCGTGCATTAATATTGCGTTTCCTTGTGAGTCGAGGGTTTTGAAAAGGTCATCTTAGATTCTCAAGATTGCAGGGTCGAAGTAACCACAGGCGCAATGCTACGTAGTCATGATGGCGGAACAACAGAGGGCTATGCCTGGACAATACCAAATCAAATGGCGACTCTTGCTTCACACATTGCACGACATTATCAACTTAGGTAACCTACATACGATACTATATTGTCTGTTACTCTTAAGTCACTTGGCCGCAATCTACTCATGTCCCCCCGCAATGCCATAGCAGCAGACCGTACAGTACATTTTGTTTCGCATAACACTTCATGCAGAACAGGACAGAAACACAAAATTGGAATGACAAAAAAAAGACTATCTTCTATCACTGCAATTATCAAGCACTACCGTTCTGCACGGCTTCCGAAGCCTTGATTTCACCCCGGACGCCACCTTTGCCCCCGACATGCCGAGCAGTAATCGATACCACCAACTCAGCATCAACATTGACCATGACCTCGACTTTTGAGCCTTTGGGCAGAGCCTTGAAGACAAACTCGGCGAGAGCTTGTTTGGGCTTCCAGACCTTTTCCCGGATCTCTTCTGGTTCATCATCCTCGTCGAAATCGGAATCATCTTCATCATCTTCATCATCGTCATTCTTCTCCTTTGTGCCGTTCGTGGCGGGCTTCTCTTTCGGCTCCGGTTTGGTGACCTTGATTTCGCGCTCGCCTTCGCATATCCGGACCAAGACGTCACCCTCGAGCCCTTCAATCGTCTTGCTTCTCCGAGCGGGCACGGCAGTCTCGGCGGGGATGATGACGGTGAACGCATCGGCCGGTTGGCCGGTGACTTGGTAGCCGATGGCGGCGGTCAAGTGCGGGGTGACGGTGACCATTTCGTGGGTGGACTGATCGATGTCCTCCTTGTCGAATTCTTGGATCAGGGATGCCTGGAGGGCGGCGCCTCTGGCCGAGAGCTCCGAGGGGTTGAGGGCGGTAGGGGTGGTTGCAGGAGCCAACACTTGGGTCGATTCCGGGAAGAGACCTTCGATGTTCCTCGCGATCTTGGGGGTGTGCGAAGTGCCTCCGGACATGATGACTTCGTCAATGTCCAGCACGTCGAGGTCGGCCTTTTTGATGGCTTCCTCGACAAGTCTGGTGAAACGAGTGAAAGTCTTCAGGGCAAGGATCTCGTAGCGGCTCCGGTTGATGGTCGACCGGAAATCGACGCCGTCCGCAAGGCTTTCCACACTGAATGTCGCACTGGTACTCTGGCTGAGGGCCTTCTTGACAGCCTCAGATTCGAGCTTCAGTTTTGCCAGGCTTCTCTCGTTCTTGCGGGGGTCGCTCTTGTGTTTTTTCTCGAATTCCTTGGCGAAGTGGTCGGCGAGGATCTGGTCAAGAAGGACACCTCCAAGTTCGTAGTCGTGGGCGGTGGCCAAGATGCTGTACATTCCTCCTCTTGACGCAATGACGGCCACATCCGACCGGGTCCCGCCAAAATCCGCCACCAACACGTTCTTGTCTGCCGCTGAGTCGGATGACCGCGAGTCATATGCAAGGAGAGCAGCGATCGGTTCCGGCATGAACTGTAGGATCTCAAGCTCGATGCTGGCCGCTGCTTTGGAGAGTGCAGCTTTTTGTTCGTCGTTGGTATCGGTGGGAACTGCAACAACTGCCGCCGTCACGGGTTTGCCGACAAAGTCAGAGGCAGAGTTCTTCAATCGTCGCAGGTGTCTGGCAGTGATCTCCTCGACTGAGACTTTGTTCTCGGCTTCGCTCTCCGTGTCCCGGATCGAGAAGCAGATCTGACCGTCGGCCTCGATAGGGTGTGCCGAGGCATGGCATGGAGTAGGGTCTATCGACTTGTAATCCTTGCCAATAAAGTCTCGGAAGTATGCAACGGTGTTCTTGCTGTTGCGCACCAACTGCGCTTTCGCTTGCGTGCCGTGGTATTCTTCTCCATCGATGTAGGACAAAACAGAAGGGATCTGTCGGTCACCTTCTTCGTTGGCAATAACCTCGACCTTTCCTTCTCCCGAGATGTGTGCTATCGAACTGTATGAGTTTCCAAACGCAATACCAATGGCATAGTGTTCGGGCGAGCCGGCAGCCGGCGCCCCGTTGGCTTCGTCGCTCATGGTAACGACGTAGTTGAAGGACGGGGATGTGTCAAAACCTTGCTATTTCTAAAAAGACACAAGTTGCGGGCTCCAGGACATCCAGGTGCGTTTCTCTTTTCACGGAAGGCAACTTGAAGACTGGAGGAAAAGCCTCCAACTTTTTTTGAGCCTCCGCCGCAAGGGAGAAAAGGAATGGAAGGTTAAGCGAGAGGCCAGCGATGATTACGTAACTACTTTCGCGAGGCTGCCGATCCCTAGAACAGGCCGACAAGGCATATGATGAGACTCTCAGCTAACAATGTTCAGTGGTACTAACACAGAGTACTTCAACTAACCGAATATACAAGTCCAAGAATCTCTCCATCGCTCTACTTCTACTCCAAGCCAAGTCTGTTGAACTCGAACTATTGCGGACTACGAGATATTGCTCCGCCCTAAATTTCCAAACTGGGTTTTCCATCCAGTAGCGCGGAGCACGCGACCACATAATGCGACGACAACTCCAACGATATAAGAAAAAAGGATACACTAGTACAGCGATTGTCTGTTCGATAGACATCCACGCTCTACCCAATTAACGAAGAAAACATTCATGTTACAACAATAACAACTATGGCAACTCCTCAAATCGTACTTCCCGGAGAACACATTCCAGCAACTCTGATCCCAACATCTCAAAAGCGCAAAATCGGGCATGGCCTCCTTCCAGACCCAGAAAGCGACTCATTTATAGCGACCATTGGTGGCCTGTTACAAGTCGACTGGCGGAAGAAGAGCGCTCAGATTTCAACACCCAATGCGCGGTATATTCCAAAACCGGGTGATTTGGTGATTGCACAGTTCCGTGCTTCGTCGACAGACTTTTTCCATTTATACATCAACCCTCATTCACCCCAGGCAATTCTGCCCCAGCTCGCCTTTGAGGGCGCTACGAAAAAGACGCGGCCACAGTTAAAGGCCAATGATCTTGTGTATGCCAAAGTTGTCTCTGCGCAAAAGAACATGGACATCGAATTGAGTTGTGTCAACCCATCTACAGGCAAGTCGGAGCCCGATGGTCTGGGGCCCTTGAGCGGCGGCATGGTGTTCGATGTCAGTCCTGGGTTGGCGGAACGGTTGTTGAAGAAGCAGAATGTGCTGGCTATGGATGAACTCGGCTCCCGGCTTCAGGGTGGCTTTGAGATTGCAGTGGGCAAAAATGGCAAAGTGTGGGTGGATTGTCCTGAGGCCGGAGTCAGGGGGATTTGTGCGGTTGGTCGATGTCTTTGGGAGTTGGACGAGAGGGAGATGGGTGAGAAGGAGCAGAAGAAATTGGTTAACAAGATCCTGGGAGACTTGGAACGTGGTTGAACCAGGCTTGATTTTTTCATCCATGCATTTTACCAATACGTGCGACCGGCCCATGCTATGCGAAAGCCGAGAGATTTTCTCATTGTGAAACTTGGACATTGATATGAGGGTGGTCGCCACGCAATTTTCAGGCGGCATTGCGCGACTACATTCTCCGTTCGGGCCTTCCTGTCTCCCTGCTGGGTAGGAAAGTGTTCTATGACTGAAGACGAGCGCGGTATTTCCTGCCGTTGCACTGGAGTAAGTCTTGACATGATGGACGGCCAGGCGCTGAAAGGACAGGATGAAGCCCATAACTACACTACGGAGAGGTTGCAAAGAACCAGTGCCACATCCAGCCCCATCTTGAGATTGAGAGCTTGATAATCGGATCTCACACCCGGTGGACACGAGGAGAGAGTATCATCTACTAGCCAGGCGGCTGGCCTAACATGCAAGAATGTGGACGTCACGCAGTACGTACTACAAATCAAACAAGAACAAGATATGCTTTTTGAAGATTTCATTGCCTAGCTTTGTACGAAGAGTACATCCGTCACCACGATCGAGCCTAGTGCAAGGTCATAAGCCTCCTCAACAGCGAAGAGATGCTCTCCTCACATCACAACAAAGTGTGTGTTCACGCAAGACTCCGTTGCCTCGGCCCGTCATTCCAAGCAATCGAGACTTTTTGTTGTATGCGAAACATGTTCCCAAACCGCTTGGAATAGTTCCACACCCGTAAAGACAAAAACCATAGAATTTCCCGCCATGCTTTCGAGGAAAGTCTTTTTTTGCAAGATATCCGGAACTCCTTTCATCGTGGGCTGGTGCTAGTCCTGGGAATCCATCTTCTATCCAGCAAATTTAATGCCGTCAAGTTTTCATTCGATATTGGTTGATCGTCTACTTTCTTCGGAAAGAGCAGCCCTCTGTGAGTCTGGCTTTGCCACCGGTAGGTTGGCACAGGACAGTCGAGCAGCCGGCGCAGATAACGACGGTCTGGGCGTGCGAGAAAACGGTGGTGATGGTGAAGCAGCCTGGGCACTTGACGTCCATGAAGAAGGATCGGGGAGCTGGGACAAGAGTCTGCGCAAAAATTTAGCTAATTGTATTTTCTTGCCATGTTGCGCCCCTGCGCAGCGGTTGGCGATTTCCATACCTTCAGCTTGTGCTTGCGGGCCTCAGCCTGAGGCGTAGGGTTGAGGAGATCAACGGCGAGAACCTGCAATGAGATGAATGTTAGCTTCAGCGTGAAAATATAAGCGGTGATGATTGCTGTTGATGATTGTTGCAGCGGTCGTGTGCTGCGGTGGCGGAGAGGGGGGAGAATTTTGAGGTCATCAATTGAGCAATGCTTTCGGGCGGGCGGCGTACCATTTTGACTGAGGTTGCAAATCGATTTGAGAGCTGTGTCTTGGATTTGAGATCTTCTGTGAGTTTGTCGAGGGAGAAGAAGATGCGATGATCGATTGCGATGCTGGTTCTGGTCGATGTGGCGGGTGGAATTGGCTGTTGAAGAGTGTGCGAACGACTTTCGCTTTGGACAATCTTGGCGGCAACCGCGCTAGTCCTTTCTGGAAGACGCGGTCACGTGATGACTCGTTTGTCCTCACATCAGGCTGATGTCCCGCTCTTACTATTGGTCCACTGTGATCTCTACATATTGCGCATTCAGCATCGTCGACAGGCGGGAAAAGCAGGTTACTGTACTTCTAGTAGTAGTACATGCTGTATCTATGACTAATGTTCTATGTGGTATCATGATGCCAGTTCGAGAAAAGAGGAGAGTCTTGTTGTGGGCTTAAAACGGCACATCCATGTCCTCCACCCGCTCTTCTTTTTCTTGCTGGTCTTTCTGCGATGCCAGATTCTGCTTGATGAAGGCGACGACAATGTCAAGGTACTGTTTGCCGCTCGGGACGAAATGTCCACCGGGATGGGTCACAACCTGAGTCTTTTCTGGACCACCGGTGGCATCCACCAGAGCCTGTGTTCTCGTCTCGTCGACCACGCTGTCCAGGCTGCCGATAAAGTGACAAACTGGTGTCTGAATGTCGGGATCCTCGTAGAATCCTCGATATCTCTCCCCTGGCGCGATGAAGCCGCAATACGCGACACAAAATTTCAGAGGCGGATGGCCTAAATGCTCAAAAGCTGCTGGATATGAGATTGCCAGAGGCGACCTGGACCGGGCTTTTTCGAACGCCTGTTTTCGTGATTCTCCCTCGAGTAATGATGCGACCATCGCGGCCAAAGCTGCACCTTGTGAGAACCCAATCACCCCATCAAACGGACCCTCGGTCGCCAGGACCTTTGCTACCGTGTCTAGGCCCTGGTCGAGTCCGATGTACTCCGGAGGATCGGAGGTATCTGACCGCCGCCACCATCCATACGCTTCAATGCTGTCGGCATCTTCGTTGGTACTAGGCTCGAAGCCTGGAATATCACTTGGCTTTAGTCGTAAAGGTCCTGTGGGATAGCTTAGGGATATCCCAGGGAATATCTTCTGTAGATTTTTCTCTAGAGCTCGCGTCTTTGCGTGAAAGAGAGGGCCATTTTGCGTGTATCCGTGTAGCATCAATACTTTGGGACCTGCAGTCGAGTTTCTGGTAGAAGGCATAATGTTGAGGGTCCTTGCTGGCGATCTTGCCACTGTCTGGAAGTAGGATGCTTTGTGCGCGAAATTTGTTGAGAGCTTTAAACTGCAGGAGAGTCTATTCATAAGATCGAATCACTCCAATATCAAGGCCAGATCGTCGGACTGTACAGATCAACTCCGCTTTCAAGCAGAATCAGGAAAGGATCGAACAAAGGATATGTTTGGTAGTCAATGGGATCGTCTGGATGTCCTTAAGGACCCAGCCTCGCCGCTCTTGTTGGTGCCAAGCCCCCCTAGTCGGGACAGATCCTCATCGAGCATTCCTCTACCAACGTTTGCCAAACTCCTCGGCATCTTGAAATCGACATCTCGTCCCTCACCATGTTGCGGATCGCGAAGAACAAGCGGCGGAGTGTTCCCATACTCAGTCTTAAACGCTGCCCCACGGGGTCCCGTCTTCCTGCGGGCTGTACCATCAAAGAAGACGATCCCCGGTTGTGCCCCGGATTGTCCAAAGATCCGTGTCTCCCTTCGAGACTTGAAGATTTAGCTAGAACGGAATCCAGTGGGCAAGTGCTAACTAGGACAGCTGTTTGCGACTGCCAGAGAGTGATTTGCTGTCGGGTTGCTACTACGGAGACACTTCGCTGACGGTAAGTGGCTCACCACGCTGCAACAAAACATTGCATAAGCCTCGTGATCGTGATGTCCGCAACATGTCTTCCGGTAAGCTCCTGCGCATTTTGGCTTTTGAGATGCGCTCGTCTATGTTTGGCACCTTCTCTTCAGATTGAGGTCCGGTGGCTACTACCCAGACTCAAAAGCAGAGCATGTCGTCTATAAAAGCTGCCTCCACCCTTTCATTCTTTTCTTACACTCTCCATCTCCAGTCGCCCCCCTGAAAGTGCAGAGTCAAGAACATACTACCACATTTCGCAAGACACCTACAAGAATCCGGGGGAGTATGTGAAAGTGACGCAAGTCTGCAACATAACCACCGGGCAATTTACTATTCCCAACATCAATGGCGACCACATTCATCTCCACTGGAGGCCTCCTTGAGCGGATCAAGCGATTCGATGTACAGTACAAACAACCGAAGCGGGATATCCGCAAAAGAGACACCATCCTCCCCATTGCCATCTGCTCTCTCGCCTTGTTCTGTATGTGGGGACTGGCCTATGGCCTTCTCGACATTATGAACTACCACGTCAAAGTGGCCATGGGGATCGATCGCCAGAAGGCGGCGATCCTCGCTGCCGGCTACTACTGCGCCTACATCCCGGGGGCCCTCCTTATTGGCGGCCCATTGGTTAAAAACTGCGGCTATCGAGTCGCTATGGTTACTGGCCTTTTTGGTCTTGCATTGGGCGACTTTTTCATGTCCATTGCTGCGCAAAATTGTTCTTTGGCTGGTATGGTTGCCGCCATGTTTGTCATCGGGTTGGGAGTGTCAACTTTGGAACGCTCCGCCAATCCATACGCTGTCAACTGTGGGCCCCGCACCCAGGCTACCCTGCGCATCCTGATCGCTCAGGCCTGGGCAGGGATTGGTACTGTTGTCGCACCGTTTTTGGCCAATGCCTTTGTCTTCGACCCTGACACTTCTTCGAGGAGGCCTGCTTGGGACCCTCAACGACCTGGCAAATGTTTGATGCCGACAGTAGACAGCTCAACGTCTTGTGCCAACTTGGGCAGCATCATCACCTTCTACCGGGGACTAGGCGGCTGCATCCTGGGCTTGATGACAGTTGTGGCCGTCATCTTCTTCCGCACGAACTGGGTCCCAGAAGTCGAGGTTCCTGTGGCGCGTGTCTCTGTCGGCTGGAAGCTGTGGAAGCACCCTTTGCTCTCGTGGCGGCATGCCCGCATCTGGTGGGGCGTTGCCGCCAATTTTGTCAATCTTGGTTGCCAAGTGACCTTTGCTCAATTCTTCATTGAGCACATGAAGATCAACGCCTGTGCCAGCGACAAGTGGGCTGCCATATGCATGTCGTTGGCACAGGTTGCTTTTGTGATTGGTCGGTTTGTTGCAGCAGCAATGGTGACGAACCCCAAGGTCTTCAAGCCTCGATATGTCTTGGCTTGTTTCATCGCCGGTGCTGTGGCGACGACCGCCGCTGGGACATCTATTACAGGCAACGCAGCGATCGCGGTGGCCGTTATGGTCATGTTCTTCGAGGCGCCTTCTTTCCCGATGATCTTCGAGAGTGCGACGGCTTCATATGAGGAGTGGACGCCGACCTGTGAGACGCTGATGATCGTCAGCATTTCTGGTGGCGCGCTACAACCGCCACTGATGGCGCAACTTGTTGAGTCTGTCCGGATCTCCAAGGCTTGGTGGTTGACTGCGGCGTGCTTCTTCTTGGTCTTCACATACCCGTTAGCAACAAATCTGATGCCGTCTTTCCGAAGGGCCTTGGACAGGGCTGAGGTTGGGGTCGCCGCTGGACCTACCGATGAAGAGAAGCATGTCATCGGAGGCTCCCCGGCCGACAGTGGACTTCTGACCGCCGAGCAGACCAAACAGTCTGCCGAGTCAGGGGTCTTGAGGGTCACGCCGGTCGAGCCGCTGTCTGTTCCATTTGGCAAATGATGGTATGCATTGGATTGGGGTCTAGTTGGCGTTATGTTCTGAATTTAGATGCTCATAGACAGTACAAATGTCGACAGCTGAAAGTTCTTTTCACCAGACACAGTTGCCTAGTTTGTACTAAACATACTAGAAGGTAGCTAGGACCGTAACACTTACTGGTAATACAACTTTGTATGGTATCATTTTCAACGACGAATTAGCCAACCGCATGTGTGATACTAGTACAATCAAGGCTTTGCCAGACGACCTGACCGTCGTCTACCAGTTTCATTTGCCGCAGCCACTGGGGCCACGGCCTTCCCACGATCACCACTGGACCTTTTCTCTGATTGGGGGGCTGTCTCTTGTTCCTTCTTGACTCTTTTGCCAGCCTTGCCTTTCCCAGGTTTGTTCGTGTCACCATTCAAATCAGGCTTGATGTGTTGCTTTGGCTCGTCTTTCGGTTGCGACTTTCTACCCCTTGCCGTCTTCTTGGGTAAGACTTCTTCCTCACTCTGTGCTGATTCTGATTCCTCCTCCTCCTTGACAGCAGCAGCCTTACGCTTGTTCCCTTTGGGCTTTTTGTCGCTGTGGTCATCATCGCCATCAAGCACCTGAGCCTCACTCATCTCCTTCGCCACGGGGCCCGTCTTCTTCTGGACCGAAGGAACAACAGCACTAGTCCGTCCACCGACCGTCAAAAAGGCAATCTTTTCACCATTCGGCATTGCGTTCGAACTATTCTTCTTTCCCTTCCCCCACCGATGCCTGAACAACCAGTCGTCCGGAAACTTTTCCGAATCGGCCAACAACTCGACGGCCGTCCCACAAATATAATGGATGGATTTGTGCAACTGGACAATTTGGTCATCGGTCAGCGTGTTGGCGTACTGCTCCGGATGCATTTTGGCATGGTACATGATCTCGTCGCCGACCCAGTTGCCGATTCCGCTGATGACGGCCTGATCGAGCAGCATGGCTTTGATGGGGACTTTTTTAGACTTGCATTTTTGGCGTAGCCAGTCGACTGTCACGATGTCCTTGTCGATGACGGGGTCGGGTCCGTTTTCTTTTAGGGGCGATACGTTTCTGATTTCGGAAGCTGGGCAGTTGACGAGGCGGATGCGGGCGAAGCGGCGCATGTCGACGAAGGCTGCTTCGACGACGTCGGAGGAATTGTCGTCGTCGGGCTTGGTAGTGAGGAGGAATTTCATGACTTTGGGCGGCCATGGGGTTTGTTCGGTTGACTTGGCTTCGCCAGCTTCGCCGGCTTCGTTGGGTTTGGTGGTTTTGTCTGCCTTTTTGGGTTGATAGTAGTACGTGTGTTCGGATTTAAAGTGTAACCAGCCCGACATGCCGAAATGCATGACCGGGTGCGGTGGGCTCGACATGATCATCCAGAAGTATTTGCCTTGTTGGCCGGCGTCGATGACTTTCTTGCCCGTCATTGCTTTCTCGAATTCGGCGGCTGATGTGCCGGCTTTGCCGTAGACGTTGTTGTCGTCTGTTGCTACGACTTTGGCGAGGGTTTTGCCCACTAGGTGTTTGCGGATGTAGTGCACTGTTCGTGCGACTTCGGCGATCTCAGGCATGGCGAAGAGTCGGAGTAGTGCTGATTTCGATTGATTGAGTGACTCCCTAGGTGGCTTGAGATTGAGATTGAGATTGAGCAAGGTGAACGTAGGTTACTGAAAGCAGTCTACCTAGGTAGGTAGGTTGAGTTTTGAGTGTTTCCAATGTTGGGTAATGGGTGACGCAGTAATGCTCTCAGGTGGGACTTTTGCTTGTCGCGAAGGGCAGAACTAATAAGCTCTGCTGGGCCGCATGAACTCTCAAAGGATGTTGAAAGGCGTCGACTCTGATTTGATTTGATTTGATTTGATTCAAGCAAAGTGAACTGCAAGTGGTTTTGTTGGTGTGTTCATGGCAACATGACTGTTCAAGGCTGACACAGCTGGAATGATTGTATGGAGTCCACAACGCGTATCTGTGTCCGACGCGTAAAGTGGTTCTGGCAGCAGGCAGCCAACCAGGGCAGACCACAGCTTGAACCAATGATAGTCCATGACGTACGTGACGTTGACTTCAAGTTGCACGTCGAGCGCAGCCTTGCAGCGCCAGGACCTTCGAACTGAACTCCACCATAATCCGCCGTCCGTTTCCTCGCAGATCGTACCATTTTACAACAACAGTACTATCTTAGGTCCTTTGACAGCCTAGCTTTCTTCCGTCCGCTAAACTGTTTATACTCCCTCAGCGAGTCAATTGACATCTTAAAAAGTTGCGCTTGAGCTTGGGATACTCTTTTCCGAACCGTCGCCACGGGTCTTGTCCACGGACTACTCTAAGCTTGTTACTCCTTGAACACCAACACCAACATCAACACCAGCAACCCAATCCAATCCACCAAGCTGGCGTGGTTTTGGGCCAACTCGTCGTCCACTTCGACCTCCTCTCCGCCCTCCGCCCGGCCTGATCCCTCCTCGGCAGACCAGTTTCGCACCTCGGTGGCCAGCACCCCTCTCGTCATGTCTCAACCGACATCCCCTCCAACACAATTAAACCCACAATTCTGCTTCAACACACGAGTCCTGCGCGACTTTCTACGCCTATCCCGTGCCAGCATCGACGACAGTATTTCCACCAACCTAAACGCCTTAATGACACCAGCTTCCACATCGCCATTCAAGCCCTCCTCAACATCGATCCGTAACCCAACGCTACCCACGTCGCTGCTGACTCGTCAACCTATCCCACGCGAAACCACACGGACATTTCTAGAGTCGGTGCTTTTCCCGTCGTGGAACTCGCGGTCTGAAGTCATTTCGTATTGCACGTCGGTTGCGACGTCGCCGGATCCGGACGACCCGGACGTGATTGAAAGGGAAAAAATGAACAGAAAAGATGCGGACCGGATTGTCGATGAGAGGTTGGATCCTTATTCTGGTCGATTTTTCCCGAAGGAGCCCAGGACGGAACAGTTGGCTGCGTTGTTGAGGAATGAAAATGCCGTCGAGTCCATTGTCAGGAATAGGACGTGGGGAGTCATTGCGGAGAGATGTGAGGGTGTTGATGGATCGTGGGAGGAAATGTTTGATAAATGGCGGGAGAGCAAGAGGGGGAATTGATCAACAAAAAGACTTGAGGACCTTGGACTCAGATGGAAACACTGGATATCCTCTAAACGAGGGAGAACTGATAACGTCCTTCCTTGGATCCCACAACATGGCTTGTCAGTGCAGCAACATGGGGCGACGCAGCCCCGAGCTCGACATCAAATGCCAGAGGTCATGACAGGGAAGAAAATATACCCCTACTCTCCACTTTACAATGTGCATTGCACAGATGAAAACAACTTGTTTGGGCACAGCGCACGGTGTCGAAGTCTGAAAAGGGTTCCAAGATTGTGCTTTTCGGAAAGGTGTAGTACATGATTTGCATTGATGGCGGCGCCAGGCGGGTGATAGCGCTTTGTATCAGGCAGCATATAAAAACTTATACTCCATTACCTCCCTACTATCGAAGGCTATATATCGCTCCCAAATACCTGAAAACTGGCATGGCGGTTTGGATGATTCAACTGCATTGGACAACACTAATACTGTACGGCCCTGGATATATCATGATGCGTGGTCCGACAAGCTGCTCTGCTGGACCAGTGCTCGACCACTGGGCCGGTATGACCTTTTACCGCGTCGCTGTACTGTAATTACATCAAACCTGAAGCATCAGGTACCTTAGTGAACGGATTGGAAATGCTCCAAGGGGAAATTGGTACGGTATATTGTCATCAAGTCATCATACTCACAGAACATCAGGTAGATGTAATGAAGCTGATGCCACTGGTGTGCAGGAATGGCAATGCCATGCGAACAGCAGCAATGAGTAGACTCTCGCTCTTTCTCTCTCTCCATCTCTGTACCTGCGTTACTAGGTACATTACAACTTGAATTAACAGCCGAGGATGGAAAGAACAATAAATGTTGGAGTCCGAGCCGAATTGATTCCAAACACTTGCACAAATATGTACAATTGTACAACTTGAACGTTGTCATCGGACGAGGCTGAGGCAGACTCGAGGGAGAGACTACCACTGTACATTATTGGTTGAACGCGACGGTTAGTCATCCTCCACAAAAGCGATATTAGCTCCACCAATCGGATCCAGTCCTCCATTCCCAATTGGATTTTTGTTAAAATCTCCACTATAAAATCCACAACTTATTACCACAAGGGACGCAGAGTGGAGGTAGGTTGTTGAAGGTCAAAAAAATTCGACAAAAACAATCGACAGCCAGGATTCCCAAATCGTCACCGACTTTAGTACTAACTGGCCGGCATCGAGCTTAAGTACCGCTGAGCGAACGGGAAGCGCTGTTTTCTCGATCCTATGGTCGATTGCGAGAGAAGATTCTGGAGGTTTAACTTATGAAAATATATACCTAGGTACTGTACATGTTACTGCTTCTACCACTGCACATTGTGTTTGCCATGTTCGATCAGCCTACCTACCGTAGGTAGGTAATATGGAGCCCTACCTGCAGATATTCTATCCGTCATCATGATTTAGGATGTCTTGATGTTGTCTCTCTGACTTTCTGACCTTCGGAGATGGATGCTACTACTACTGAGTAGTGGACATTGTACATATACTTCATCTGAAGTTGTAGTGTGTCGCTAGGTACGCAAGTACCTACTAACCTTCAAGGTTTCTTCTTACTTTGTTCACGTCCAGTTGTTGATTGAGGTGATCAGCGAGATACCAAGGTATGTTGTACTACTTATCTCGAAATTCATGACCAAGAGCCACTGCAGAGCCCCTTCTGACTTTTTTTTTTCTTCGGCTGAAGCTGTCATGTATGATTCCTACCGACCTGTACAACGTAGGTAGGGTAGGTAGGTAGGTACAGTATCTACTATGTTAGTCCTGAACATGTCAAATTCCTTGATTTATTTGTTCAACTGTCTAATTTGGTGCCACAGTGTATCTCGAGAGTTTAATCTAGTTTTGTTCGTCTTTGTCTTTGGCTTTGTCCTGCAGTGATTCTTACTAGAACCTAGGTACTTCGCTTCGCTTCGCTCCGTGGGATTATTCTTCTTGTTTTCCTCCCTCAAGTATACCTAGGTAGCCAGGTCCCAGACCAGACCACTGGCAGACCAGACCAGACCAACGCAACTTGAACATCGTTTTGGTGAAAAGAGATCAATCAATCAGGCCAAGTCGAGTCAAGTCAGGTCAGCAGATTATCTACCTGTCAACCAGCCAGGCACGTAGAACAGTCTCACGCTTGTCAATGAATAACTTCATACTCCAGTAGCAGGCGGAACACGAATCAATATGGCATGTCGCATTTGTCTTTTTCTCCCCAAAGACGGACGTCAATCGGGTAAACTGTACCACTCACTGTACAGTCGAAGCTATGTATCTGTCTGGTGCTCCCACCCATTCCCGCGCCCACTACGATTCCTCCCTCCGTCACATGGTCAGCCTAACCAGCCCCTCAACCCATTTTCTCGCGTCTACTCCCACACCCTCACTCACACCCTTTGCATTAGTAGTCGTCGCTGTCGCTCCAGCTCCAGACCCAGAGGAACCACTGACATCTCGACTGCGCGGTTGATCCCGGAGGAGCCATTTTCCAGCAGCACCGACACCTCCAAACCCCAACCCTGGGACGCTAGAAGACAAGTCCTTGCCACTGACGGCTCGGTTGTTGTCTTGAAGAGATCTCCTGACCAGTATTGCTTCCCTCAACTCTTGTCTGATTTCACTCACTTCATCACTCCTAGCATCATGATCGGCAGACACCACCCGGCTTACCGGTACCTTCATCCATACAACCCACCACCCGCGGGCCGTCTTAACCGTCCTCTCGAGCTCCTGAGTTCCAGGCCGACCTGAATCACCATCAGGCCTTTTCGGTCTTGTGCCCGCCCAAATATTAAGAATATGAGTATGGACGTTCAGAGCTTCGACTCTGGTCCAATTACTTCTCATGAGCATTCCAGAGCCCGAACCAGAGCCCGATACCGACTCCACAGAAGAAGAAGATGACAGCCCCCCAATAGCTATTCCAAGCGTATACCAAGATCCCGAGACCGTGACAGGTTTCGTAGGAGACGAAAACGTTCGATGAAGTCCTTCAGCCGCAAGACTTCCTGGAAGAGGAATATTGGGAATCGATGTCCGAACCGTCAATTTGCTAGGATCATAAACCAAGTCATACAGGTCCATGTAGTAGCCCTTCATACTTCTGACAACATCTTCGTCATCGGGGTCTGGATCCGGCACAAGTGCTGTTTGCACACGCTCTCTCCACCGTTGCGGATCTGTATTCCTCAACAGACTCTTCTGCAACGGCCCCAGAATGTGATGAATAGACCGATAGAATCCCGGCATGGTCAGATTCGGAGTGTGCAGCTGAAAGAGAAAAACAAAAATAAACGGTTGGTGAACGTATACAGCCACCTGGACCTTTTCGTGCGTCACATTCGGCCGCGACCCGTCCACCGAGGCTGCAGCACTGGTTTTGGCTGGTGTCGAACTGGCGCTGTCGTCTACAGAGCTTCTCCGTGTGTTTTGCGAGGCTGCTGATCGATTGGTATTGGAAAAGCGCGATGATGACATCTCGATGGTCAATGTCCGTAGGAAGATACGGCTGGAAGTGCTTGGAGTCGGTGACTCAGCCCGTAATGATCCTTTTGCTTTCGTGTCTGTTGTGGCTTCGCCGTCCGACTCGTTCTCAAACTCGGTATTTTCCAAGTCTCCAGACAGACCAATCAAGAACTTGCCAATCGACTGTTCAAGCCGTTGAACAAAGGGCGTCTGCGGTTGCGTTTCTTCCGCATCACTGACGTTGGGGGTGGGATCAAGCTCCTGGAGTGGTTGTGGTTCTTCAGCTGATGTGTTCTGTTCTCTCTTGTCTCCCGGCTGTTGCGACTCTGTGGTATTCGTATTCACATTCCCGTTGGGGGTTGACTTGTTCGGACCACCGAATCCTTTCGGATTCAACGTCCAGCTGGAACCGTACCCGAGGCTAAGATATTTCATCACCTTCTCTGTTCCAAACAAAGCAGAGCCCTGTTGTTCACTTTGGTCGCGCCCGTTATTGTCTGGTTCTCCACCTTCGCCCTTTTTGTCTGCAATGTTGGAATCCGCTTTGGTCGTTGCGGCCTCAAGAGACCGCTCCACGGCGCTCACGATTGGGGCAGGGATGCCCGGCGGTGTTGCATTGTTCTCAATCGCCTTGCGTCGCAGATCCGGCGCTCGAGATTTGGGCGACCTAACCCTTGGATGTACCTCTTCAAGCGGTTGGTACTGCGTGCGACCAGTCGTTGCATCAGTTCTCTCCCGCCGTGTAGGGTGTCGCCTGTTTCTGCGATGTCGGGGTCGGGATGCCGGGTTCTCGCCTACACCATAAGCGGATTCCCCGTGTACATAGATATTAGCCATCCATTGGGAGACGGTGATAAGTGACCGTCTGGAGATGCCACCGACACCAGAAAATATTATTCCATCTTCGGCCCGCGGGTCTTCACCGTTGCCTAGCCAGGGCTCCGGATCTGAGCCTGAACTCTTCACGGACTGGGTGGAACGTTCATTGACCTGAGATTTTCCGTCCGCTGGGGAAAGAGGCGCATCCCCGTACCTGCCCACGATGAGATCCAGGAGACCTTCGGTTCTGTTGGCGAAGTCCTCCAGCACCTCTCGCTCACCACTGCCCCACTCTTCCTCTCCGACGCCAATGCCCAGTTCGCCTCCTACGGCAAGCTTGACAGCATCGTAGAGCTCAACAGCAGGGTTGCCGTGAAGTAGGACGTCCCAGTTCGCAATGAACTGGGTCCAGTACCTGTTCAATAGACCACAAAACAGATCCCTCTTGTTTTCATGTTTCTTCCAGAGCTCCCCCAGACTGGAGGCGTGGTGCAGCAGAAACACCTGATACGCTTGTGACAGTTGTGCGAGCAGCAATTGTGCCGGCGCCACCTCCCGCGACGAGTACTCAACTTCCTCTGCTGAGGGAGCTGTCGCAGCGTGAGGGGTTTTTCCCAAATTACTGGCCTTTCTGGTCCCTGAGGATGTGCTGCTGGCGCTGGCCGCAGGCAGCTTCGTGAGACTGATAGAAGCAAGTATCCACCATTGAGGTTCGATCTCCTTCAATACCACCCGGGACTTTTCCGTTTCGATTACCTCCAGAGGTACGCCATTTGAAAAATTGCTGTGATGGGAAATTGAAAGTTAGAATGTATTTCAGCCAGAAGAACTAGAAGCGGCTGTAGAGGAGTGTGTACTAGGAGACGGTAGAAGAGCTTTTTTATGAGCAAGGCTTGTTGCCTACCTACTTGACAAAATCCACCATGCCCTGTGCCAGGCCTATCTGCCGTAGCCGTTCGTTCTCTTCGGCTTCTTTGTCATCTTTGGTATCCCGACTGGGCGGCCCTGAGTCTTTGCCCTCCGGACTTTGTTGCTTGCTGCTTGTGACTCTTTCTCTCCTACGACGCTCAACCTCTCCCTCAGACTTGGCCGAGTAGTAAAACACGATCTGGTCGCGAACGGTCTCGTCGGTCGGTCCGAGCGACGGGTTGTATATGGCGAAATAGGAAACATGGGCCGGCACGACACGCGGGGAGTGTATACTACTAGAATTCGGGGAAGTCATGGTCGCGGCCGGTTCGGCGTTCCCTGCGGTCACTGGCAGTGATCGCGAGGAGCATCATCTCGATGCCGGTCGGTCCAGCGAGCTGCGTAGGTAGCTGTTCATTGAATGTACGCCGGTTTGGAAATCCAGCGCATGTGAAGGCTCGCTGGCGTCCTTCAAAATGGCCGGCGCAAGTGTCCCGCCCACTTGCAGTGCAGATGGCAGAAGATTGTCTTGATTACGTCATCATTGGCAGGGCCACTTGGATCACGTGGTGCGGCCTGGCTGTTCAAGTTTAGGCCGCAGGGGCACGTGCTGCAATGGTGAAACAACTAATGTCAATAACACCACCATGCGCAAGAGAAAGTGTGTCGACTACTACGATAACAACTAGTCCTAGTAGGTTCAATAAGATTGTTTCCTGGCAACACCAGCAGGAAGCCCACCTTCAAGCGAAGTAGTATTGGACGAAGTGTGGGATAATGCCAGGATATTGCTCTCATGCCATGGTCATCACTTCGCCTCCAATACACAAACTTGCACCGTCTCCGCCAAGGTGTACTTCTCAAGTCTGTGACTGGACAGATATGTAGATTTGTCCATAGTGTCGAGACGGAGGTTCTGGGAGGAGGCAGAAAGACACGAAAAGCTCATGGAAAAGCCTTGATATTGAGGCCAAACGCCGTGAATGGATTTCCTATTCGATGACAACTCGAAACATGTCTCGACTGTTAGAACGCCGTCATGCTTGTAGTACCATCCGAGCTTGCCCATCCATAGCCTCCGCGCAATTCCTGTATTGCATCAACAACCATCAACCCATCCTCGCTCGATAATGAAACAAAACTAATGTGTCAGTGCCAAAGCGCAGCACGATCAAGCCACCGAACCGGACCTGCCTGGAAGCAAGAACAAGGGAGATTGTAGCTCTTTTGTCACTGATATCTTGACCTCTCCGGTGATATCCTGGTATAAAAGTCGGGAACGTGTTTGGTCCATGTCTGCAACAAGAGAAAGAGGTTTGCCTGATTTACAAAATCAAGCATTTCTTGCTCTTTCCACTCTTGCGCGTCAACAAGGCCGCCCGGGTAGCGGTCTCGAATACTTCGCGAACACCCTGGCCGGTCTTGGCCGAGCACTCGAGATACTTGTAGGCACCGATCTTCTTGCGAACTTCCTCACCCTAGACAATCCAAAGTCAGCGTCCCGGGGCCATCGATAGACCGGTATCACGGGCGAACGAACCTGCTCGGGTGTAACGGGCTTCTGAGATGTCTTTGCCAGCTCTTCAATAGTCTTTGGGTCGTGTCTCAAATCGCATTTGCACCCGACGAGGATGATGGGGAGACCTTGGCAGAAGTGCAGGACTTCAGAAATCCACTAATGCAAGGCGTCAGCTCGATCCAAGTCACATAACACTGGAACAGTTGCTCCCATACCTTCTCCTGGACGTTATCGAGCGAATCGGGAGAATCGATGGCAAAACAAATCAAGATGACGTGGGAGTCGGGGTATGATAGAGGTCGAAGGCGGTCGTAATCTTCCTGGCCTGCCGTATCCCATAGGGCGAGTTCAACGTGTTTTCCATCGACTTCGACATCGGCGACGTAGTTCTCGAAGACGGTTGGGACGTAGACCTGCAAATGTGGGATTTTAGTACTTTATCTCGTTGTGATCACCGGATCTAGCGTTGGACGGTCGATGATAGGGGGTTGATGTCGAGATTGCTCGCTCGAGTGGTTTATTGAGAGAAGGGGATGAAAGGGGAGCTGCGCACCTCAGGAAACGTGCCCTTGGAGAAAACACTGGACAACAGAGGGTAGAATGTCAGCAACCACTGCAGGTTTTGTAGGTAGGAGACGGTCGATGATATGAGACTTACATCAACAAACAAGTCTTTCCGCAGGCACCATCTCCGACGATGACAAGCTTGCGACGGATTTCAGCCATGGCGGCTGCGGCGGACGGCGTCTGGTGGAAAGTAAAGATAGGGCGGTAGGAGTGGTGATGGCTGCGAGGTGGTTTCTGTAGGTCTGGGTCAGATTAGGATGGAGTGGTTGGTGGGCGCGAAATGATGAATAGGTGAGAGGGAGTAGGAGTGTTGGTAGTAGACGAGACGGTATAAAGAGGTTGAGAGAGGATTGGCAGGAAAAGGCACCTTTTTGGGGGCGGTTTAGAGCGTTTAGTGCAGTGTGGATGTGGCTTTGAAGACCGAACTGCCACTGCACTGCAACGGGGCGGGCCCGAGAGAACAAGGACACGCAAATCTATTGTGTAGTACTACTAGGAAATGAGTGCAGTGATGGCTGCAATCGGGCGAGGGGGACGAGAGCTCGAGAATGATTTGGACTGTCATAGACTACCGTGTAAGATTATTTCTACTACGATAGGACTAGAAGGTGATGGATCAGGTCGACGGTGAAGATGGTTCAAGTTGTTGTTGATGGATTGTTGACTGACCGTCCGGCCGACCTGGCTGACGGCCGCCTACTACCAGCACTCAGGTGTCCAGCCGTGGGCATAAGTAAAGATGGAGATAAGCAATAATATTGTGCAGTGGAAGCATCAGGGCGCAAAGTAGGAGCAGCACCCGAGCAACCAGCGCGCCCCGGCTACAAACTGGGGAGCGCAGTACTGGCAGGCTTTTAGGGAGGCCCGGACGAGCAGTCTGGGGTGCAGGGGTGTAGATAAGCCTGCGTTACTGCCTACAAAAATGTACTAAGTAGTACTGCTAGTGATAGGGCTCAGGTACCTGTTACTCAGTACTAAATGCCGGTGCGTGTGGCAATGATCGCGACAACGAAGCCCAACTCTTTTCAGTGCACTGCCAGTGCAGTGGCAGACTATCAACACCTCCCTCCCTTCATATCATTTGTTATACAGTAGTACTACTAGCCGAATGTACCACGCTGAGGCATCGAAAGTGGCCGCAGAATATTGTTAGCTCCAAAACAAAAAACTGTATCTTCGAGCCTGACACGCTCCTCTGACTCAGGCTCTCCTCCGCAGTATGCACCACTGCATATTTCCACTCCTGACGCGTCAACACTACTACTACCGCATGTATGTACCGTAACTCAATTTTGGCCAGCCATGGCGGCCTGATGATGGGAAATGAACTCTACTGCTGCTACTAGTCACTATCCATCTAGTTGTTGATTCAGAGGCAGGTACAGTACTGATTGCTCTGGTGGCAAAGCAAACAGACCCTCATCCTCCAACCCTTCCAGCCGGCCTTTTCCAAACCAACACCTGAAAGTGAGGCAAACCGGGCAGGACCTGGCCCGACCTTTGATAGTTCGTCATCTCCCTCCGCGTAGGGTTTGTTTCTTTACCACTGTTCATTTTCAGTACCACAAATCGCATCGCATCTGCACTCTTCCCTGTCTCCATCAGACACGATCCAATGCGGCCATTTGACCATGCGAGGCTCCCCTCGTTTGTCCTAGACGGCTGTTTGCTGGATCCTCCTGACCAACTGATCCACGTTGTCCCAGCTGATTGATGAAACATGGTCGTAGAACTTTGCTTTTAATGCATGAGTGGTTCAGCGCTGCGTGTTGTCGTTTGGAGACTTTTTCGTTATCTTGTACGATGCCTGGCTGGCCTCGTCTGATCACTATCTAATGTATTCAGAAGCATCTATTTTGCTCGACCTCTGATGAGTACTAGTACTTGCCCTCCATCGTGAGAGGTGAGTTGACTCAAAACCCAGTTCCCCAAAGCTTGGAGACTTTGTAGGTCAACCTCAATCCTGCCACGCCACCACCTTCTATCACTGGGTCCCAGTTCCCTTAATAACTCTGGCTGCCCAGATACTGACCCGGTAAGAAAAGAATGGCCAAAGTGCAGATCCAAACACTAGCACCCGCGAGATAAAGAACCCCATTCAAGCTGTGAGGAAGCACCCTGGTGGCAGCAATCGGGGCAATGATACTAAACACTCTCCCCCAGAAGCTGCTGAATCCCGAAGCCGAGCCACGCACCGGTGCAGGAAACGCCTCGGGCGTCCAGCCATAAAGCACAGCATTGAACATACTCTGGAAGAAGTAGACCAGACCATTGACGCCAATATAGCTGGGCTCGTCGTTGACCGCGGTGAAGACGAACAGACACGCGCCAAAGAGGGCCGACGAGACCAACAACGCAATTCTTCGGCGCGAGTAGATCATCGTGCCGGCCAGCACGCCGGGGATGCCGAAAATGTAGATATATACATAAGACCTGTATGTTTCGCGCAAGCTGAGGCCAAGTGAAGAGCCCTTGCGCGCGAGAATGGTCGGCAAAAACGACCCGGCAATGGTGAACCCCCAATAATCGAAGGCATAGATGATCCAGACCAACACCACAAGACGGGTCATGGCAAAACTCGAAAAAAGTACCTTGAACCGTGACATTTCCACTTTGACTCGTTCTGAGAGCGGCAGATTCTTCTGGTTAGACCCGGACCCGAGCAAAATGGCATGGTTGGAGTTTGATGACGACGAGCCGGTACTGGCAGAAGCCGCATCGGAGGATAAAGAAGTGAATGTTTCGAGGGTCAGATGGCATTCGCGTTTGTTGTAGCGTGCGATGTGCTGCAATACCTCGATGGCTTGTTCGTCTTTGCCTCGATACAGGAGGTATTTCGGCGATTCTTTGAATCGAAACACGACGACCCGGAGGACAAATACTGCCACTGTGATTGCCCCGATGGTGAACATCAGATAGCGCCAGCCCCAGTTGTCGGCTTTGCTGCAGCACGGCGTGCCGGCGTCAGGCCGGTTGCAGGAGACCAAACCGGGAGCACATGAGTAGTTCGGGATGAAACCGTATGCGATACCACTGCATACTACGACGCCGATGGGCTGGAAGACTGAGAGCGTTGGGAGAAGCCAGCGACGGTTCTGGGGAAGGCATTCTAGACATATCGTTGTGTCGATTGGGATCTAGAAGTGCCAGATGAAGATGTTAGCGGAACAGAAATCCTACCGAGGCGAAAGATAGAATGAAGGCCGTTTTTGTAACAAGAAATTGTGAAAGGTTCCTAGCTGCGACAACAAGAGAGATGATATTCAACTGCTTGCATGGTCGCACGAATATGGTGGGTGTATGGTATTTGCTCTCTTCATGACAATGCTCGGTCTCAGCGCGCTCACTGCCCTTAGAAGGGGCCCGGCTTGGGTAGGATGCGCAGAAAGGCATCCAAAAAAGGAGAGGCCACTTACATTGCCGCCAATTCCGATTCCAACAAAGGCCGTCAACACAATCACAGCATTGTATGAATTTGGAGCACCAAGGCAGATTCCGAAAATGCTGGAGATCAAGACCGTGTAGTTGAAGGCAGCGGATCGGCCGATGATGTCGACGAGGATCCCCCAGACAAACGCCCCGGCCGTCAAGCCGGCAGAGAAAGAGGTGAATATGTTGCCCAACTCGGTATCGCCGAAGCCGAACTCGTTCTGCATTGGGGTTACCACCAGTCCGAATGCTTGAGCCCACAACAGATCGAGCAGGTAGCCGAAGCTGCACAGAAAGAAGACCGTCCATTGGTATCGGCCCATGCCTTGCGCGTCGAGCTCCCGGTTAACCAGGAGCGCCTTCTTTTCGTACAGAGTCAGACCATCGAACTCGGGGTCGGCGTTGACGTCGCTGCTACTGGCTGGCTCAGTAGCTTTGCCCATTTCCATGTCCGATGGTCCATGTTGCATGGCAGGTACCGTCATAATATCAACCTTTCGATCTGTTTCGAGAGCCATTATCAGTTGCAGTCCACGGACGTCGAATCTGTTGTTCCTCTTTGCCCGCCTGATGCGGCTGATAGACGGTTTTATCCATGATTGTGGTTGCCATGAGGAAAAGGTCGTGTCTTTTAGCAAAAGCACAAGACAAGGATGCAATGGCGGAGTCTGATGTGCATCGACTCTGGTTTTGCACTAGGCGAACCTTATCTCGCACGATTTCGCACGGCATTGATTCTAGATGGCGGAGGGAGTTCGGCCGCCGTTAGATCTGTAGAAATGTGGAATAGTATTATGCAAGTTCATCCTTGTTGAGAGCCTCGTAGGCACGAGTCATGACGTCGCGGGCTGTAACCTTAGGCCTGATTGGGTGTTGCACAAAAATCTCCTTCGCGCAACTCTTTCCCATCCAATCGCGCAGCATGTAGGTTAAGATCCCGGTCAAATGTGCTTCGATAAGGTCTAACAACGATGCTGGTGACAAGCCGCAGTGTGGAGGTCCGCTGTCATGAAAATTCTGGCCCAGAGTCACAGTTCCATGATAGTGCGATTCGAGGACGTAATTAAAAGCCTGCAAAGGTCGGTGACGAGAATCCCAACGGATGGAAAGGTCATCGTAGTGGGCATCATCATCACAACACTATGAGTCGAAAGACCCATTGTTGTTGCCGACATGAGGAAACAACTGCTTTCCTGCTGCAACATCAAGAATCACACCGGCTTTGTGCAAGGACGCAATGACGTTGAAGAGCTCCAAATCAGATCCAGGTGGCCCTATCAGACTTATTGATACCGGAAGGTATTCGATCGTGTTGGTAACGGCGGACAAGTAAGGCACTTCAGCAACTGGTATCGTGTAATCGGGGCATCCGACCAAGTATCCAAATGAGTAGATGCTGAATGTGTCATTGAAGAGTTCGGCTCTGTCGGAGGTCTCATGTCGATAATCTGGACGCCCATAGCATTGAGGAAATATAAGAAGCGTCGTTGCATTCTGGTCATACGATCCGAAGATCGTGGACTCTGTCCATGTCCTGAAAGACTGCATGGCCTTCAATGCATCAGATATTCTCTCCGCAGACGCACTTCGACCATGCTCCAGCCTCCGACTGACAAGCTCTGAGATTCTGGGAGGGCGGCCATCATTTTTGGCTGAATAGTCATGAATGAAGTCGTCCAGGCACCCATGCACTGCCGACGCTGTCGTGATGGTCGAATAGATATGGCCGGCTGCCTGGTCAAGTGAGCGAGGCTGACCTATTGGCGGGGTCGCTTCCCAAAGCTCATTGAGGTTGAAGGGTATTCTTTCGCAGTCGAGTGTGATCTCCAGCTTTCTCATAACTGCCTCGATCTGTTTCTCGGCTTCGGTCCAGCTAGAAACATCTGCCGAGGGGTGCGGGAACAAGCGATGCTGCACACTGGGGGTGGGGTTCATGTCCGCTGCTTGAGCTGCCCTGGTTGGGTATAGCAGGTTGTACTTGGGTTCTATCGGTGTGCAGAACGCTGTTCTCGTGGGGTGAACTAGGTGCGCTCCCACGCGGGCAAAAATGCTCGCGTGTCGTGCGAATATGCCAATAGTGTTGAAGAGGTCGGTGGCTCCCAGGACGCCTTCGAGACTGATTAGACCGTGAGATGGACGCTGCCCGTAAACCCCGTTCACGCCGGCTGGATGACGGATAGAGCCTCCAGTATCGGTGCCAACCGTGAAGTCAATCCAGTCATATGCCGCCGCAGCAACAGCACTGCCAGTGCTGGAAGAGGACGGCTTCTGCCGCCCATCACCTCGGGGGTTGTAGGGACAGTCGTCATCAATCCATTCGTTGGGGTCTAAGCCCTCCGCAAATTCAGTGGTCTTCAGCTTACCTACCAGAACTGCGCCGGCTTGAAGAAGCAATTTTATGCACGGAGCTGTCTTCTTCTCAGGGTCATGAATCTCGCGCCAGGCTTGATTGCCGTAGCCAGTCCTTGTTCCTTTGACAGAGATAGTATCTTTGACCGCAAACCTCAGGCCTGCTAGAGGCCTTCCGTCTCTATGGAAATACAGCCTCGAGGGCACTGGTATGCCATCCCGGGCCTTCCCATTGTTAGCTCTAATCCACGTGCTTTTGAGGGCATCCTCACCGCGGACTCCTTGAACGCAGAATCAGAGCATGAGTTCCGGCACACGGCACTTATAAATGCCTCATTGGGATCAGGAAAGAGCCTCATGACGGGAAAAACATGGCCAGTCGCCCTAGAAACAACATATGGACCCTCTGTCAACTCTATCCTCGACCTCTCCAAGCATACGATGCGCTTGCTCCTGAAATCAATGTTGCCATGGGCTGGGAGGAGAAGAATGAGCACTATATCGGTTGCCCAACAGTCAGACCGAGAGGCGTGGTGACCATGAGGCAACTTACAAGACAGAAAGCTGCCTGTCCAAACATCATCTGCAGCGCTCAGTCTCTCACGGGTCGCTTCCAGATCACCAGGACCGAACTTGGTTCCCGACCATTCTATCACAGTGGTGGGGATAAGATCTTCAGTGAAACGTGAGAGCTTAGGCAGCAGTTGAGACGGGAGAATGATAGTGTGTGCATATTCGGGAATTGAGTAGGCTAGCCCACCAATTGATGTCAAGGAGGACACATCCTTCGCCATGTGAAGGCAAGGAAAAGGTGAACAACGAACTCGGTAAGACCACAGTAAGGTAAGAGATCAAACAACGCATAGGACGAAATCCTACCATCAACACCAATGCGCGAAATTGGCAGTACTTGGCGGTGTTACAGTCACTACAGTGACATGATAAGGAAGTGGCCCGGGTCGGGCAGGAATGCCAGTGCTCCAGCTCCATCTCGCTGGACATGTACCTAGGGAGTGGAACAAAGAATTGGCTCACCAGAGAGGGGCACAGAACAAAGACCGATAGGACCGTCGGAAGTGCACAATCTTATCTTGAGGACCTTGGACTCTCCGCGACTTGCTATAACGATTCGAATGAGGATATTGGCTGTGGTTGAAAACATGACGGTACTGCAAGTGACTGTTCCACTACCTACTGTTGCTTACAACTCGGATTGTTGTATATTCGTCCGATAAACGGTCTTGGCATCGATAAGAGCGATACTAGGCTGACTCAGCAGACGCGGCAAGGCTGCACATGAGGGAAGACAACACTGAAACGCTCAAACTACTGTGTATTACGGCAAAGGGCAACTCTGTGGCTTGTGATATGAGATTGCATGCAGAGCCATTCGGCAAGTTCGTGTAGCATTGCTGGCCGTCCACTAGCTCGCGCCCTGTTCTATCCTCATTCCTCATCTTCCCTCTGTGAAACACCATTCCTGCCCATACGCTGGCTTAAACTCATATCACCCGCTTTCTTGTGGAAGCTGTTGACGAAATCGGCACGGCCACCATATTTAGCATTCCGCGCCCGAATCGCTTCATCGCGCTCTCTCTCAGCCCGCTCTCGTTCAGCTATTTCCGCCAGTCTCTGTTCTCGTTGCCGATCGAGCTCCGACGCGTCCTGTTGCATAGCCGCCAGCTTCGCCGCTCTTTCGGCCGCATCTATGTCTGAATTCTTTGTGTCGCGACGGTCACCCGGAGACCGAGGACGTACTGGCCTTGGCGAAGGTCGAGTTTGAATTTTGCCGGCTCGATCGCTGTGACCGTTTCGCCGAGGAGGCGATCGTGTCAGCGACGGAGATCGCGACCGTGGCCTGCGTCTATCGTCCGGCGTGTAGGATCGTCGACGGCGGTAAGGTGACCGTGATCTAGATTTTTCAGCACGACGACGAGGCGACCGAGCTCGTGATGGGGAACGCGATTGGGACGGTGTATATGATCTCCGCCTCCGGTGCCGGCTCCGTGCAGAGCGATCTTCGTCGTCTTCTCTCCGGTGAGAATAAGACCTTTCACGTCTGTCCCGGTCGCCGTCGCGATCACGATCATCATCGCGGTGTCGGTGATGATGATGCCGATGGTGATGGTGCTTCCTCCGTTTTCGTTCTCGCTCACGGTCAGCTTCGCCATCCTCCTTTCCTGCGGCCTTAAGCAACATTCTTCTTTTAACGGGATCGTTCATCATAGCCTCGTAAGCCGCTTGCTCCTGCCTCTTGATTGCAAGCAGCGGATCCTCTCTGATCTTGGACGCCGTATCCCTTGCAGTATTCGCATTTTGCACAGCCATGAAGGAATCCTGCGTGGCCGCCTTTTCCAATTTCTGGCTCTCGTTGCCTTTCAATAGTCCATCAATCCGCCTCTTTCCCAGGAGATACCCCTCCATCTCCTCGGTGGTGCCGGCCTGCCCATCCGAGGGACCGGAATACATCCAGTCGACACGAGCCTGTCGCTTTTTCCCGCCAGCTGCCTCTTGTAGTTCCTGAATCTCTTGGATTTGTCTTTCCTCTGCTCGCTCCTTCATAATCTGCTCGATCTTTTTGCGCTCCTCTAGAGCCTTCTTTTCCTCCTCCCATACCCTCTTCTGATTGCTCATGAGCGAAGGGTGCCATGATTTCTTGAGGTTAAGATCGCCACCCATTTTGACGATTTAATGACCGACTAGATGCAGGCGTGAGATGGCGCAGAAACACAGAGACCGACGCCGGTACAGAATGAGGACAAATACAACGGCAGATGTGTAGCCGCTTGTGGTTGCCAGCGATGGCGCAAAATGATGAAGAGACGGAAGCGCAGGCCTGCCACCGCGGACTTGACAAGGCTGCCACTACCAGTACTAGTGCTGCTGTTGACGCAGTTAGCGCAGTACTACTGCCATGGTCGGTACTATAAGACTACTAGCGGTAGCAGCACTAAGAAGCACTTATTCTAACTCGCTTTGGTGGAGAAACATGCCGCCCTACCCCAGCCTTGGCCAATCAGGTAAGGATATCGCGACCTCAGGTGCTACTACCACTGTATACCGAATTGTATCCCTATAATTTCAACTTCAAGCCGTGGGTTTCGCAAGAGCACCAAAGTATTTAGCCCATAGACCTGTTCGCTTCAGGCTGTTTGTTCCGCAAGAACCAATCCTGGCAATATCATAATGTTTCTCTACATGCAGAGTATCTCAGCTGGGGAGATTGGCACGGCCGTTGATCCCTGCCTACGAAGGCGCTTTTCGCCCCCAACTAATCCCTGCCTTGCTTCCTGAGTTGTGATTAGGATCGTTTGAGGTGCGTTTAGCTTCAAATCAATTGGTCCCTCCATATCATTCACCAGCACCCTTAAGAATTATGTCCTAGATAGGCCATAGCCCACTTCAGTGGCAGCGGTCCTCTTGAGGAGGCAGCAGTCAGAACAAGCTGTCCAGCGAGCCGCGCGAGCAGCGCAGACCAATCCGCTTGAATATCGTTCGTTGGCTTCGGTCCGAAGCTTGGTTCTCCTCAAGCATTTGAGGATATCCTTCTATACCCCCAGATTTTTGTCCTTGCGCGGGGGCTGGGTTGAATACTGACATCCTTGTTTTGCAATTTAGCTATATCCACGCTGCAAGCGACCCATCTCCTTTTTCCTTTTTTTTTTTCAACCTTGCTTACCGTACCGGAATAGGTTTGGATCGGGTCGCTTGGAAGCGGGGTCATTTCCCTGGAACTTCGATTTCAAGCAGAGCACACGCAAGATCGATCATAAAAGCCAAAAACTGCCTCATCTATTCCGCTGTCCGACGACAGTATGCAAATATCTCGACCACGATCGACGTATAAACGCGCCAACACCTCAGAAACTGCATCTGACTCGACTTTGGGCACCGAGTTGCTATTTGTTGACACCACAGTTTCAAACTTCAAGTCCGGGTTTTCAGCTACAATCGAACCTGAAGCCCTGCTCCTTGATTCTTCCAAGAACCCAGTCCGCTCCGAGGCAGAACATGAGGGCCGATGGGAACTGTCCATTCTCAGAGGTTGGCCTCGGCTGCATGGTTGGAGAGCAGGCGCTCTCATCGCCGCCGTTTTTGCCTTAATATCGTTGCTGATCAACGTCGTCGCCCTAATATGGTTGTCTACACGTAAAAAGCGGAATGGCATTGTTGAGCTTTATAACGGAAGTTGCGGCAAAGCCGAGAGCATGGATCTCTGGGTCCATATTGCAATCAACGCACTTAGTACCCTCCTTCTCGGGGGTTCCAACTATTGCATGCAATGCCTATCCTCCCCAACGAGAAAGGATGTTGACACTGCTCATGCCAAGGGGAATTGGCTTGACATTGGAGTACCCAGCATTCGGAATCTTCTCAGTATCCCCACTTACAAGTTGGTGTTGTGGTTGGTGCTGGGATTTTCTTCCGTGCCGTTACACCTCATGTGAGATCTCCTCAATGAAGAGGCACTTGGCAAGTCATGCTGATATGTCGCAGGTATAACTCCGCATTTTACAAATCACTGACGACCAACGATTACAATGTCTACATCGTCAGCCAGGACTTTGTAGATGGTTCTGCCTTCAACATGACCGAGAACGCATCACCACATCTACCCTATGCACGTCAACACGACTTTAAAATCGATATAGCCGGAATTCAAAACGGTACCAAGACCCCCGGGTTGTACGAGCAGCTCCAAAAGGCCGACTGTATCCGCGCTTATGCAACCGATTTTGTCACAAACCGGCGGAATCTGCTAATGGTCACCAAGCATGACCCCTCTGTCACCACTCTCTTTGACATTATACCTTACACCTTTTCAGTATTTGATGACCTATACACATGGTAAAGCGGCCTCCCTTCTGGAAGTTGCCATGCCCACTAATGCGAGCATCAGGATTTGCATGTCTGACGATGCCATGTTTGCCGAAATTGAGGCCGCCTTCCCCAATCAGCCCATCGGTGCGGTTTGCGCAAAGCGCATCTCAAAAATGGTGGCTCTGGCGGACCAGTGGAGACCATATGGTCATGATGTCCAGTACTGCCTCAGCGAGCGAGTTCCCGAATCGTGCAGCTACAGCGCCAACATCCCGATCGTGGCAGCCGTTATTGTTGCCAACCTTGTCAAGGTGCTAGTGATGACTTTTGTCGCTTTCTGGCTGAGAGATGACCCATTCATCACCATTGGCGATGCGGTTGAATCTTTCCTCAACCGCCCGGACCGCACCACCGAAGGCCTGTGTTTGCTCACCAAAGATGATGTTAGGAGACTCTCTCGTATGCACAAGGGCTGGAACGATGAATCGATTAGCAGAGAGGCGAAAGTTGCGCGGCTTCGCCCTGTACGCTGGGCAAAGTCTGCTAGCCGTACCCGCTGGGCCCTGACGATAGTAGGTATTCTGGTGCCACTGTTCGTTGGTGTTGGGGTCCCACTAGGTTTTGCAATCGTAAATGTCAGAAAAAGCGGCTTTACTATTCAAGACGTCGGCTTTGGCAAAGTCAGTGCTGTTGGAGTCATCAAAGGCTGGTACATTGGCTGGTCGGGCAATCCCGCCCACGATGTCTCTCTGATGGTCTTGATCGCAAACTTGCCCCAGACAATCTTCTCGTTCCTGTACCTCAACCTCAATGGCCTTCTCACCAGCATGTGGCTGGCATCGGAATGGAGCGGCTTCGCAACAGAGCGCAAGCCCTTGCGTGTTTCGAAGCCTAAGGGCGCACAGAGGAGCACCCATTTCTTACAACTGCCATACAAGATTGCCCTGCCGATGATGATCGTGGCAGGGTTCCTGCACTGGATGATTTCGCAGGCGCTTTTCCTGGTCGTGGTGAGACAATATAATGCTACCGGAACCCTTTACAGTCCGATAGCTGTGGTATCTTGTGGATTTTCGCCGATAGCAATGATTGTTGTGATGGTTGCTGGAGCCGCGATCATCATCGCCACAATCGTACTTGGTTGTGCTCGCCACTACAATCCGATGATGCCTTTGGCTGGCAGTTGCAGTGCCGCCATTTCCGCTGCATGCCATCAGCCGGACTGGGACGACAACGCGGCCGTGAAAGCCGTCCAGTGGGGAGTGGTACCGGACACTATTGTCGGACCCCATGCGGTCGGTCATTGCTCCTTTACCAGTGGAATAGTATCACCTATACAGGACGGTCAAAAATATGCGGGTTTGACAATGAAACGGAGGAATGGGCGACGCTCGAAAGGGCCAAGCGTCTTCGCCGAGGGCTTGAGGGCTTTCCGCTTCAAGACAAAACAATCAGCATAGACGCCTGACCAAAGAGGATCTGTTACTACCGTTACGTGCCCGGCATCAGTCTGAAAGTGAACCGACAGTAACCTGCTGGATCTTGAAGGACCATTGGAGTTTCTGCAGGCTTTTTATTTTTGAAAAATTAAAGCTTCTAAAGTACAGGCATCATGATACTACATATCCAGAAGAAGCCGACAGATTAGTATCGGGGTTCTTTGTACGGCGCTGGCAGGTACCGGTCCTGCTACTCATCCTTCACCAGGCTAGGATGCTGCCGAAACGCGAACAACCCCGTCTCATCAAGTCAGCTTTCTTCCTTTCTCTCGGTTCCCAGGCCAAGGTCATAGCCGGGTCCCAGCTTCATTTATATTACGACGAAGCCGGGCCAGACTGGAGATATCTGGAGAACGACGGGGAAGCAAGATGGAGACGGACTTGTACACCAGATCCGCTTCTGTTCTCGATGGTATGGTGCATCTTGATCCGGCCAGGACCCTCGAGATTTTCGACTTGGTCAAAAATCTGAAGCATCCGTGAGATGGTGTACATGGCTTCGGTGCGCGCGAATTGTTCTACAAGAGATGGTCAGTATGCATGCGCATGACGGTTAATACGGAAGCGGTGTCTGGAGACGGGACAGCGAGACTTACGTCCTATGCATTGACGGGCCCCTCCACCAAAGGGAATAAAGTCCCAGCCAAACTTGCGGTGGTGCCATCGCTCGGGTTTGAGCTCCTCGACGTCAGGACCCCATATATCCTCACGATGTTGCATCGAGTACGTGGGGATGAGGACCTGAGTGCCTTTCGGAACGAACACAGGACTTTCTCTGTCCGGTCCGCCCCCACGCGGCAGGGTGGTGTCGTGGATTGCGGCCCGCTCATTCATGGGCACGATGCCAACCATGCGGATCGTCTCATTGACAACATGTTGCAGGTAGCGACATGTCCATAGAGCTGAGAAGGTGATCTCGCCAGCGGGGTCTGAGCCGAGATATGTCAAGATTTCCTGTCGGAGACTGGCCAGGACGTCCGGATGGCGCGCCAGGAAATAGAAGCACCAGCCTAGCAACGAAGCCGTGGTGTCTCTCGAGGCATGAAGCACGTTCAGCAGCTCAGACCGAAGTTCAAGAGGGTTTCTGGTTTCTTTGACCAATTCGTCGAGAAGGATGAATTTGGTCTTCCCGGCCCCGCTCGGGACCTCGTTCCCCTTCTCACAATCCGAAGTGCGAGCCAACTTGGCCTTGACGAAGTAGTCGACACATTGCTGGACGGCATTGCAGTGTTCCGGGAAAGCCTTGTCGCGTAGGAGCCAACCATATTTCGCCATGGCCCCTCTCCTGTCGATGATATGCTTAGCCTCATCTAGATGATGACCGAAGCTTGACAGATCCGGCTTGTTCAGATCCACTGGTAGGTCGCTATCCAGACGGGCTTCGGGGCTTTGGGCATGGACGGCCTGGCCAAACAGAAACTCGGTTGACGTATCCAGCGTGAAGTTGAAGAACAGCGGGGACAGATCGACCTTGGCCGTCCAGCCATTTCCGGAGACCGGGAGTCTGCGCAGCAGGGCGTCCAAATGTCTTTGGAACAGGTCAAGGTCTGCCACGTTGTCTCTAGCGAATTGTGGCCGGATAAGACTTCGAGAATGCTTCCATTTTTCCTGGCGGTTTGTCATGACCCCGTCGCCCAGGAGTGACTTGAAGCATTTCTCTCGGTGTGGTCCGATATCGAAGTCCTGCGACTGGGTCGCGAACATGGCCTTTACATTTTCCGGGTCTCGGGTGATGAACAGCTCATAATCCAAAATGGCGGCTCTGGCCGTGTGGACGTTCTTGCCAATGGCATTCAGCGTCTCGTGCATCCATATTGGTCCTCTGTCCTCACGAGTCGCTCGAAGACTTTCTCTGAGGGTGCCGATCCCCAGGAATCCCTTGCGAGGCGCGTCCGGTGGAGGCTGGCAGCCTCGGAGTGCAGCCTCACGAGCATGTCGTCTCCTTGTTGTCACCGCTGCAACGGCCTTGTAGCACAACAAGGCTACAAGGACAAGGATGTACAATGCCAAGGCCATGCTGTCGTCGACAGACTTCGGAGTGGAAACAAACAAGATTGCTTTCAGGAGTCGAAAAACAATTTTTTGGAGCTCCCTCTTGCTTGCAGATAGGAAAGCCTTGTCAAGCAGTGGAAAAGAATGGAGAAAAGTGGTTCGAAAATTGACCGTTCCTGCGCCGATGTGTCTCGGGGGAATCAGTCTGTCATCTCACCGTGATGTTTTCCAAGTGCGTCCTGCAGGAGGAGGCCCAATCTTTGCTGCATCTGCTGTTGATCGGGAACCATAACCACAATCTGCAACAAGGTGGGCTTATGCTCCCGAACGAGGAGTGCCTACCTTTGGAATTTGTCAGAGATCGGCAGCACCATAGCTGTTATGCCCTGTTGTGGCCGAATTCGAAACCTTTTCCGAGCCGGGTACCGTCCTGGATCACAGAGTACAGGCTACGAGTCGGGTTTCTGTGCATCACTCTTCTCTGGACACTACTACAATCACGGCGGCACTAGACCCGGTGCTGCGGTGGACCTTCCAAATCCCGATGAGGGGGGTGCATACAACCATGGTATCGGTGATGGTAATCATCACAAGGGCTGCGTCTGTCCCGGAAGGGCCTGACATGTGAAAGGTCCTGTTCAAGCAGACGGGAGATATGGGACGCGTACCCGCCAGGGGTGCAAATAAGTTGGGCTGAGATGACGACAGGGCGCACCCGGTGGATATCCATACGGGCGTCGTGGTCGCTTATCGGGCGCTTCGGCTGGTACCTGGACGCCGTGAATTGAGCTGAAAGCGATTGGGATAGACCAGCCCTGTTGATCTTAGGCGGATCTGGGTCGGTGGGCCCAAGGACAGGACACCAAGTTGGAGCTTGTTTTCTGGCTGCCCGGGAAAAAATGGCGAGCCATGAAAGCATGGGAATCAGTCCTATTTGCCCTATCCAACGTAAACAACAAGTGGACACCAAGATACAACAGGGCGTCGTACCTTACTACTTTCGTAAGTGCTGCAGCTATGACGATAGCAACCGTATCGACAGAGGTGGACAAAGTCGAAGATGATCTTCGCTTTGTTCTTGACCCAAGATGTTAGTGTAAGTAGGGGATGGAGCCTCGCTAGACCCGTGCGGGTGGAACTCGGCTTGATATTAGGAGCCAGCGGACCTGAATCAAGCGACTAGCGGAAGTTTTCCCCTGACTGACAGGCGCAAGAGCCGAAGTTTCACAACATCGGCAATGCCATTGTTGCTAAAGGGGCCGCAAACCTCGTCGATGACTAAGCGGGAAGCCTTAGTAAGGGAGGCCTGCAGAAGGCAAGTTTGCCGAATATGGCGGAATCCTATTGGCTATGCCCGACCACACACAAAAACACAGCCTGAGCTCTTCCTGCATTGTCAAACCGTCCCATCAGAGATGTCTCCCGTTCAAGCTTACCCCTTCTACAGTGTATCTTCAAGTACCATTTGGTACTGCTGTCCCTGGAGACGACGCGTGAAATCATGTAACCAGGAATATTAACACTACCTGCAAAAGCAAGTATCCGGCCAGATCTACCCAACTCCGAAGAGGCTATCAGAATTTGCTACAGTTGTGCAACAGGGATCGCATCATCGATCCACCCTCCTCTCGATGATCGGCCCCCATCCATGTCTGTTTCGGCCATTATTAAGCTTCACCCCTAGACCTTCAGCGGGGAGACTTTCAGACTGACCCCATCTCTGGGTCGCAGTACCAGCCTCCACATCTTCAGTTCCTCCGGGTCTTGCACCGAAGGGTCTTGCTCGAAATGGAACTTGCTGAGCAAAGAGCAGAGGATCGTCTTCATCTCGACCTCGGCAAATTTACGTCCGACGCAGCCTCGTGGCCCTGATGTATGCGGTCAGTATCGACATACGATGTTGACGGCGAGGACAGTGAAAGGTAACTCACCTTGCAAGAAAGTCATAAAAGCGTTGGTCGTGTAGGTGGGAGGCAAATCACGCCAGCGAGAGGGATCGAACTTGTCGGCAGTGTCACCCCAGTACATGGGCAGACGGTTGATGGCGTTGGCCATGAGGTAGATGGTGGTTCCGGCAGGAATGTGGTAGCCGGCCAAGGTGTCGTCTGCAATCGTCTTGCGTACTGTCATAGGGATGGAGGGGATGTAACGCAGAGACTCCTTGCAAACATCCTCAAGGTAAGGCAGCAAGTCCACATCGGCCTTGTCGATGTTTTCCTTGTTGTAGCGAGCTTCCTGGTCGAACAGGAAGGGCATGTGGGAACGGATCTCTTCTCTCGACTTGGTCTGCACGTCCGGGTGCTTGGCCAGCATCAGAAGCGTCCAGGCCACCGAAGTCGCGGTTGTGTCGTGTCTGTTATTTGTCCTTTTAGCACGGCTTCGCCAGCAATCTGATTATGCGCTACTACTTACCCTGCTCCAAGGAAAGTCATGACCTGATCCCGCATGGTCTCAACAGTCAGAGTGTCCTCCTTGCTTGCGGCCATGTTGTCCCTGACAATGAGTCCGATAATGTCCTTCTGGCGCGACTCCTGCTTCTTGTCCGCATCGGTCTGCTTTTCCTGGATAATCTGGGATGCTTTGCTGAGAATGATGTTTCGGGCCGTCTGGATGTCACGGTTGGCGCGCGCTGGCAGAAACCGGACCAAAGTGGTAAAAGCCGCGAGACCGTTGATGATCCGAGCCTGCAGGTTAAAGTCGAAACATCGTCGGTATGCATCACGCAGCGGCGTCTCCGGGTGGTCCAGGGAGTCAATATCGGTTCCGAGACCAGCACGACCGATAATGTCCAGGGTTGTCCTGTTGAGCCATTCCAGCACCTCGAAGCATTTGCTGTCGGATCTCGACTCCTTAATCTCTTGCTCCCAGAGTTGAGCCAAGCGCAGAGATTTTGCCCAGAAAATAGGCATCAGAGATCGGATCGAAGTGATAGAGAAAGCCGGCGTGAGAGCCTTTCTCTGAACCACATGGGTATGACCCTCGGCGAGCAAAACACCTATATACGGTCAGAAAAGTTCTATGCTGTATTTCTGCTTCCGACGTACCATCACCGAGAACAGGTCGCATCCAAGCTCTTGCTCGGTCAGGCTTAGGATAGTTGTACGGGTTCCGGACTGTCATCTGCTTGATCGCGTCGTCGTCGGCCACTGAGAGCCGTTCGCTGCCAAAAGGGAAAAAGTACCGCACGATTGGGCCATATTTCTGGTGCCACTCGCGTTGGGCGACGCCAACTTCGGTGGTGATGATGGTGAAGAACTGGCCCCAAAGCGGGAATCCTGGGACAGTCGGGATGTGTCTCAAAGGTGAGACGTAGAAGGGATAAATCCAACTGTAGTAGATCGTGTACAGGACAGTGGCTGAGGGCAGCAAGATCTTAAGAGCTGTACCAACATCCAAAGACGGCGAATGCCTGCCCACCAGCACACCAGCGAGGGCGACAAGCCCTATGAACGGGAAAAATCCCACTTGGACCGTCATTCTCGATGGCAAGGCAATCGACTGTGAGCCGCTGGGTAGCAAGTTCTATCGATGTCGGAAACAACTGATGAACTGCTTTGGATGTCGAAAGGCTTTTGGTTTTTGTTCAACCTGGCAAGGTCAAGCTCGTCTTGGGAAACGTCAACTGCACAGAGCGCGAGCGAGGACCGATAAACGTTTGATTCCCACCGCCACCGACTCCAACGATAGCGTCATGGTCTGCCTGCAATGCCAGCATCCGCGAAGGTGCCTGTTTCTGTGCACAATGCATGTGCAATGCAGAATGCAGATCGTTACCCGAAAGATGGTGAGTGGTTTCTCACTTGAACGACTTACCTCGGCGAATGCCAAGTTGGGATGGATGCCCCGTCGACGACCTTGGAGATGCGAAAATGGTATGCAGTCCCATCTGTCAAGAGTGACGATGTTCAGGAGATTCTTTTGCACAACTGAAGCTGACATTGGACACGGAGATATCGAGATGACAATTGGGGGCCATCCACTTTTGGCCTTAGCAGGCTGGGTGGGCCTGCACCATCAAGATGGTCAGCCTGATCCACACGTCCAGTACCCGTCCCAGACCCCGACCAACACCAACAAACACCACGACGAACTATGGCTACAGTACCACTGTGAAAGGCCGTTCAGTAGCAAGATATCCTTTGCTAGCATGTGCACTTTCAACAAAACAACATATCGTCATGGTCCACTCCACGGCGGGCTGTTGGTACGGGGCCAATTTGATCGGCGACAATAAAACGGCATAGTTGTTGTCTCTGCAGCCCATCTATTGCCTGGTTGGCATCAAATGAACCTTCAAATTGCTAATGGGATGAGACACGATTGGGAAGCCATGGACCACTGGCTCCAAGCACGCCCAACATCTTTGATCGGCCATGTCGTCGGTGGCTGACTGGTAACGATCGAGCAGCAATTGATCCACCAGTCCACAGCTGGCCAATGTGGTGGTCCTCACTGCAGTTGCTACAGTCAGATTTGAACTTGCGAGCACAGAACTTGAGAACTAAAGAAGGACTGGTTTCGCAAATACTCTTTGACTCCCAGCACCTTCTTCAACCATCTCCTGTCCTCCAGCAACCATCTCGTTGCCAGTGTCCCGGCAAGCAAGAACCATGGAGTTCATCAACTCGACCTACAAGGCTGCGGCCAGCTTGCTGCCGTACGCCACCCCGGTGCCCAAGAAACATCAACTGTCAATGCTGTCCCCCAAGGTGTTCAGCATGGATCCCTACTCCATGTTCGATCGAGCCTACACCGCGCTGCTGGGATATCGGCCGCATGAGTTTCGCTTCGTGCAGGGCAAGACTCCCCTGTCGACGTTCAAAGAGTGCGCCATCTTCATCGCCGCCTACTATGTGATCATCTTCGGGGGTCGCGAATTGATGCGCAACCGGGCCCCTATCAGGCTGAACAATCTCTTTATCATCCACAACTTCTATCTCACCGTCATCTCAGGAGGCCTGCTTCTTCTTTTTGCTCAACAACTCATCCCCGGACTCTGGAAGAACGGCTTATACGACGGAATCTGCGGCTCCACCGGCTGGTCACAAGAGCTGTTGGTGCTCTACTACATTACCTATCTCACCAAATACCTAGAGTTGCTCGACACGGTGTTTCTGGTCTTGAGAAAGAAACCGCTGACATTCCTGCACACCTATCACCATGGTGCTACGGCACTGTTGTGCTACACACAATTGGTCGGCCAGACTTCGGTCCAGTGGGTTCCCATCACACTGAACCTGGGTGTTCATGTGGTCATGTACTGGTATTATTACCAAGTGGCCCGAGGCAACAAATGCTGGTGGAAGCAGTACATTACCATGTTCCAGATTTCGCAGTTTGTCTTGGATCTTGGTAAGTGATAGATTATTTCCTGGTGAAAATGGCCAGCAATGCTGACTGAAAATCTTACAGGGTTCATCTACTATGCATGCTACAACTACTACGCCAGCACCTATGCTCCATGGCTGCCACATCGCGGCACCTGCGGCGACACCCGGCAGGAACTTGCTGCTTTCACCGGCTGTGTGATCCTATCTTCATACTTGGTGCTTTTTGTCATGTTCTACCTATCCACGTACAAGAAGCCACAACCGACCAAAAAGGCGTTGAAGAGAACGGCCCAAACGGAAGTTCCTACCATCAGCGAGACCACTGAGATGGCTACGGATGCTCTGAAATCGGCCACCAATGTCATTGTGGAGGGCATGGGCGAGGAGAAGTGTATCCGCAGCTGATGCAGCCAGTGAAAGAGAAGCAACCACGGCATGGGGAGGAAGGAGTTCTTTGGCCGCCGCAACGCAATGCAATTGACAAGGTCCTGGTGGGGCGGCAACATCCTCCGACCTGCAACTAGTCGGGTTTTGGAATTCGACTTGCAAAGTCCCTCCCGATTAGGACAGATGTACAGTTCAGTCTTGTTCTGATTTAGGAGGACCCGGAGTTTGTGTCCTGATTATTGTTCCGTAAGGAGTCCAGGTGATATCATTTTGTGGACTTGATTCTCCGCAGGCTGGGGAAGTGGAATAGTACAGTACAACTTACACATCATTAACACTTTTTTGACCGAACGGAATTCGTCCCGGGGAAGTAATGAGACATTTGTTTTGTTTTGTCTCCAATGAACCGTTGCTAATGCCGTGCGTGCACTGCAAGTAAGTTCTTACCGCTAGCCGCCCCCCTATACCCGTGTACGGTTGTAGTGGATGTATGGGAAACAAGTTGGAGGGACGTCGAAATAAAGGTCCGTGTCCGTGCTTACCTTGCTCACCACCGGTCCCGATACCAGTACCGGTGCCGCGGTGGGTGGCGGCGGCTTTCCCCCTGACTCGGCAAGCCTCGTCACTTTTCACTTTTGACCCGTCCCGTAATACGGAGACCAGGTTCAGGGTCTGTGCCGCGCTCGGTGTCGCGGGCAAGGCAAGGCTTTTCAGGGTTTACAACTGTACAACTACTGTATTTACCGGTGTTATCCACTGACATCGGAAGCCAGGGCGGGCTGGCGGACGTCACAAAATTGTGGTGGGTACTACTAACCTCACTACCAAGCATTCGCCGAGCGCACAGGGCGTCGATAGCTGATGGACTGGATAATGGATGATGTTCCTGGCCATCATTACCTTGCTTGTTCACCGTGATGGCGACGTCCACATCTACATGCCATCCACTACTGATGGGTGCTGCTGCTGCTGTCACAGCTTATTACAGTTGATTTATTGGTTGTCAGCTTTCCCGTCGTGGGGACGCTTCGCTTCGCTTTTTGTCATTTTCTTTTTCCCGGGTCCATCATCCACTACAGCTACTCACTAGTATGTTACCAGTCCCAAGGCTAAGGCGCCGATCTTAGATCCAAGACTAACACTGAAACCGATTCGATTCGATCCAAACAATGCCAAAACAATTCACTCTCAAGTCCGATGCCCTACCCTCCCCTCCGCTTTCAAGCTGTGCTCCGGCAGGACAAGATAGGACCTCCTCGCTACTATCGGGTGGCTGGACTGAGTTGACATGAAATGGGGCTCCACCTGTCCTGGCTTGTCGTCATTTTCACTTCTGCGTGGGGGACCGGTACCGGTACTTCGAGTTTTGCAAGATCAGATTAGTTGGCACCAGAGTATCACTGCCCACTTTACTTGCTGTGCAATGAGTGAGTGAGGAAACCCCCATCTTGTCCGAAGAGAAGAGATTTTGTCTCCTATCCCATCCATTCATTCTCATGGGTCGTGAACCAACTGATCTGGCTGAACTTGCTGGCCATAAGGGCGGCCCGGCAGTCTTTTTCCCTTCTTCTCCGCGATGACGAGTCACCCACCCGTGGAGACAAGGCCGACTTCTGAGCACCAATGTTTTCTTTCCGTCCACAGTGATGCTAATGCTGATGCTGATGCTGATGGTCTACAACTACTACTAGTGGTAAGCCGTCAGCTCCCAACTCCATCCAGGTCCACACTCCTTGCTTGCTTGTCTGCTTAGCGCCGAGTATCATCCATCACTACTGGCATCTTGATTGAAACTACAACTACTCGCCGGGCGGGACCTCTGGGTAAGGTACAGTACGGTGTGTATCAAAGGTAAGCCACCGGGACTATCACCCGTCTACTATGTACCATGGTACTGTAGGCCGATATTTGACGCACCATCGGCGTTGTGCTGGTCTGGTGGAGCAACCTTGGGATGACGATCAGTACTAGAACTGTACACAGGATGAGCGATGATTATGATGCATCGTACTGTATCTCTCTTGGTGAGAGTGGGTGCTTTGATTGCAAACCCAGGGACGGGATGGCGATTGCCATGGTGTGGATGCCAAACAATATGATACGGTAGGTCCTCAGGTAGGTACGTTATGTCTGCCGTTGCGCTTGTGTGGATTGCGTTACATGTGAAAGTGTTACAACTACATACTGTTGAACGCCTTTTGGACTCTGGAGGTTTCTTCAAGATCTGGTGCTTCAGTCAGGAATGTGAGCTCGACGAGGTGCCCCCTACCCAGTTGATTTGTTGGCAGAGCACACTGCAGCGCTCTGTCTGGCCTGCTTGCAAGCACATTCTCCCTTCCATACACCCACCCATACTCGGGCAGTCGACTACATACACACTCTGAGTACACACACACGTTCGCTCAACTGAGGCCCCCAGCCCTCAAGTGTGCAGGTTCCTACAACTATCAACCAGCCAGTCAGAGACACTCGAGTGCGCACTGCAACCAGTCCTTCATACTCCTTCTACACGCCGGACGTACAATATCAGTCTATCTCAATCAGGCCATACGACACACAGAACGCCAATATCTTTCCTCTCCGGTTCCTCTATCTTCTCTTCTCCATCATTATATTGCATGGTGTTGAACATCACAGCCATGGCCATGGCCAATTCAGCTTCTTTCTTCACCTTCTACCTGAACCCGAGAACACCAGCCGAATCCATATCCGAGTCAATGAACACCATATCATCATCATATACCAACACCACCACCACCAACGCAACAGGAGGACTATCATCACCATCACCATCATCAATATCACTTTTACCACTATTATCACCACACCATCTAACATTAACCAACCTCCTAAACCTCCTTCTCCTCATCCTCATCCTACTCAACATCAAAGTCTTTCCATTCATCTACCACCTCCGCATCCTCAACGCCGTCCGCTTCGTCCTCAAATCCCAGCGGCCCTTGCACGACGTGACACCAGCTCACCTCTTCCAACCAATAATCACATCCTCCAAAGCATGTCTAATGGAAATCGATGTCTTCGGGCACAAGAACAACAGCACTTACTTCACCGATATCGACATTGCGCGCGCCCACCTGGTCACCACACTTTTTGGCAAAGGCATCGCCAAGATCCGCGGCGGAACCACGATGAACGGCCTGTCCTCAAAACGAAGCAATTTCACCGTCGCCCTCGGCGGTGTCAGCTGTACATTTCGCAAGGAGTTGTTGCCTTATGAAACATATGATTTGTGGACGAAGGTTTTGACCTGGGATGAGAAATGGGTGTATCTGGTCACGCATTTTGTGAAGCGAAGAAACGGTCACAGTGTCGATCCGAAAATGTCGTCGTTGTATCCTCGGCAAAATGGGACTTGCAACAGCAATAACATGTCTACGACGAAAGAAGACGAGTGTGCCGCTGGTCGGGAAGACAGACGCGATTCGGCTTCTTCTACCTCTACAGGCAGTACTGGCACCGGTACTGCTGGTTCTGATACTGATCCCTCAATCGCCGCGTCGGCATTGAGCAAAATCGTCTTCAAAAATGGCCGTGTCACGATTCGACCGCAGGAAATGCTCGAGGCGTCGGGGTTGGTACCTGCCGTTACTCCCACGCAAGATCCTACACAGGAGGCCAAGGCCAACGCCACGACCAAAGCTGCCAGCACTGATGAACCGGAGGACGAGACTGATGTTGACGACAATGTGAAGCTTGCTCGCGCCATCGAAGCCCAGCGACAACGCGGTTTGAGGTTAGCCGCTCTCTTGGCCGACCAAAGAGCCTTGCACGACGAATTCAACAGCGACGTGGTTGCTCTGGGGAGACACTACGATGGAATCGGCTTGGAAGGGGTCGTGGCCACTCTGGCGCAATTGGGTAAACTGAGTTCGTACCAGCTTATTTAATTTAGTAGTTAGAAGTACAACTAGTTACAGCTTAATAGCTGACAAGCAATCTGATCTGAATCTGATACCTGATAACTGGCAAAGATGACGACTGAGGCGTCTTTTCAATTCTAACGCTCCAGTTTCGTGGAGAATGCCCACTTTCACAGACCTCTTACAGTAATGTACATCTTCACAGATTCAAGTCATTTCTTGTAGTCGTCCTCAACTTGATCACATGTAAATTTGCTTTCTGTTCAGATCGACTCCCTTCCCAATTGATAAGCCGTCCATGCCGAATTGGGCGTGTGGAGTCCGGAATTCTCTGCCGTGTCAACTCTTGTTCAGGCAGATGATCGACAGGACATCCGACGGCAGGACAGGACAGCCCTTGGTGCGGGACCTGCCTGACCTGCCCGGGACACACTGGTTGGTACTACCGGCCGTGGGTCTTTGAGTTCCCGTAGTTTTGCAGAGCCTCGTCGTCGGAACGGCACTTTGTTCTTTGAGATCAGCCAGGCGTAGTGGGTGGGTGTACAGTAGTAGATCCAGATGTGGAGGGATTGAAACGGAGCCACTACAGCTCCGGCTTGCGGATCTCACTACTATCTGTAATACTAGTAGTCTTGGTCGATGATAGGCCATTGCGGTACCTCTTCACGTAAAACTTTTTTTTCTGGGTGTTGTGTCCTGTCCGTTTCCCCATTCCCATTCCCATTCTCTATGATATTAATGTTTACCGTTGTCGCGTCTACTGGTCGGCACTGTCGTCGACGCGGTCCAGCTCCACTCATACCTATGGAGTCCTCCCCATAGACACCAAGGAGCAAGAAAGACAGGACCTACAGTACAACAGTAGTAACTTGATCGGTGCATGATGGACCTGGTGGGCGCTGCGAGAAGAGACTGACTGGACGATCGTCAGCCGGGTTTTGGTCTGCCTGTCTATCTGTCTGTCATGCCGGGGTTGTCGGGTCGGTTGTCTGAACTTGAGCCCAACCCATGACGACGCACACTGGGCTGGGCGGCTTTCAGAAGTGCAGTCCTCTGACGATGATCAGAAGCATGATTACCGCCGTGTCGACTGCAGTGCTGGACTGGGGGTGGGGACAGAAGCCACTTACGCTCGCTGCCTTACCTCTTGGTTGGCCGTATGCTTAGCCCTTACGGTATGTCGTAGCCTGTCACGGATTAACATGCCAAAGCGCCGTCACGTGCCGCTACAGCACCACGTAACGCCCAATAACACGTAACTAGCACGTAATCACGACGAAGGCTTAGCACGCCTCGATTACTAACTACTTACTCGCGCAACCGAGCGTAACTCTTTTATAGTCCTTCGTCTTAGAATTTATATTATAAATAGTATATACGTTTATAATAAGTCTCTCGTAGTAGTACTCCGTAATACTTTCTAAGACCGATAAACAAATAAGAGACCGACCGCTCTTTAGTTAACTCGACTAGCGATTATATTAAATTCGAGTCCTACTAAGCGCTACCGATCTTATACCCTTATACCTTCTCTATAAATATCTTATACTTCGATTAACTAACTAGCGATTATATTAAATTTAGCCCTAAAGTACGAGACACTTACTTTCTCTACCCTTTTAAGTAAACTACGTTTATTAAGATTAACTAACTAGCGATTATATTAAATTTAGTCCTAACGTAAACGACGTTTATACCCTCGAGACTTAATAACTATCTTATTTATTTAACTATAAGTACTCTTCCTTTAGTCGATCTAACTAGAGATCGTATTAAATTTAGGTCCTACTAGAAGCGCCTACTTATATAGTAACTTATTATAACTACGACTATACTTTCTTTAGTTAACCTAACTAAAGATTATATTAAATTTAGATTCTACTAAAAGTACCTATTTATACCTTAATAGTCGATTACCCTATCGACTTCGAGCAAATTACGCTATCGGTCTCGTAACTAACTTAATTATTATAACTTACGTACTTCTTAATTAGCGTAGACTACGCTTCGTAAGTAACTTTACTAAAACGCTACCGACCTAGAGAGTACTTAAGTCACTCCTATTCTACTTACTCTCTCTCCTTCCTTCCTACCTCTCGATCCTTATATCTCTCGATCCTTTACATCTCTCGATCGATCCTTATATCTCTCGACCCTCCTATCTCGAGCGAACCTCTATTACGACCAAGGTATACTTATACTAGAAGAGATTAGAATTCCTTATATACTACCGAAGAGCTTAGAAACCTTAAGTCTTCTCGTAGATCTTCCTAAATACCCTTCTAGTCTTATTATATACGTACTAGTTATAATTCCTCGTAGTTAAACTTAGTTAAGATTTCCTTTACTTAGAGTCTCGAGTAATAAACCGAGGTTATAAACTTATAATCTCTAAAGATTCCTAATAGACTACTCCGTCGAGTAACGTTACCTTATTAATACTCTACTAGATCTAGTAATTAACGCTTAATTAGTCGCCTAATAGCCAATATACGCTCGAGATCTTAGCTAGGCCGAGACCTAAAGCGTAATCTAAGTACTATTCGTAGTTCTCGTCGGTCTATACGCTCTAGAGCTGTTAGGAACGCCTAATGGGAATAGGCAGAGTACAGCGATATAGTCTTCAATTAGTATTAAGTACTCCTTAACCCTATAGTTGTACACGACTCGAAGCATAAGAGAAGGAAAGCTCTCTTATACGGGTCGCGTATAGTTTATATCTCTTAGCTCTATTCGAGTAGCCGAGGGGTATAAGTTATCGATAGTTAGTAACGGTAGTTAGTCTCGATATTCGTAATATTATTTCCCCCTTCTAGGTTTCTTATTCTCGAGAAAGCGATAGTATTATATACGAGTTATATACTTCGTTATATACTCGGTACTTTCCCCCTTTCTAATATAGCCTTACGTAGCCTCGTAAGAGTATCGTACGCTTAGGATACGACTTATATAAGTTCTTAGCGATATATTCGCCTACGCCTCGTAGCCGTAACGACTTATAAATAAATAAGAGTTAGATTTCTAGAGTTCTTTATATTCCTCGCCTCTTCTAACTCGTACTCTTCTCTTATATAACTTATTAATTAACTCGTAATCTTCTCTTATCTAACTTATTAACTTTCTACTATATCTTTAGTAAAGCGAGCCTCGATTACGCCTAAGAGAAGATCGCCTTCTTTATCTTCTTCTTCTCGTAAGCGAGTTCGGTTCGCCTCGCTAGAAGACTATAATAAGTTATCGTATATTCGGTATATCCGGTCTTTTCGAGACGACTCGTAGTAACTTAACTATATCTATCTACCTAGCTGTAGCCGCTATAGATAGTACGCCTTCGCTAATCGTACTACCGCTTAATATCTTCGCGTAAGTCGTATACTATTCTCTTACGAGTATTATACTAATCTCGATAAGGTTCCGGACTTATATCTAGACGACGCTAGAGCTATCTTAAGTCTTAATAGTCGTTTATTAGATAGTAACTCTACTACTATAGAGCGGGAGTTAATAGAAGCGGTAGATAGATTCTACTATCGCCTTTTAGCTACTAATCGATAAGTTCGTCGAATTATCCTTAAGGCGCCTACGACTTATAATAATATTCTTTCTAGTTCTTTAGCCGCTCGGCTAAATACGTCTATTTAGTAAGAGATCTTTAAGACTATATCGCTTACGACTAGTATATCTCTCTCGACCGCTTTCCCTATTATCTTACTCTCTAATACCGATACTTCTAGTCGAGTTTCTATAGACTCGACGACGCTAGAATAAACTATAAATATAATAGAGTTCTTAATTCGCTAGACTAGGGAAATTTAGACTAGTATAGAGACTCTTATAGTAAGGCTTCTCTTCTACTTATCGTATACGACTCGCTAACTAGTTATATAGATTAACTCTAATATCTTCTTTATAACGATACGAGAGCGAGCGGACGGAATCGAGAAGTACTATTATCGTATCGCCCGTCTTATTAATAATATATTTATTTATTAGGACGCCTTAGAGGCGATTTTAGACGAGCTAGTTAATCGTATTAAGACCGTTAAGAATAAGTTTATATTAGAGAGTAAAGACGAGTAGATAGTACGTCTACGACTCGCCTACGTCTCTCTTATTATTAGTCTCTCTCGCTAGAGATATTAATATTAGGCTTCTATTCTACTTTTCTTAAATCTCTTAATTACCTCGCTTACGTTTTCTAGATAATTTTTAGATTCCTAGCTATTATAGGCCTCGCTAAAGTCTTTCTATCGGATATAGAACTTTATTCGCCCGCGTCTTTAGCGCTTATCGAGAATTCTCTTAACTTCCTATTCTTCCTCTCTCTCGATATTAATTAGTTCCGGAGTTTCGTCTCTAGATCGCTTACGATACGCTTATAAGAGAGATATATAGAAGATATAGTATAGTCTACTATATTTCGCTAGAAGTTCTAGTTTATATATATTCTAGCTAATTCTCTTAAGAATACGAAAGAGATCTAAGAACTAATTAGATAGCTTACGACTTATACGCGAGAGGTTAATATTCTTAGCTACTAGTAATATACGGTCTCTAACGTTAAAGAATATTAATTACTATTTCTTATTATAATACTTCGCTATCTTTATAATTTACTTCTTAGTAGTAGTTCTCGCCTTAGTAGCGTAGCGTAGCGATCTCGCTAACGCTTTAGCTCTTCGTTCTACGAGTATATTTCTATTTAGGTTTACCTACGAGTCGCGTTCGAGATTTACGTCTAGAGTAGGCGTAAAGCGAAGTACTCTTAAGAAGGGAGTTTCGCCCGTAGTCGTATTAGGTATCGAGTTTATTGTATACTTAGCGCTTACGAGTAGGCTAGTCTAATCTAACTACTCGTAGTTAATATAGTATCTTAGATACGCTTCTAGAGTTTAGTTTATCCGTTCCGTCTAACTATCGATCTAGGGGTAGAAGAACGTGAAGAAAAGTCTATGAGTTGTAAGAGAGACGTATAACGTTCTCTAGTATGCTATAGTAAAGATAGTTTCGCGATTACTAATAATCGACTTAGGGGCGCCGAATCTCGCGACGACTTTTTCTAATACTAGCTAGACTATATTCGTAGCTATAATATCTAAGCGATACGGCGTTAAACTTACTATCTTCGAGTATCTATTAATAATAACTAGTATCGTATCGTATACGTATTCTCCGCTTATTAATAGTAGTAGGTCTATAATAAAGTCTATCGAGATATCTTACTAGGGCTCTTACGGCTATAGAAGAGGCTTAAGCTTTCTATAAGACTTATATTATAGTACTTTTATCCGTTAATAGATATTATAGATCTTAATATAATTAATTATATCTTTTCTAATATACGGCTACTAGTAGTATTATATAATAGCCTTTACTATTCGACTCTCGCTAAAATATCTACTCTACTAGAGATTATTATAGTTCGCCTAGAGAATCTCTCTTCTTATAGTAGAATTATATAATATATATACGACTCCGTTACGATAGGCTATATCTTTCTAGTTAATAGTCTAAGTTTCTTAAAACTCGCCTCTTTTAATTCGACTATCGAGTACTATCTTCTAGTAAGCTTTCTTATACTAGATATCCTATACTTAGAGCTCTCGTAGTCTAGCCGCTAGTAAGTCTCTACGCTTATATAGCTTAGTAGCTTCTTCTAGGCTTAGACTAGAGATAGTTATTAACTCGGCTTCGGACGTTAGTAGAGTTATAATATTATAACTACTTTTAGTAGAATCTCTACTACTCCGAACTATTACTCGAGTTAATACTTTTATAATAATCTCGTTACCGACTCGTAGGTATTCTCGCGACTCGTCGTTAATAATAGATATTTGTATTTCGAGTAACGCCCTTATAGTGTTCTCTTTTAATAGATCTTCCTTATCTATATAGTCTAGCTAATAAGAGAGTCTATCCGCTAGATTATTCTTCCCTTATTGCTACTAAATCTTAAAGTTATATATAGCTAGTATCTCTATTTAATATATCTAACGCCGATTTAGAACCTTTATTATTATAAAGCTCTATAGCGCTATATAATTAGTAAGAATAATCGTACTTCTTATAGACGCCTTAA